CAGCACAGAGAGAAGGTTTTTTCTTCTTCTCTTCTTTTCACGTCAAACAGTTTCATCACAACGTCAAACAGTTTCATCACAACAACAACACGAACGAGAGAAATACTATATACTCTTGAAAAAGAGTAGACATCACCAAGAGTAGCAGTAATAATAGTGCAGCTTTAAAAAGACACGCAGAACAACACCATGGTTTTAGTGAAAGGCATCACGTCGGGTTTTTTAACCCGCGAAACCTATCTGATAATCGGCAGCGTGTTTACGATTTCCAATCTTTTGCTCGTGTTGAGTTTCTCGAAAACCACCAACAACGATAAACTCATCGATTGGGAATATTTGGGATTGATTTTTAGACGGATAAACCCGTATTTATGGTCCGCGATTGGGATATCGTGCGCGATTGGTTTATCGGTCGTTGGCGCCGCGTGGGGGATTTTCATCACCGGTAGCTCGTTAGCTGGAGCAGCTATTAAAGCGCCGCGAATCACGAGCAAGAATCTCATCTCGATTATTTTCTGCGAAGCGGTGGCTATTTACGGGGTGATTGTGGCGATTATTTTACAAACGAAAGTGGAATTTGCGCCGAGAATGCCAGATGGGTCGTATTCGGATCGATCGATGTTTTCAGGGTACGCGATATTAGCGTCTGGTATAACCGTCGGGTTGGCGAATCTGGTGTGCGGTATTTGCGTAGGGACGGTCGGGAGTAGCTGCGCGTTGAGCGACGCGCAAAATCCAGCTTTGTTTGTGAAGATTTTAGTGATTGAGATTTTTGGAAGCGCGCTTGGCTTGTTTGGGGTGATTGTCGGGATTATCATTTCCGGGAACGTGGCGTTTAAGAATCCAGCGGATGCATAGAAGAAGGGGATGAAGAGAGAGAGAGAGAAAAGAAGTGAAAAAGAAAAACACACCGCGAAGATGAACACTACGAAATAGCACGTAAAAACACGTATAGTAGTGTTGTATAACATACTTATTATAACTATTATCATCATACAAAACATTCATTCATTTACTGATGCGCGACTATCATATGGTTAGCTTCTTCTAAATCAATTACTTACTCTTCTTCAACTCTTTTCGTTCCGCTTTCAAGCCAAAACGTTCACACACGTTCGCTCTGCTAAACACGACTCTGTTTTCAATCACTCCTTGCTTCGTGCACCTAGGCATCCTCTCAATTTCGCCGCCGTTATCGAACAAAATCAACGTCGGTAACTGTTTCGAGTTCCCGGTCAAATCGATCCCATGATCGATGGCTCCGCCCGGCCATCTCGAGAGATCAAACTTCGCAAACGTCAAACCGCTGTCTTTATCGTCCGCGTCGGAAAACTCCAAAGACAGCTGCGCGAACGTCGGATCGAACTGATTACAAGGTGGATGCCATGGCGCGTAAAACATCACCAACCATTTTTTCGTCTCTTCCCCTTTCGTGGCGCCGATTTTCACGCGTCGTTCGAACGAGGCCACGTTCAGATGTTCCGCTTTGCTCGCTCCCGAATATTCTCTCAACTGACACAACAAATAGTGGAAGTAATAGAGACTTCCAAAAATCCAAAACACTTTCCGGTCCATGATGAACGATAAGAGTAAAATAGAACTCTTCACGTGCAGGAAACAATCCGCAACGAATTTATCTAACGTTTCAAACCGGCGGAGTTTCAACAGTAACGTCAATCCAGTCATGTACGTCGCTTGTTTCGTCCAATTGACGACTTTCTCAACTGTTTCCTCGTCTTTCATTTCAACGCACCAGATATAAAAAAGAGGGTATAAAAGGATGATTATCACGTTGAAGACGTAATGCGCGGAGAGGAATCGTTTGAGAGATGGAGGAGATGGTGATGATGATGAAGATGAAGACATTGTTTTTACCGCGACTGTTGAATGCGTTTTGTTTGTGTTTCTTTTCTGGTGTTTTGGGGAACTTGGGTCCGAAAATTCTTCATTTCCCCCCCCCTCGGAAAAAGAAAAAGAATACAACACAATACTTTCGATGACGGGCAGACGAAAGAATAAACATCCGAAACGAGCGGAAAACGTAAAGACGGTGGTGGTGGTTACGAAAACGAGTGGTGGTGCGAGAGAAGAAGAAGACGACAAAGACGTGGAGCGATTGCGGAGGATGCTCATGTGTAATAAGTCAATGGGACCTTCCAGCCTTCCTTCGTCAGCTTCCTCGCTGTCCCTGTTCCTTCTTTTTCACCGCTGTTTGTCTCCCTACTCATATAAGTCTATTTTTACGCTTCAACATGCCTTCAATTTTTACTGTGTCATCATTTTGTCGCCACTTCTTCTATCTCGAAAGGATCTCTAGCGCACTGTTGCAAAAACAGCTCGTACGGATACTTCTTTCCGTAATACTTCTTCAATATCCTTTTACCGCGAGTGATTAAATCCGAGTCTTTCATGACCAATGCGGGGTTGAGCGCTTGTTTATCTTGCTGCGTTCCTTGGTCTCCTCCTCGATATTTGACCAAACGTTTGACGAATAGTAATCGCAAAATTTCCCAAGCGATGCTGATATCGTCCTCGTCGATGCCTTCGCACCGTAAAATCAACGAGTGTAACGCTAACGTTTGGTATTCGCACGCGTACTCAAACTGCTCGGCTTGGACTAACTGCGCGGCGATATCGAAGCACGCTTTCCCGAATACTTGCATTCTGCGAATGTCTAATTTAAAATTCGACAGCGCCTCGAGAACTTCACGAGTTTCGTATTTACCACTTTCCACGTAGTTCTGTATTAAATCCCCGACGACCTTCTCTTTTTGTTTCGCGGCGATCATTTTCGATTCCATGTCTGCGCCGAGTTGCGCCGCTTCGGAAAGACACGTCGGACATCGACAGATGAATTGATGCGTTCGCTTCAATTCTGTCCGTCGTTCGTCTATGTTGCCCGAATGAAAGATTGGCCCGTACGAGACCGTAATCTCTTCGCCTTTTCGAATTGGTTTATACGCTCTGATTGTAATTTTATTCTGTTCTTCGCTCGTGGTGAAAATCTCAGCTGTTTCGCTTCTCGTCACCGACCGAGAGGTGGACGGTCCAGCATGTCTTCTTGCCGAAAATACGTCGTCGTTTTCTTCTTCTCGTTGTCTTTGCTGCTCTGTTTCCAACCTCCTCTCCTCTTCCTCATCTCCGCTAAAACTTGCAAACGCGTTTGGCAAACACGAGTGGTTCACCGCGCTCGCCATGATAAACACCCCAACCGCTAGCGTCTTCTCCTCCCCAATCTCTATGTATGCATCCACCAAATCCGCCGCATCCATGTTCCTATATACCTGAGGCGTCAACATGACCACATCTTTTCTCGTCAGCGTTTTCACTCGAAAAGAATTCAACGTGCACCTATTCACGATCCCGACGATATCGTCCACCTCGAATCCGCCGTCTAAAATCGAATGTCCTCTCATGCTCGTATAAAACTTATTCGCGATCAACTCGTCCCTTAATATTGCTCGATCGTAATCTAATTCTCGCATCACCGTTAAATCCGCGAAAGTTCGTTTCATTTGCCTCATTTTTTCGTCCCTGAAAGTGTTGCCTCGTAAATCTGTTTTTTTTATCGTCTGTATCGTTTTCCCAATCGCTCTTTGTATGAATGAAAAATAGCACTCCGGATCTTCCTCGCCTTCGCCGAACGCGAACGGCGCCTCTCTCAAGATGATGTCCCCGGGTTTGTACTCCTTCGACGCGATTAAAGAATTACCAAAGGATGCTTTTTTTTGAATCTCCACTCGTTGCTTTTTCTTTTGCTCGTTGTTGCTCTTCGTAGAAGTGTTCTTGTTCGAAGGAGAGGAAGAAGTCATGATGATGTTTATTATTGTTTTTGGTCGTCGTTTAAAGATGCTATTATAACTACTCTAGTATATTTATTCCATCCCCCAGTCTTCGTCGATGTCTGAATCCGAGTCTTCTTTCTTATCAACAGTAGTCGTAGTCGTAGTCGTAGGAACGACAGGTGAAGACGGAAGAGGAGTTTTTGTTTTTTGTGACGACGACGGAAACGAATCCTTTTGAGAAGAGGAGGACTTTTTCTCTTCTTCTTTCGCCACCTTGGATGATGATGCTACTTTTTTTACGTTTTCTTTCTTTCTACCATCATCATCACCACCACCACCACCACCGTTGTTGTTGCTGTTGCTGCTGCTCTTCGTTTTCTTCTCTTTCTCTTTTTCTTTCTTTTCTCCTCCTCCTCCTTTTGGTTTCGGAAGAGCGGGACCGCCGCTGCCGCTACTGCTTGTTGTTGTTGCTGTTGTTGTTTTCGATGCTGGTTTTGATACGTCTTCTTCCTTCTTCTTCGCCGCGGGAGCCGGAGGAGGAGAAACGGGAGGAACAGGAGGAGGAGAAGGAGGAAGAGGAGGAAGAGGAGGAGGAGGAGGAGGAGCCGGAGGATAAATTTTTGTCCTCAACGTTTGGACGGCGAAGAAATACCTTCGCCAAAAGTCGTCCTCGTCGACGATTAGCGGGACAATCCTTCCTCTCAACTCTCGCATGAACGGCGCTTCTTTTAAAACGGCGTCGATATCTTCTCGAGCGTTTTCTAACGTCCAATTTTTATTAAACTCTTGGAAGAGGACGTCGTCGTCTTCGGGCGCTTCGCAGTACGTGCCAGAATCGCGTTGGATGGAGGATACGCCTTTGAGGAATTCCTGCTCTTTGATTTCTTTTTCGGAGAGTTCTTTTGAAGCGCCGTTGTTTTTGTTTTTGCTGTTTGCGTTTCTGGCGTTCGGGTTGTCCGTGTTCTTGCTTGAGGACGAGGAGGCAACTCCAACTCCACTCCTCGCCAGCGCGTTCTTCAACCGCTGCCTGTCGCTCTCTACTTGCGCTTGTTTAATTGTTTCTTTCACCTGCGAAAATAAGTTCCCGGTAAACTTCGCCGCGTTTCTCCCAAACTGTTCGATCTTCTCCCCGGCTTTTTCCAACGACTCTTGGACGAGAACCAAATCGTCGTCGCTGTAGTCCTCGTCTTCATCTTCTTCGTCCGAATCATACAACATCCCTTGTTCTTTCAACTTCTTCTTCTTCTCTTCTCGTTCTTCTCTCTTTCTCTGTCTCGTTCCTTCCGAATCATCATCATCTAAATTATCATCATCTGAATCCTCGTCGTCGTCGTCCGATCCCATCGCTTTCGTAAAATCCTCTTTTATTTCCTCCTTCAACTCTTTGAAATCTTCCTTCAACTCGTTCGCTAATATCGCGACTTCTTCTCTCGTTTTCTGCAAAGTCGATTTCGAGAACTCCATGGCTTTTTTCGTGTAGTCTTTGGTGAAGTTGAACGCGTTTTGCGCCGCGATTAATAATTCATCATCATCATCATCCTCTTCTTCTTCTTCATCTTTATTTTCTATTGTTGGTGATGATTCGTCCTTCTTCTTCTTCTCATTGTTCTTCTTTGTCGTCGTTGTTTTCCTCTCCTCCTCTCCGTCTTGTTCTTCTTCGTCCGAAGAAGACTCCAGGAATAAATCTCCCACTTGCTTCAGTAAATTCATATATGGTTAGTAGAGTTAACACAGCAGCAGCGCGTTTTAAATGAATAATAATACTATAATACTATAATAACTCGTTGTGAAGAGGAGGATAAAATAGAGAAGTCGTTTGGAGAGAGAGAGAGAGAGAGAGAGAGAGAGAGAGAGAGAGAGAGAGAGTTGTTCTTATTGTGCGAAGGTTTCGTCAAAATGAGTGATGATGTTTTTAGGGGAATGCGCCTAAAAATCACTTTTTTTGCCCAAAAACAAACAAACAAACAAAGGAAAAAAAGCAAAATTTCTCTCTTCTCTCTGTGTTTCCTTTCCTCCTCTCTTTTCTTTTCTCTCTCGTTTCCTCCAAAAGTTTCTCTCGTGGTTCCTCACAACGAAAAACTGCCCCCCTTTCTGTTGCTCTCGTTTTCATTTGAAGCGCAGGACGCACCTCTCATCTCTCCGAGCACAGTTTAGAGCGCACACATCATCACGCGCGGAGACATCCTCTCTGTTGTTCTCTGTTCCTTCAATACTACTATAAAGAGTGTTTTGAGAGAAAAGAGAGAGAGAAGAGAGCGCGTTGTTTGTGGTTAGAGTTGCGTGCATCGTTTTGATTGGAGAAAAAAGCACGCGCAGGTGATTAACGAATCGACATCTCATTTGTTTTTTTCTTTCCAAAAGCGGATCTCATCGCGCAACCCATCGACGACGGACGGTGGTATCGCGAAAAAGTCTCGCAGGTCGCGTCGTGGGGTCGTGCGCGCGCGTGCGACAAGAATCAGAAAGAAGAAGAATGCCGGCGAGGAGAACGACGACGACGACGCTCGAGAAGACAAAGAAGAACATGAATACTACAAATACTACTAATCATACCGACGTGATAAACGACGAAGAAAAGACTACTCAAACGAAAAAAGGAGAGAAGAAGAAGCAAAAAAGTCAACAAAAACAACGAAAATGTCTTTCTCGAGAGGAAAAAAAAAATGTTCAAAAGCGATCTTCTTCTTCTTCTTTCTCGAGGTCTTCTTTGTTGTATTCCAAAGATCCTCTGAAAACTCTGCAGACGAGCGAAGAGGATAAAGAAGAGTTTGTCAATTTTCTTGTCAAGGAAGAAGAAGAAGAAGAAGACAACGACACGATTTCTCTCCAAGTTTCCATGCAGTTCGTCCGGGACGCGGTGAGAGAATATCCAGGAGTGAAACTGAACAAGGAGTTGTTGGAAGATACGGAAGCGGCGCTGGCGTTTTTCGGAGGCGGCGACCGAGGCGGCGGGTTTTTTATCGAAGAAGAAGAAGAAGAAGATGATGACGATACTGGAAACGAAAATGAGCTCAAGCAACCTCGTCGTCGTCTTCAAAACTTTCTGAAGCTGGAAGACTTTGAGGAGATGATCGATGAGACAACTGGAGCGAGAACGGTGTTGTTGACGATACCGTCGTCGAAAGAAGAAGACGCGGCGGGGACGAAAAGGACCGTTTTGTTGAACACGTTGAAAATATCGGAACAGAATCGAGAGATTGGCGAACGCGAGGAGAGAGCGCGAAGAGAAGATTTGTTGGAGGAGAAAAAAAAGTTGGTGAGCCAAGCAAACACGACGGCGGCGGCGAAAGGGAAGACGACTTCGAGTGGTGGCGTTGGGAAGAAGAAGGCTGGGACGAAGAGCAGCGCGGCGGCGATAAAGAAGAAGAAGGACGACGACGAAGGAGAGATGAAAATCGGCGGAGAAGACAAAGACGAGGATAAACAAGAAGAAAAGGATGAAATCTCCCCCGACGGCGACGACATTCTCTCTGGAAGCTGCGCGGCAACGAGACGCTTCAACTCTGGCAAGTTTCAGTTGGACCAATCCAAGAAGATTCACGGCGCCATCGCAGACGATAAGGTGTTCAAATTTTTGAGAGAGTTCAAGAAGGAAGTGTACGAAACGTATCGGTTGCGCTCGTTGGTCGAGAAGATGGATTTTTCTAGCGACGACGATATGAATCAGAAAAGTGACGATCGCGAAAACGTGCTCGAGTGCATTCGAATCTGGATTAACATGCGCGGGATGGTCGTCTCCGCGCGACTGGCGTTGATCGAGCGAGAGAAATTCTTGAAAGACTGCGAAGCGATGACAAAATTTGCTTCAGACTATCGTAAAGACACAAAAGCGGTGTCAAAAGCACCCGTACCGACGGAAAAAGCGACGACTGTTGTTGCTCCTTCGAAGATGAAAGCAACGGACGCGACGACGACGACGATTTTGAAAGAGATTCCAACGTACAGCATCGCGAACCGCTCGCTATCGTCGTGGTCGATTCTTCTCAATGAAGACGACGAAGCGCTTCTCGACGATGAATACGTCGAGAAAAACGATATCGACGACGATATCGACGACGACGACAACCAGCACGTGCTCACGATTGAAGACCAACTTGAGAGCGAGATCAAGACGTACGAGCAAGAGCAAACGTTTAACCAGATGATCATCAAAGGGCATCTTGCGCACGTGACGCCGGCCGGGGAGGAGTTTCGCGACGCGACCGCAAAACTTGAAAAAGCGCTCGAAAAAGTTCTCCGTTCTCCGTCGCTGAGTACGAAGACCTCGCACGACCGCGACCGGTTACTCGCGTCCACGAAATGGTCCGCGGATCAAACCATGGTCTTTGACGATCTCATTTTACTGTGCGACAACGCGTATTTTCCATCGAATGAAAAGGCGTGTAAAGCCGCGGACGATATCAATCGCCACGTGTTGTATCGCGCCGTATCGGTTTTGAAGAAAGCGTTCGAGATACTCTCGGATTTCGTCGACAAAGATCTCGTCGTCGGCGGCTTCAAAAAGTCAGCGGCGCGACTCTTCTCGTCCGCGCTCGAACAGACGTATAGGCGTCAATTTTCAAACATGTTGAACAACATCCTCGATCCGTACGATACGTTAATCGATTACGGAGCCGAGACGAAACTATTAATGTTTGTGCGCATGCGCGTGACGAATGCGATGGAAATCGATAGCGCTTTGAGAGAAAGAGCGCATCAAACGGTAATATCTGCGTGCTTGGAACAAATGTTGAGCGGGAAATTTGACCAGTTTTCGAGGCAAAAGACGGAAAAGTTCATCGAAGAGCTCTTGTTCGAAGAAGAAACGGAAGAAGAGGAGAAGAAGAAGAAGAAAGCCGCGAAATCGTCCTCCTCGTCGTCGAAAAAGAAGAAGAAGAAAAGCAACAAGGCGGGCAAAGATACGCCGGCGCCGGTCTCCGAGAAGAAGGAAGAAGTCTCGGATAAAGAAGACGACGACGAGAAAGAAGAAGAAGGAGAAGAAGGAAAAGAAGAAGAACAAGGAAGAGAAGAGGTTACTCTTACTCCTACTCTCGTTGTTCCAGTCGCTTTGCAAGAGTCCGAAGAATTCATGGAAGAAGAAAACCTCGAGGCTTGGCAAGAGGTGAAAAAAGTGCGCGGCGCCAAGACTTCCCCTTCTTCTGTCATCGTCGCTCCGAAAGATCTCGTTTTATCGAAAGTCAAGATTTCGCCTGTGAAGAAGATACCTGCGGCAAAGCAGCAGCAACAGCAGAGGAGCGAATTATCTTCATCGCCTCCGTTGCCAAAGTCGCCACCGCCGAAAGAAGTCGTCACCGCCGCGGTCGAGAAGAAGAGAGAGGTGACGAGACGAGCGCTGTTTGTCGATACTCTCAAGAAGAACGAAACAGCACCGGCTCCCACTGTTGTAGTCGAAGAAGAGACGAAAGAGGAAAAACAAGAAGAAGCTCGAGAAGAAGAAGAAGAAGAAGAGCAGCAGCAGCAGAAAGTTGCGGACGACAAAGAAGAAAGCAACGATACGTACGTCGTGCGAAGCGTTTCGGACATTGAACAGTCTTTCTGCGCCGCGTCAAATCCTCCACCAGATCAACAACAGCACTACCATCATCATCATCAACACTACCAACCACCACTTCCGCAAATGCCACCACCACAGATGGTTGACGGTCAAAGAGTCATTTTTGTGCCGATGATTATTCCCGATAGTGGGAGTATGCCGCATCCGATGCCGTTTGGAATGCACCATCATCATTCGATGGCGCCTCCGCTTCCTCCGCCGATGCCTCGGCTTCCGGATACCTCCGAAGCGGTTGTTTCGATGTACAACAAGTTCTACCATGACGTCATGATGCAGCAGCAGTATCCACCACCACCACCAACGCAAAGATCGTCGTCGGCGAACATTGGAGCAGCAACGAACGAAGCGGTGAGCGATACGGCGAGTACCGCGTCAGACGACCACCCGTGCGCAGCCGCGGTGAAGTCTTCTTCCTCTTCTCCTTCTTCTTCTACTTCACCGCCACTTCCTAAAACGCCACCACCAAAAGGTCAGCAACAGATGATTCAGCATCATAAATCGGCCTCTTCTTCGCCTTCTATATCGCCAAGTGCATCTTCGTCTTCAATTCGCATTCCTTCGCCTCGTCCTATCGATCTGGCGAGAATTTCATCTGCGGCGTTTCCAAAGCCGCGACGATCATCGAGAGAGTATAGGAGAGACAATCATCAGCATAATCACGGAAACGATTCCAACGATGATCGTAATAGTAATTCGAAAAGAGAAGAAGAGTTTCCAGCGCTTTCTAAGGATAAGAACGGCGGAAAAGCGTCAAATGTCATGTCGCTCGCGAAATCGAACAAGTCGTGGGCGGAAGCGCAGATGGAGTTGAAGGGCACGAGTTTACCTTCGTTGACGTCGTCGCCGATGAAGCCACCGTCGCTACCGCAGCAACACCATCAAATGCAACGTCAGGTCGCGTGAAAAAGTGAAAGAGAGAGCGCGCGTGTTTATATTATTTTTTACCGGTACAAAGCGAGAGACATATTTTTTAATACAGCTACGATTACAATATTTCTACGGTGGGCCACGACCCGTCGCAGTAATTTATTTACATGCGCTTTACCGAAACCTTTCCATTCTCGAACAAAGGGGACCCTCCTTTTTTTGAGATTTGCGGCGTGAAATCATCCGGCGACGACTCCCAAATTACCGTCCCGTCGCACTGACACACCTTCTTGAGATTTTCACCGACGCCGGCGCTTCTGGCGAGCACCGCGGCTACTCGCAAACCTTCTCCTTCTTCGTTCCCTGCGACCACCTCTTCGATGCACAAAGCTCTTCCAATGATATCCCAAACGAAAAATTTCTTTGGAAGCTGTAAACTCGCTTTAATCGACCCGTCCTCCATGGCTTGCACGGCGCACATTTCGCCTAATAATATTTCCTCTTCTCGTTCATTTTCGTTCGTATTTTGATACACTTCCCCGCAGCTCTCCACCCCTCTCGTCGTATCTCCATACATCCGCACTCGCAATTTGTACTTTTTCCCCTTCTCTAAGCCTAACACGTCCGCCTCAAACGTCGCCGTCTCTTCGTTCACTTGCACGAACCGCACGACGCCTTTACAACTCCCGTGTTGATACGCCTCTCCTTTAAACTCCGCGACGGCGGCTAAGGACTGCCTCAACGTTCTCAAATCCATACCTAATCGTTCCGCGAGTCGTTCGTTGAACAACTCCACGTTCCCCTGACCAACTAAACGCGTTTTATATCCCGTAGACGCGATCTTCTCTTCCACCGTTTTCACCGAAGACGTCGCGAGCACTCGCACCGTATTCGTTCCGAGTGACGCGGAGACTTGAATAACGCCTTCGAGAGAAAGGACGGATTTTTCGACTTTCTCCACGCACTTCCCACAGCGCATTTCCACCATAAACTCAATCTCTCTCGCGACTCCTTTTGTACTACTTCCGTTGATGTCATTTGCGTTGTAATCGTCGTTCGATGATGATGTTTGAGCAGTAGTGCGGCGGCGGATATTTGTATCCTTCTTTATTGAATGATGATGATGATGAGAAGAAGAATAACTACTTCTACTCGTCATCGCCGTCACTCGACTTTTGGGTCGTTGTTTTTGTTGTTGTTTTTGTCGTGGAATAAAACGACTACCCTTTTTGCGAGCAGCAGCAGCAGCAGCGCGAGCAGCAACAGCAACAGGAGCAACGGGAGCAACATTTTGAGGAGGTTTTGTTTGCATCGTCATCGTCATCTGTATCATCTTTTTATTATACTAGTACGCTCTAATGCGGTTTTTTTTTATGTGGAAAAAACTTCTCACACACAAGTTTTGGATAAAGAAAAACGTCACTTCACATCTGAAGCACATTCTCTGCTACACTTTGAATAATATAATAATAAGTATGTTTGCCATCAGTTCTTCTTCAACTATTCAGTGCCAAATCCAAGCAAACCAACACGCGTGCTCTTCTCGATGCGCGTGCGCTGGCCGACGAGGGTAGGAGTTTTTCTAGTATTCTAGTATTGATGACGACGATCGATGACGACGAGTATACGTGGCTTTTTACCCTAGAGCTAAAATTTTGGACTCGTTTTACTTCTCAAAATGAATGCTCTGTTAACCGCACGTATTATCGACTCTCTCTTCACGCGCGAATATAATGATAACATTATTAACAACAACAATATACACAGGTTGAAAACGGTTTCTAAAGCCGCGAGAAAGACCCCGGTCGCGTTCGCCGTCAACGCCGAACAAGTACGTGGTTTTCTATTTTATAACTACTAAAATTCTTCTCTTTTTGCCTCTTCTTTTTTTTGCTTCGGGGGACGAAAATGGTGGGAAAAAAGAACGCATATTTAGTAGAAGAATCTGCGGCTTAAATACTGACTTTACACATTATTATTTATATATATTATCCGAAACAAACAAACGAACAAACAGAAAGCGGTCGTCGTTCTCACCGGTACGGCTGGCGTCGCGGGCACGTTAACTTTGACGCAAGATGACCCGTCTGGCGCGACGACGGTTGTCGGCGACATCACCGGTTTGGCGCCGGGCAAACACGGTTTGCACGTGCACGAATTCGGAGACACGACCAACGGGTGCATGTCCACTGGTCCGCACTTTAACCCGAACAAGATGACGCACGGCGCGCCGACGGATTCAGTCAGACACGCCGGGGATTTGGGTAACGTCATCGCGGATGCCGGCGGGTGCAAGTTTACCATTAAGGATATGCAAATTCCTTTGTCCGGGGCAAACTCCATCGTCGGCAGAGCGTTCGTGATTCACGAGTTGGAAGATGATTTGGGTAAAGGGGATAACTCGGAAATCGGCACGCAAGGCAAGACGAGTTCCACGACCGGTAACGCGGGCGCAAGGTTGGTATTTTTTTGCTCTTATCTATTTTACTCATTTATTTTCAAAGGTTGGCCTGCGGCGTCGTGGGTTTAACTCCCTAATCTTTCGAGCGGAAATGATTTTGGCTAGCGCGAGATGAGCTAATAATAAGTCACCGGAGTGAGGTAGCAATAAAAGAACTAGTTTCCGTAAAACACAATACTTACGTAATAATATTCAACAAAATCTATTTACTTTACTTCCGCTTCCTCAGCGAACTTGCCGCGCCCCCCGCGCTTCTTGTTTTCGTCGTCGTTTCAGCCTTCTTCTTCTTCTGTTTTGTCGTCGTCGAAGAAGAGGAGCTTTTCTTGCTACCACTTACTACTCCAGATAATGATACTGACGTAGCCATATCGATCGCTTTAGCTACGACTGCAGTCATCAACGACCCCAAAACTGCCCCGTACACGTACGGCCTATTCGCTTCGTGTTGCGCAGCCTCGAGTATTCGCTCGATCGAAAAGATTTTCTTACTCTTCATCATCGTTTGCCCCCACACGACGTGCGAGGCTAAAACCACCGCCGGATTCATGTACCCGCAAGAATACTTACACTTCTCTACGGTGATAACGATGCAGTAAAACAAAGCGCCAAACGCCGGTTGCACGCCTTTCGGCATCGTCTTTGCCGCGAAATCAAACGCCAGAAAGTTCAGAAACGCGACCACCGCTTCGCTCGTTACGGCTTCGCGTTGCGATCCAACGGCGATAACCGGCGACCCGGCTGGTAAAATCGCTTCTCCCAATTCAACGTGAAGAATGAAATATGCCATAAACGCGGCGATGTGTGCTACAACCACCACCATCGCGCCATTAAACGCCTCCGCGAACGATATTTCTCCCATGAATCCTCTCAATATATACACCGTTGGATTATTGCACGACCCTTTGGAAAACCGTCCATATATCGGTCCGAAATAAAACTGCAAGTTGATGAACAATAAAGCGACGATAATTTCGTTTGCATATCGCGTCTTCAACATCTCTTTCGTTTCCATCGAAATCAACTTTTCCGCGAGAAACAAAAACAGATTCTTTTGCATCGGGACGAACAACATCCCGAACGCCATCGAAAACGCGGAGAGGAATTCTCTTTTCAAACCCGGGTTTTGCCACGATGATGCACTTTTCGAAGAAGAAGATTTCGAAGAATTTTTAATGCCGCCGCTGCTTCTCGCAGTAGTGCTCCTCCTCGTCGTCGCGACCATCTTCTTCTTCGGTACTCTTTGTGGTGTGTACACAACAAAGAAGCGATTTAACGGAAAAGAACGAGAGAGAAAGAGAGTTTGAAATTTTTTGTCGTGTGAAAAAAGTTGTTTTTATTGAAAATCTCTCCTCTCTCCAAAGAGAAGCCAAAAATGCAGAGCAGAGCAGATTTCCTCTTTTCTAAAATTTTCTTCCTCTTTGGCAAGCAAGCAAAAAGGGGGGTTTGTGGTAGAATTTTGCCCAAAAAACAGTTAAAGACGAGAGAAGGATTATAATCGTCACGCTCTGTTATCTAACAATAATAATCTTAAACACCCCCCGTCTTCGCTTACGTTACGTCGTTTAATACGTCGTGAATGCTTTCACAACCATTCCTCAAAGTAGTATCATCATCGTCGATTCGCAGCAGGAGCAATAGTTATAATAATAATAATAACATTAGTGTTAGCGCGTCTGCTCGTGATCGTCAAAATTCTGTTGTGCGAGGAGGAGGATTATCTGAAGTTGTCGTTCTGAGAAGAGAAAAAAGAAGAAGAAGAAGATCAAATGATGCCGCGCTGGTCGTTGCTTCGACGAATACACTCCGGACAGAAGACGTGTTTTGCGGTTGTTCTTCTAAAAGCCGTCTTTATCGTCTAAAAGTTTGTCCGGGAAAAGGAGGAGGAGGAGGAGGTTCTTCTTCTTCTTTGTCTTCTTCTGATTTCAACGTTTTTGCAGCCAAAACAACAGACGACGATGATGATGATGACGCGAAAGAATCATACGGAGGAGACGAAGAAAAGCAGGAGCAGAAATTTTTCGACGTGCACGCGTTGAAACATTTTTGCGCGCTGGGCGTGTTTTTTACCGGTTTACTCTACATCGCGTACGCGTTGCTCCCGCACGTCGGGTATACCACCGCGCATCCTCCAAACACGGAAAATTTGATGGTGAAAACGTTTCAGTCTTTATCGACGCTGCAAGCGGCGGAGTGGTTGAGGTTTGTGGATTTGTTCGGCACGGGCGTGTTCGCGCACGGCGGAGTTATTGCAGCGGGGAAGAGAGGTTTGGACTTGCTCGGGTGCGTCGTCGTCGGGTGCGTGACCGCCATGGGCGGAGGGACCATTCGAGGAGCGTTGATTGGCATCGAAGGCGCGCATCCGGTCTTTTGGATAGCCGAGCCGGAATACCTAATCGTCGCCTTGGTCGCTTCCTTCTTCACGTTTTTCTTCTGGCCGAAAGTCTTATCGAAGGAAGTTCGTGAATCGAAAGCGATGGAAACTGCGTTGAACTGGTTGGACGCGTTAAGTTTAGGCGGTTTTTGCATCATCGGCGCCAACGCCGCGTTGGTCCGAAACTTAGGCCCTCTCCTCGCGGTCGCATTATCCGCGATCACGTGCACGGGAGGTGGCGTCGTGCGTGACGTTTTCCTACGCCAACCGGTGCGAGTGTTACACTCGCACGCGGAGTTATACGGCACCACCGCTATCGCCGGCGCCGCCGTGTACACGGTCTTCGCCTGTTGGTTCCCGGGAGTCTCGCACAACCTAAGATGCCTCCTCGCCGCGTCCACCACCGTCTTTTTACGATGGAGGGCTTGGAAGAGAGGTTTGAAGTTGCCCATGTATTCGGACGTGAACCCGGATTTTGGTGATTACATCTCTATCGCGCAAAGAGACGTTTAGATTTGATTGATATGGTGATATCTGTCGTTCACTTGTTGTTGTTGTAATTTTTATTCTTGTTTGTATCAAAATGACCATTTTGCGATCGGAAAAAAAAAAAAACCTCCTCTCTCTTCTCTCTTTTCGTCATTAAAACCTTCATCATCATCATCATCATCATCATCATGCTCATCAGACAAGCGATAAAGAAGACGGCGACGACGACTGGGTCGAACAACGGTGGGATTGCCGCCGCCGCCTTAACCGCTCAAACAAAATATTTTAGCAGTAGCACGAGCAGCGGAAGGGCGATTTTTTCCGCCTCTTATATGACGTCTTCCGATCTGTTTTTTACTACTACTACTACTACTACTTCGAAGAAGAATAATGGGATGAACAACAACAACAACAACAACAAGAGGAATACTAATAGTAATACTAACACTAAGAACATTTTCAAGCAACAAACGAGCAAAACGAACAACAATCAAACGTTTTCGCACGTCATCAACGAGCGATTATACTCCGTCGGTCTCATGGTCCACAGAGATTCCGCGGAGAACAATTCGTCTTTGAAGTGGGAGTTCTCGAAGGAAAACGAGACCAAAGTGCAGACTATTTTGAAGAGATATCCGCCGAATTACAAACGATCGGCGATGATTCCTTTGTTAGACGTCGCGCAACAACAAAATGCCGGGTATTTAACCGTTCCGGTGATGAATCACATCGCGGAGTTGTTGGAAGTGGCGCCGATTCGCGTGTACGAAGTGGCGACGTTTTACTCCATGTTTAACCGGTCGAAAGTTGGAAGTTACCACGTGATGGTGTGCGGAACGACCCCATGCATGTTGCGAGGATCGAGAGACATCGAGAAGGCGTTGAGCGAACATTTAGGGGTGAAGAAATTTGAAACGACCAGGGACGGAAAATTCACGTTGGGGGAGATGGAGTGCATGGGATGTTGCGTAAACGCGCCGATGATTGCGGTGGCGGATTATACGGGAGGCGTGGAGAAATACACGTATAATTATTACGAGGATTTGACGCCGGAAAGTGCGGTGTCGATTGTCCAAACGTTAGCGCAGGGGAAAATGCCGGAGAAGGTTGGGAGTCAGATTAGGAATAAAGCAGAGCCGATAACCGGGACGACGACCTTGAACACCGAGCCGACTGGGCCCAATTGCCGAGATTTGGCAAAGTTGAAGAAAGAATTGGAAGCGGCTGCGGCGGAGGCGGCAAAAGCGGCAGCCGCGGAAGCTGCTGCTGGGGCGAAGAAGTAATCAAAGAAGTCTTATTATTATTAAAAAGAGCGTGTTTGTTTTGTAAATCTGTAATTAAGAAGAGAAGAACTCTTTACTTGAACCAATATATTTGAGGAAGCGCTTTACCCGCTTGAATTTTTTACGCGTCCAAGTCTCGGAACGGCCAGAGGAATCGCGCACTGCGAGATCCGCATATTAAAGAGAGTCCACGAAGTTTACATTCCTCAGTCTCGCTGCTTTCGATATCGCGATGGATCTCGTTCCAAGAAAAGTGCCCAGTCTTCTCGCGTCCGAATCTATTCGATCGATCCTTGACAAAGTCCTGTAAACGAGACATGTGGACGACGCGAAAACCTTTCTCACGAAGCAAATTTTCGTCTTGAAACAAATATACGACCATATTTAGCGTCAACAATGAGTTCGCGCCTTCAATAACCACGAACTCTTTAGTCATGAGAAGAACGAATAACACCGCGAGAATCGACAAGATTGCTTGAAGTATATCGCTGAGCTCGCCTTTTTCCAACTCTGGATCGAGCGTCAAGTACACCGTAAACGCGTGTAAAAACAAGAAAAAGTACGCGAAAAACATCGGCAGTTGACGCAACCACATCGTCACTTTATGTGTTTTCGGAAAATCAACGATAATTCCTCTCGTTAGGCACACGTTCCACACCGTCGCTCGGTGCGCGTATTCAATTTTTGACCACCCAATTAATATTATCAGAGACAACTCTATCGCCATGAACGCCGCGTTCGACATGGTTGGAATCAGCGCGATTATCGGCGAAAATAAAAGGAAACAAAATATGCCAACGTTTACCCACAGCATTATCCCTGCCTGTCCGTCTCTCTCCACCTTCATCTCGGATAAGCTTTTGTTCTGCGCGAGGAAAAGTTCTATCGAAGTTTTTCCCTCTTCTCGTCGTTTCTTTTGTTGTTCGTGTTGCTGTTCGCTCTCAACGACGACTGGTACTGAACCATCATTGCCTTCCTGAGTGTCTAAACTTTCCTCTCGCAAAGCGTCTCGATTGATGTGCTCTTCATCTTGCGGTGGAGTGAAAAGTCCTTTCAGCATTTTGTTTGTATCTCTTTTATTGCGCGCGGGTGGGTGTATCTTCAGTTTTTCTGGTGTCTTTTTTTCTTTTCTCTCTCGCTCTCTTTCGTGTCTTACAAAAAAAAAAAAGTATATGTAGTAATATCATATTATTGTGAATACAACGATCGTTTTGCGTGATATATACAGACGGACGTCATCTCTCTCTTTCGTGTCGCTCTTTCTCGAGAAATTAAGCGAACAACGCGGCGTCGCCGTTATTGTTATTGTTCGCGGTATTCGCGCCGCCGTCGATCGCGTCTCGAGTTCTCTCCAAGTTTGCGCGGATCTTGGAAACCAACACGTTGGCAACTTGTTTGTGCGCAAATTTCTTCAACAATCCTTTCATCTTCGCCTTTCCACGAGCGACGATATATATTGATCCGTCCGAGTCTATTTCGATCGCGTTGGATCCTTCGTACACCTCGAACACTCTCGAGTTTTTCGCTTCGATCATTTTAAAGGCGATTGAACCGGTCGATCGATCGGAAGAGACGAAAGTTTTCATGATCGATTTGCCGAAAGCGCTTTGTGACTTTGTCTCGCAAACGTGAAACATTTTTGCGCGATGATGGTCAAGGGTTTGATATAAAGGGGGGCCTTTTGATCGTCTCGTCTCGAGGGTTTCGTCCGATCCGAACATGAATTCGCGCACCTCCTTCGCCGAAGCCTCGCGCGAACGAATGGAATCGTCCATCGTGTTACTTCCACCCAAAATCCCTTCTTGTAATCGCGAATACACCGCATTTAACACGTCTTTTCCGCCGCCGCTTGTTTCAATCTTTGTTTCAATCCTCCTTCTCACCGCGTACTCCACGACCCCGTCGTCTTTCAACTGCAACTCGTGTTCGTACAAAGCCGAAGAAGAAATATTTCGTCTCACAAACTTTCCTCCTTCGCTCTCTGAGATTCTTCGTCTGGATAAGTACGGGTACGCCTCGTCTTCTTGCTCTGGGAACACCAGGACAGAAGAAGAAGAAGAGGAAGAAAAAGAAGGAGGAGGAGAGAAAATCGCTCTAGATCTTCCTCCGCCCTTCGATGATTTTTTATTCATACCGTCGAAAGATTTTCGTCTCGGAAGAATCGAAGAGTTGAAAAACCCTTTCTTTCTCCCATTATTCACATCTCCGTTGAGCGTCGCGTTCGACCCCCCGTTAGAGGCGAGCATTTTTGATGTTCTTTTCTTGTCGTCTTCTTCAAAAGCGTTTATTAAATACTGATGATAATAATACTACATGCGTTTTCTTCAAAACGTCTTCTTTGCCGGACTGACAGTCGTCGTATTTTTTAATTCCTCGTTGGTACAAACAAAAACTCTTTGCAGAGACAACACAACAAAAAAAGTTCGCATCATCATAATTGAGTAAAGAACACACAAAACCAACGCGAAATTTTGCAAAAATCAGAGTCATGGACAACAACACTCTTTTGTCACAAACAACATCGTCCGAGTCTATGATGCCGTACTCTCGCGTCCCGGCTGGTTTCGTCTCCTACCGCCCGGTCTTAGTGGAAGACATTGATATAATTTCGGAGATTGAATCCAATTCGTATCCGGAGGATGAAAAAGCTTCTTTAGAAACGTTACGGTATAGATGCATAAACGCAGGAGAGATGTTCTTAGTCGCCACGGAACATGGAGGAAGTGAGAATGAAATTATTGGATATATATGCGGGACGTGCGTGAACGAAAACGAAACGTTAACTGCGGAAACCATGGGAAGTAAACACGAACCAGACGGAGCGATTTTATGTGTGCATTCTGTTTGCGTGAAGTCTAACAAACGAAGACGAGGCGTCGGAGGGAAGCTGTTGGAAACGTATTTAATGTATTTAAAAGCTCGAAATAACGATAGGAAACGAGACAACCAATCAGAGTTGAAATCTGTTCGCTTGTTGTGTAAGAAGCACATGATTCCGTTTTATCAGAATGGCGGGTTTACGCTGTTAGGCGAAAGCGAAGTAACGCACGGCAAAGACGCGTGGTTCGACTGCGAGTTTACACTTTTAGATTAGAAGACAAAGAATAGTATATACTAGAGTATTGATAATATAAACACACAGGTAACTAAAAGTCTGTGAGGATACCAAGAATACGACGATGGCTTCTTTTGACTTTTGACTCTCATTAGACTTTGGTGTTCTCTCGTTCTTTGTTTTTCTCTCTTCTTAAAATTCGTTTGAAAGACTTTCTTCGGTGTCTCCGTGCCTCACAAATGAGCATTACCTTATTCTTCTTCTTAGTATTATTCAATAGTAAAGCAGAGTAAACACACACAGCTGTATAAACTGTTAAGATGGCGGACGCTTTAGTGGCGAACATCTTCGGCGATTCCTCGGACGACTCGGACGACGAGCCTTTAGAGAAGACCATTAGAACCACCACGACCGGCGAAGAATTAGACAAAAACGACGGCGATCGAAAATTAGACAAAAACGAATTTGAACAAGGTGAAGACAAAGAAGATGAAAGAGAAGAGCAAAAGGAGATGAAAACTTCAGAGAAAGACGAAGCAGTCGCGGTGAAAAAGAAGAAAGCGACGAACGAATCTGTTTTAGATGAATACGCCGGAGAGGACAAAGAAGAAGCGACGACTGAAGGAGAAAAAGAGGAAAGAAAAGGCGAACCGATGCGACTGATCGCCGCTTTGAACGAAGAAGAAGAAGACAAAGACAAAGATGAAGAAGAAGACTCTACAAAAGAAATCTACTTAAACCCGATCGTTTCTAAAGCGACGAACATTTTTGACGTGAACGCGAAGAAATTCGACGAAAACACGTTCCAAGAAGAAGAGGACAAAACTATCGTGGATGAATTTGGCCGATCCCGATTAAAAGCGAAAGAAGGGAACGTCGCGAGGTGGACGAGAGACGAGAGGACGAATGAGTTAAAATCGAACGCGAAGTTTGTGGAATGGTCGGATGGATCGAGAACGTTACACTTAGGAGAGGAGGTTTTCAACGTGATGGAAAGCGCGGTATCGAGTAAGCAAGGTTTGAATCAATACGTCTTTGCGAGACATCAAGGTTTGATGGAAGGGAAGGCGAAGATTAGCAAACGGATGCAGTTTCGACCGGCGACGACGGATTCGCACACGCACAAGAGATTACGAGACGCGATCGAGAAGAAGCACGGGGCGAGAGCGAAAGGGACCATACGGTTCGTGTCGAACGTCGATCCGGAAAAGGAGAAGGACGCGTCGGATCGATTGTTCGAACAGAGAGCGAGGGAAGAGGCGCAGTTGCAACGAAAACGGAAGAAAATGATGAGCGAAGATATACGATCGCGAGCAGATGGTGGCGACGGCGTAATGCGGAGGGATGGTGGGAAAGACGGACGATACGGGGGTGGTAACCGAAGTATTCGTGGGGTGGCGAACGAGTTGTACTACGACGAACGCTCGAGAAGAGAAGCCGAGTTGGACGCGGCGTTTTTGGAAGAAGGCGCGGAGGACGAACTCGAAGAGAACGACGACTTCATCGTCCCAGATGATAACGACGACGAGGACGAAAGCGACGAGGAGACAAACAAGGAGGCGGACACGGAGGCTGGTGATCGTAGAAAACGAGTTTTGGTCGATAGCGACGAGGAAGAATGAGAGAAACGTGTTGTTGTTGTTGTTGTTGTTGTTGTACCGGTAAACTACCACTCTCGCTTTACGCTACATTTTAGCCATTTTCGAGTTTGTTTTCGTCATTTTAACGAAGAAGGTGATGTTGAAAATGATGTTGGGGCGATACCAAAGTCGAGTTTTGTTGCTCTGTCGCCGATGTTATGCATCTCCGAATACTCGTAATGCAATACATACGTGTCACAGAAGAAGAACAACAACAACACAGGGAGTTTTGAAACGCTCGTCGTCGCGCTGCGCAAATTCGTCATCTGATACCAATACTCATCATACAAACAAGATACGCGTGATAACGAAAAAACCGTATCACGAATCCACTTTTGTCGCGAAGAAGTCAAAGTTCGTGTGCAAAATAGCTACGATTTCCAACTCTAACGAAGCCATGAAGTTTATAAAAGACCACTCGGATGTGTCCGTCTCGCATAATTGTTTCGCTTGGAGAATAGGGGACGCGAACAACCGATCGAGCGACGACGGAGAACCGTCGGGAACAGCCGGAATTCCAATCCTGAATGTCCTCCAAGGGAAAAAAGAAAAACTGGATTTCGAGAACGTCGTCGCGATGGTGACGAGATATTATGGAGGGACAAAGTTAGGTCCAGGCGGTTTGATGCGAGCTTACGGTGGAGCGGTAAATCAAGCGTTTGAGACTTTAGATTTAGAAAACGAGACAAAGTTGAAAGCGGCGAAAGTCGTCGTGGCGTTTGCGAACGTCGAGGAATCGAAAGACGTGGAGAGAGTCAATCGAACGGTGGAACGTTTCGCGAGCGAAGAGCGGGTGCGGGTGGAAGACGAAGAATGGGACGAAGATACCGGTGGAGTTTCGTTAGAGCTGAACGTCGATTTTGATGCGATAGAGGAGTTGGAATCGGCGTTGAACGAAGCGACGAGTGGGAGAGTCGATTTTAAATGGTTCGATTCATGAAAGACGATTCGTTCCATTATTTTTATTTGCTTAATTCTTTTACTATTCGCCTTCTTCTCTGTGCACTTTCTTCTCCAACTCTTGTCTGTCGTCAGTCATCAACACCGTGCCTTCGATTGGCGCGTCGAACGGCAAAACTTCGATTCCATCCATCGGTTTAAACGCCGTCTCCCCAGTCGGGCACCGAATAACTATCGTGCATGGTTCCTCTAAATCTAACATTCTCCTTAATCTTTCAATCGTTTCTAAAATCCCTCGTTGCTCCTCCAAGTTCGCCGCGCAACTCGCCATGTGTTGCACGTGCGACTCCAAGTTAAAACACGCCTGCGACAGGTGATTATATACGCTATCGATTTGTCTCTTTAAATCCCCTCCGGCGTAAAACTCAATCTCCGGAATCTCAATCGACGACCCAGGCGCTCGCATTAATATCCTCCACAAATCTGATTTTGCTTTCAACTCCAGCTTCAAACACCTCGGTTTCCGGTTTTCCGCTTTCAACTCCGGTATTAACCGCCAGCACTTGCGAACGAGACCGGGTTGTAACTCCGACTCCACGTCTTTGCACTCAATCATCGGTAGTTTATTCACGAACTCTTCGAACGTCATTTTCAACGCGTCTTCGAATTCGTCTTCGTCCTCGTACCCTAAATCCGTGGCTAACATCGATCCAATCCCGTGAATAGGGAGCCACTCTCCCGGTTGGGTCTTATAAATCTCCTCCAACTCGATGAGGATTCGTTCGACTTCTTGGTGCGAAATGTCCACGGAAAACGCTTCCAACATCTTCGCGCCTTGAGACTCGTCCTCCGTGAGAGTAATGGTTGAATTCATCGGTAAATCTCGAATGTCGTCCAATTTACGTTTCATGTCCGATTGAATTTGTCCTGGAATAACCGAGGAGGTCATCGCGTTGGCCAGTATTTTATCCATGTGTGTTGTTGTTTCTGTGTGACGGCGGAATACCTTTTTTGTTGTGAGGACGAATTTTACTAAAACACGACTCATACGAATATAATAACACAGTAACTGCTATTCACCTACTATTTACACACACTATTACTACTACTACTTTAGACTAGACTAGATTACATATCATCATTATCATTATCATTTCGTGATCTTGACCTCGCCGTCGTAATCTAAACTCCACGTCTCCACGACCCCGTCGTTCTCTCCGCACTCGTCGCACAGAAATTCCTCCTTTAAGTTCATCTCGATCCAACTCCGAGCGACCGAGGTTAAATCCACGTGTTCCGTCGAGCGAGGGAACGGGACGATTTCGAGGTCTCCGGAGACATCGCCGAACGCCGTCGCGTGTTCGTCCAGGAAAAGTTTGAATCCTGATTTTACCGGTAAGTTGAACTTCCCGTCGCACGCGTCGCAGTGGCATCGTATGTGGCCGGTGATCTCCGCCTGCAGGAAGAACGAGTGCGGGCCACTCGGTTCCGCGTAGCCTTTTATGTCTATCAAACATGAAGCAATTTCTTCTTCCTTTTCCTCTTCTTCGAACAAACTCCCTTCGATTTTCATCAACCGACTCTCCACCGACCACGTCGTCTCCCACGGAGGTGGATCCTCCCTATTCTTAAATTCTCCTCTCCTCAGTTGAATGATTTTGTCGTCTCGTCGTCGCTGATGTTTCCCTTGCGAATAAAAAGGAGATTTAGGACGACCGGTTTTTTGGGTTTCGTTGCTTTTGTTGTTGCGTCCTTGTTCTTGTTGTTTCCCCGTCGTCGTCGTCTCGTCATCATTTGTTGACGCTGATGATGCCGTCGAGGAGGATGTTTTTGCTGCGAAGAAACCACCACCGACGCTGTTGTTGCATCGACGAAGACCCCGACGACGCGGGGTCAGTACTGCCGCCGAAGAAAATGATTTTGATAACGATGAGGAGCAGGTCAGGGACGACGACATCGATCGCGCGGCGTTGTGTTTACTCTCTCTCTATAGTATTACTTTTGTTGTGAGAACGCAATGTGTGACGAAAATAGTAGAGTAAAAAGGTAGATATCGCGTTTCATACGTTTGATAATCCACGCCTACAGTTTAGGTTCGCAGAAGCACTCGATGAGGCCGATGAAAAGTGTTACGTTAACTATGATGAGAGCGCTACGGATTAGATAGAGGTTCTCTCTCTGCTATTACACACATACTACTATTACTACACTCTACTTCTTTTTACTTTCCTCGATACCGTCGTCGTTGGTGGCGGTGGTCGTCGTCACTTTCCTCACTCTTTCGGTCAAATCCTCCGCCCAAAACGTAAACTGCGCCACGTGCACTTCCTCTACCCTTCGTGGGTTTCGCATCGCTTTCCGAAACTCATCCGTTTGCAAAAGTTTCAGAAAGTATAAACAGTGCGGGTATAAGATGTATTTCGAATATCTCGGGTCTCGATACCAGTACTGGAGGTAGGATAAGTATTCGATCATTTCTTTGCTGTTGAGGATATCAATTGGTTCTTTATCATCATCATCATCATCATCTTCGTTGTTGTTGTTGTTGGATGAAGTCGTCGTCGAAGTCGTCGAAGTCGTCGTCGCCAGATGGTGTAAATATCGCGGGTTCGCCAACGATTGCACGAATTCTAATTCTAACTCGAACCTATTCTTGTTCGAACACATAGTTTTCTCTTCGTCCAGCTTCGATTGTTTCTTAAGGAGGAATTGATGATCATCTTCTTTTATTGTTGATGTTGTTGCCGCCATGTGTTTTGCTGCCACCACGATTGACTGACTGCGAAGGTTTAAAGCGAGTAGTAGTGATCGTCGTGTGTCGTTTTGAAGATGATGATGATGCTCTTTAGTAGAGTAGTAGGTATTGCTAAAAGTGTGTTGTTGTTGTTGTTGTTGTTGTTGTTGTTTTTGCGCAGAAAAAAATTTAGGATTGGTCATAAAATTTGGTGCAAAATGGTGCAAAAACAATTTTTCAGTCAAAATACGAGAACAACAAAAACAACAAAATTATAGGGGTTGATGAGAATCGCAAATGAATAACTTTAACAACAATAATTAACAAGAACATGAATGAATGAAGAATAAGAAGAATAAGACAAAGAGCAATACTACGAAGAACAACGAAAACAAAGAAGAAAAAGAAGGAGAGATGAAGTTTTCCCAAACGCTGCTCTCTTCGAAGATCGGTTCTGTGCTGACCAAACGACCGTACGATTTGAACCTATCGCACAAAACAGAAAAGATTGAAAATCCGTTTCACGAAATCTTAATCAGAGACGACGTGTTGAGCAAGAAAGAGTGCGATTCGATCGTCGCGTCCATCTGTTCGATTTTTGAGTATCAACTGGCCACGAGCCGAGGACCGAAATTCGGAGAAGCGAGGAGGAAAAACAATCGGATGTCGTTCGCAGACGAGAAATTAGCGAAAATGTTATGGGAGGATATCGGGTTGAAGACTATGTTTATTCGCAGCGACGACGAAGAAGAAGAAGAAGAAGAAGAAGAAGAAGAAGAAGAAGAAGAAGAGGTTTTTCACTCTCTCAATGAAAATTTCAGAGTGTACGAATACACGGAATCGCACCATTTCGGGCCGCACATCGACGAGCGCGTGCGAACGAAGAACGCGCGACATCAAAAGTTAGTGAGCACGCACACGATGCTCTTATATTTAGCCGGAGAAGAGAACGGGCTGAAAGGAGGGAACACGTATTTCTTGGACGACTATAGAAATCGAATCGCGAGCGTGACGCCAAAGGCTGGACGTGTTTGTTTCTTCAGGCACGGCGAGGAGAAGTGCGAACACGAAGGGGAGGAAATATTCGCAGGGAAGAAGATTGTGCTGAGAAGCGACGTGTTTAAATTAGTGGATGTAGAAGAATAGAATAAACGCATTGAATAGCCCCCCACCATTAATAGTCGCATTGTATTAAATACCGAAAAACGAATTGAACAAACGTTTCCTTTTTGGCGTTGTTTAGGCTAATTTAGCTATCCTGGCGTCGATTTCATCGCACTTCTTTTCCGCGTTCTGGACGGTCGTTTCGAACAATTCGATTTGTTTTTCCAACGCTTCTATGGTTGGAAGTATCGAGCAGTGTATTTTCTTTTCCGTGTCTGCGATTTTTTCAACGAAGACTCGAGCGTCTAAAACTTCTTTCGTGCATCTCTCGAACGCGTTCTTGGCGACTTCGTTCAAGGAGGAATACAATCGAAACTCTTCGCTCGCGTAATCCAACTCTGATTTTACCGCTTTCGCAGTGGCTAGGAACGCCTGTTCGGCGACGGATTCCATTTTATCTAAGACGACCACTTCATTTTCGTCGTGTTCAGTGACGTTTCCGTTTTCGTCTCTGACGATGGATTTCTTCTTCCACTGGTCTAAACTCTTCGCCTCGATCGTCTCTCTCGCGGCTTGTAAACATTTCGAGAGCGAGGTTTTCGAATCCTTTAAGTACGAAACGCCGCTGCTTTCGTCGTCGTCGTTTTCATCGTCGTCGTTCTTGCTTCTCAGAAAAGCTCTCGCTAAGGATAAAAACGCAATCGACGGGTCTGATTCCGGGTCGTATTCTTTTTTCTTCTTCTCTTTTTCTTCGTCTCGCAAAAGCGTGTGTTGCCACGCCAACACTCTCGCCTTCGACTTTGTGTTGTCTTTATCATCACTGAAGGACGGCGACCACGCCCAGCAACATACCGCTTCGTTCGAATACGACAGAGGTTTCTTCTTTTTCGCTGCTCGTATTTGTTCTTTCTTCTTCTTCTTCTTTTCGTGCGCATTAGCGTCTTCGCTACTCGTTCCCGCTACTTTTGGTTTCTGCCTCTCCGGAATAAACTTGGAAAACTCGTGCGGCACGGGTTGGAACACCGATTCCGGTTCCGGAAGATCGGGGCTTTCTTTCTCTTTTTCTTCATCACTACTGTTATCGTCATCGTCGTCGTCATCGTCAACGACCGCCTTCGTGAGCATCACAGCACCTACTGGCAACTCGCAAATCTCGTCCCGTTGCTTCGATACCATCTTCATTCTGCGCTTCTCCTTCTCTTCGATTATCGCGCGCGTATTCGACCAAACCGATTTCGGGAACGCTTTCTCGCACGCGCTCGTATCAAATTCGCACGTGAATTTCCCAATCACATCCAACTCTTCTTCTTCGTTACTATTAATACTATTACGTCTCCTTACCTTCCCTCCTAACGCTTCGCACAACACGTGCGCGCCAAAGTTCACCGCGAATATTTTCGGTTGTTTCTTCTCATTTCTCAAGCGTGCCACGCGTTCTAAAAACTGTTTCAAATGTTTCATCCATCGCATAGATTTTACCCCGTCCACGGCGGAATGTCGAGACCCGGTTATGACGATCCCATCGTACGTCTCAATCTCGCTCATATCTGGTAATTCTCCCTCCGGCACTCGATGGTGTTCCCAAATTTCTTCTTCTTCTTCTTCTTGATTGGAAGACGAATTGGAGGAGGATTTTGAGGAGAAGGACAGGAGGCGAGAATACGCGATGGCGACGTACGAAAACTCGACCTCATCCTCGCAGTCTACGATGGCAAACCTTCTTCTTCTTCTCTTCTTCTTCGTCGCAGATGATGGTGGTGACATTTTGATTAAAAGCGCAAGAGAAAAGTGAAAAGTGAAAAGTGAAGCAAAAAGAGTCTTCCTCAAATAACAACACACAAATATCTACTACGCGAGGCTATAATAATAGTGAGAAACGCTCATTCATCAGTTCTTCTTAGTCCCTGCTTCTTCTCGTTTCGCCGCAAATTCAGGCTCGTGTTCACACATGGCAACGACTGCGGACCGCAATTGCGCGATATTAGCGATTTGTTTCAACAAAAATCCAGGAATAGCGAGAACGATGAATTGCGTCGCGAACGTTCGCAAAGAGCCGACGCCGAGCGTTTTTTGGAGGAACGAATCGAACGTCTCGATGAAGGAAACGCGCTTGATGATCTCTTTCGATATCGGTACGAGACCAGGTATCGCGTTCAACTCTTTATCCTTAGCCATGAACAAACACAGATACAAAACCTCCGTGGACACGCAACACACTCCCATGAATATTCGATTGGCGTAATACAAGCGCAACAATCGAAAGCGACTCTCTCGCATGTCTTTGTGTCCTCTCTTCCCGATGGCCAGTTGCGAGTGCATTTGTAACCAATGCGAGGAAATATCCAAGAATATCAACGATATGCACACAAATTGCATCTCGGAATAAATATTCGACAAGATGATCAACAATCCAGTCGTCGCCAATCGATCCGTGACCATATCCAGCACCGCGCCGAATTCCGTGCACTGGTTACATTTTCGTGCAAAACGACCATCCAACTCGTCGCAAATGAATGAGAGCAAATACGTGAACACGGATATAAATCCCGCGTGGTTTTTTGTGTTTGTTCTTCCACCAGAAGAAGAGTAGTAGAAAGAAACGAAGACTAATAACAGTCGCGCGTACCCGATTATGTTTGGGACGTATACATACACGTTCGAATGTCTCGTGAAGAATGATGATGATGATGATGATGATGATGATGCATTTTTAGATTTCTTCTTCGAAGAATTGGTGAGTGAAATTGATGACTTCCTCACCATCGTTTTCTTCTTTTGAGTCGTCGTCGTCGCGATAACAAAATCGTCCTCTGAATCTGATGAAAACCTCGCCGGAGCGTTGATTTGTCTTCTCGAGGAGGACGGTCTTCGTTCTTTCGTCGTCGTTGACATTAAACTACTCTATACTAATAGAGAGAAATTCACCTAAATATACTCGTGTTGAAAATGAAGAAAAAGACTGCAAAATTTTTGGGGAGAAAGAAACAGAGAAAAACCTCGAGTGGAATTCCATCGTAAAACGACGACCACACCATGCACCACCACCAACACGCGACGACAACGATCAACTCTCGCGTTTCAGCTTCCGCTGCTGCGAGCTCCGCGACTCGTAGCACTCGCATAATAAACTTATTAAAAAGTAAAAGAGGAGGAAATCATCGTCAGAATCGATTCTTTTCCGCCGGCGCAAAATCATCATCAATCGCAACAACAACAACAACAACAACACGAAGAACAAGAAGAACAAGAACAAGAACGAGAAGAAGAACAAACGCCACCACCGACGCGAACGAACCACCATCTTCAGGAAAAGAGAATAACAACAACGTCATGCCGTGGGAACAAAACGAGTTGGAGAAGATGAAAAACGTGAAATATTCGCAACCGAGACCGGCGACAAAGAAAAAAATCGAATCCGACAAAGAATACGAACTCTTGAAAACGGAGCTGAAAACTTTAACGCTGAAATACGGCGCGGGATTGACTTTGTATTGTTTACTCGGGTACGGCATCGCGTCGAGTTTTAGCTCTGCGATAGGTGTGATTGGTTCGTACGTATACCTCCAGTTCTTATCCGAGTACGTGGATACGGTGAACGAGGAGCGGGACGGGTATAAGGAGGAGGATTACACGAGGAATTTGGTGTACGAACCGGTGACGGACGTGAAGAAGTTGGTGTTTGGCCCGGAGTCAGTTTTAGGTAAAATTGCGACGATTTATTCGCGAGCGCTGTTTCAGAAGAGGTTGATTGTTCCCGTGGTCGTAGTCGCGTCGGAGTCGTTGTGGAATCACATCCCAGGGCATCCGTTTGATTTTAACTACGGCGTCACGTTAATTGGGTTTTTAACGTACAAGGCGAGCGCGTTAACGGTGACGTATGGAACGTTAAAGCCTTTGTTACAGGAAGACGCGAAGAACGCCGGAAATTGGGAACCGGAAGAAGAAGAAGAAGAAGAAGAAGGTGTCGAGTAATGTATCTTTCGCGACCGTATTAGAAACGTTATGATTATTAGGAGACTATGTATTATTATTGATCTTATTAAACCCAGCCAAAGTTATTATTGAAAAATCTCGTTATTAATTTTATTATATTATTATTAATCCTTGTTATACGCGGAGTACGGATCTTTGCTACTCTTGGGCGCAATCGTCACGCCAATTTGTCCTATTTGCGCCTCTAATTCCTCCACGGTCGCTCTCTTGCGCAAAGCGTCTCTAACTTTCACGATCGATCCTTTCCTCCCCGGGACTTGGCCTCGCACGTACACTAAATTTCGTTCGCTATCGATTTTATACACGAAACAGTTCTGGACGGTTCGTTTTCTCCCGCCCATTTGTCCAGCCATTTTCTTCCCTTTAAAGACTCTCCCCGGATCTTGACACTGACCGATCGACCCGTGCGCGCGGTGTTTCTTCGTGTTCCCGTGCGAGGCGGGTTGCCCGGAGAAACCCCACCGTTTCATCGGCCCGGCGAAACCTTTGCCCGAGGTGACCCCTTGCACGTCCACGTACTGTCCAGCAAAGAAATGGTTCGCGTTTAACTCCTCTCCAACTTTATACTCCCTAGCACCTTTAATTTCTACAGTTTCTACATCTAAATTGTTGTTGTCATCATCATCGTCTCCTTCCTCGTCTTCTTTATACATTTTCATCGTCGGCGGCGTCACGCGAAACTCGCTCAGAAACCTTTTAATCGGCACTTGCGCCTTAATAAAGTGCCCGAGCTCTGGTTTGGTCACCGATTTTGGTTTCTTATACCCGCTTCCAACTTGAACCGCGCTGTACCCTTCGTTCTCTTCCGTTTTCACCTGGACGATTTGATTATCGTCGATCCATAAAACCGTCAAAGGGTGTCGTTTCCCCCACTCGTCCCAGTCGCACGTCATGCCTGCTTTCACGGCAATCAACCCGGGTCGTTTCGGTCCAAACCTCTGCGCGGATTTAATGAGCTGTTCTTGCGTTTTGTGCGGTAAAGGGCGTTTGAATAACGCGTCCACCGCTTTCGCTTGCGAGGCGTACGTTCTTTTATTAGTATTATTCGTTGTTAATTTTGTTGTTGTTGTTGTTGTCGTTCTCGCAAAAATGGCAATCGGGGTTGACGATGATTTTGATGAAAATGATTCCGACGCATCATTCAAAGCAACGGAAGAAGAAGAGAAAAAAGCTGATGATTTTGATGTCGACGCGAAAACTGAACCCCACACTCTGCTCATCCTCGTGGTCGCGTTGTTCAACAGCACACAAGCAGCCTCAGCAGAAGCAGCAGAAAAGGAAGGATTTGTTGCAGCAGCAGCGCGTCTCAACATGATTTTGCCTTCTCTTGATGTTTTTTTTTTGCGGCTCCTTCCTTCTCTGAAAATAATTTAATCGATCGATTGATTTTGCTTTCTCGTCGTTTCCAAAAAAATTTCTTTTTTTGTTGTTGTGTTTTTCTCCTTTTTTTGTCGCGTACTTTTTCACATCTCTCAACACAAAAGCTACCACGCGCAAAGTAAAATTATTCTTCTAGTAGAGTATTACTATTCAGCAGAGAGAGTTTTAAAAGAACAACAACAGTAACAGGAGAAGAGAGAGCGTTTTTCGTGGTATTCTTTTAAAGCGCTACACTGCTGCAACCGCCGAAACTGCTGCCAAAAGTGTGATGATGCTTTAAGAAGAAGAAGAAGAAGAAGTGATGGAGAAAATGATGAGAACGAAGAAGTGATTTTGCCGCGCGGTTACGTTTTTGAATTTCCTTTTTATTTAGAAGAAGAAGAAGAAGAAGAAGATGACGACGACGACGAGAAATTGGAGACGAGAGGAAGACGACGAAGACAAAAACGACGACGATAACAGGAGCGATTCTGCCGCCGGCGGCGAAAAAGGAGTTGGTGGTTTTGGATTCGGGAAAGGCGTTTCCGCGTTCGTAAGCAAAAGCGAAGATGGAGAAGAAGAAGAAGAAGAACTGCTGCTCGCGAGGAGGAACGCTTCTCCTTCTTCTTCTTCTTCTGCCGCTGCTTTATCCCAATCGTCGCTCTTTTCCGAGGAAGAAGGAGATGAAATCGACGATGGAGGTGGTAACGATGGCGGCGGCGCTCCGGAAACGCCAAACTCGATCGATCCGGAGTGGTTGCGAAGGCAACACTTTTACGCAGCGGCGAGGCATCGAGAGAGAGTTTTGAGCGACGAAGAGAACGAGTATGGAATTACGAACGCGAGGACGAGGACGAATAGGCGTGCAAGACGAGATGCTTTTGGTAACGTTATGGACGATTTCGACGACGATTTCGACGACGACGACGAAGATAGAGCGACGATGAATTCCGAGGACGTGTTTAGTCGAGACAATAATACGAACGACGATTATTACGAAGAAGGCGACTCGATCTTCTCAGAAGATTCAGAATTTTTACGGAACGCGCAAAACGCCGCGGCACATAGGAATCGCGGCGCCGGGTATAACCCGTTTGGTATGAATATGAATTCAAGTGCGAGTACTAGAAACGTCGGGAGGAGTAGTTCAGGAAGAGATTTTAGAAGAAACAATAACAACAATAACAACAAGATTAGGAGCAGTAATAAAGACACAGAAATCGAATCCGACACCGACGACGACGACGAAGATACGACGACGACGCCACTTTTAACGAAGAGTCCGACGAGAAAAGGTCCTCACGCGTCTCCGGGTAGGAAGAAAGCCGATAGCACCAACGCTCATCGTAATCATCAACCTCAAGTCGATACTTTCGTGCCGGTACGGGCGAGAGATGTTTTAGAGCACTCGGCTGATTTTTACGACACTTCGGTAAACTCAGGTCTATCTCCGTTTGAAGTCACTCGCAGGTTACGAAAGTTCGGCCCGAACTCTGTTCCTGGAGAGAAATTCGATTACGGTCAGTTGGTGAAACACGCCCTTCGCGAGTTCAACGCGCCAGCTGGGAGGGTGATTTTCTTTGCTATTTTCTTACAATGCCTACAAGCTATGGATCCAGCGAAAACACTCGATTCTATTATTGATGTTTTAGTCTTGTTCTTGGTTTTCTTTGCAAACTGTTACGTTGGGTGGTCCGAAAGCAGAGACGACGGCGCTTTGATGGCTGGTACGGAAGTCACGACTTCGGCTTTGACGACGACTTCAACAAAAGCAACGACGAAACAATCGCAGAAACAAATTTTAGAAAATATGACTCGGACAAACGCGCCAAGAAATGGACAGTTCCCCGCGTACGCGACAGTAGTTCGAGATAACGGGAAGCAGATGCGCGTGTCGTCGAAATCGCTCGTGCCGGGTGATATTGTCGAATTGCGCGTCGGTCAAATCGTGCCGTGCGATTGCGTCTATCGAGGCTCGGGCGTATTATTCGTCACGCGAAACTCGAATTATCTCATTAATACCGCGTCGTCATCGACGTTATCCTCGTCTTTGTTTGCAAATGGTACGCCGCGCGGAGGTGCGAGTCGTGGTGATGAATTGTCCATGCTCTTTGGCGATGATAACGAAATGGACTCGCTGGATTTAATCGGCGTCTCCGAAGGCGAACCGGTTTTAGGAGGGAGTGTTATTTACGCCGGTTGCGGTGCCGCAATTGTAGGCAGAACCGGTCCTCGAACAGCCATCGCGCGCAAAATGCAGCAGATTATGCAAATAGAAGAACATCGCGCGAACGCCGCTGGTATTTTAGGTTTCTTCTCGATGACTTCAACGAGTCATCAAAATCGCTCGAGAAAATCATCCATGGTTCGCTCGAAATCGTTTGGTGCTCTGTTTGGATCGTCGGCTTCAACGCAACGACGAAGTCATCACCATCGACAGCAAGTACCTACGATGGCGCGTACTACCGTTGCAACACCGCCGAGAGGGTCTGCGTTTGACCGGTCTTTAGATCTCGTGATGACCGGGGTGGCTGTGGCGTCGTTCGCTTCTGCAATTTCACTTTGGCTCTTTTTAGTCGTAGCCGGTAGAGGATTTTGGTTTGCGTGCTCCTTTGCAACCGTATTGTGCGTGTGCGCGTTGCCAATAGCTGTGAGAGTTGTCGTTCACGCGACTGTTGCGTTGGGTATTCGGAGAATGGCGAAAGCGCGCGCGTCTCCTGGGTACAGCCCAGGACTCGACGATTACTATCCCGAGTATTATTTGAATAGGCAAGCAAACAGAGAACATCTGAACATGCAACAACGACAACAGTCGAACAAAGAAGCATCGAGTAGTAGCAATCCGTTGTCATCCTTCGTTGGCTCGACGACGACGAGAACTTTTGGTATCAGCCGATTGAGTGCAATACAAGACGTTGCCGCAATGCAAGCGCTCTTCTGTTCGACGTCGTGCTGCGTGGTCGATCGGTTCGCGACTCGTATTGTCGGAGAACCCATTGTGTTTGCAGATAGTTGTCAACCGAGGGACGTTTTGGTTGCCGCGGCATTGGCATCGCGATGGTGGAAGAATTCATCTTCAGTCATGGAATCAGCAACCCCAACCACAGCGAGATCGAACAACAACAATGTCTTTGAGCAACTTCTGGTAGCAGACGACGAAATGAATTTGATATTCGACGATTCCGTCGATCGCGCCATCGCGGAGCGACTAGCGGAAGACGGTTTGAGTTCGCTCTCAGAAACCTACATCCAGAAAACGTACGAACCGTACGATTCCGTAGTCAAACTTTCGAGAGCAACGATTTCCAGAGAAGAAGCCATGGATGGTTCAAACTCTGGTGTGTTCGCTGTAGCCAAAGGATGCTTAGAATCCATAGATAATTTAGTCCGTCGAGAAACTATGATTTCTCGCGCCGGGAACGAAGAACACGCGAAAAAAGTCTTTAAAGCGTTAGACGAGGCTCGAAATCGCGAGAGAATGTTTGAACGACGAGGTTTGCGATGTGTTGCAGTTGCATGCGCATATGACGTGCAAACAACCGCGGAAGTGTTCGAAAATAGCGCGCAGAACCAAGGCAGTATCGTGAACGGATGGGTCTTCTTAGGTATCTTTGCCTTCTCGCGTCACGTCCGTCAAGATTGCAACGCCGGCAGAGACGCGCTGAAAGCTTTAGGCGTGGACGTGAAATTATTCACTTCCGCGTCGGAATCGTTTGCTAAAGTGCGAACGGAACAGTTGCACAATCCAAAACGCGTGCTTTCGTCGACGAGAACTGGTAACGCGGGAGAGGAGTTCGCGTCTTCATCTTTACTCGATAATCAAGATACGGACTCAGAACTCAATAGGTCTGAAAATGCGAGTCAAAAAAATCGACAACAACCACCATCGGTTTCGCCCCGCGTGCAATCGTTCTATACGAACGCGGGTAAACGATACGAAGGTATCGTTCGAAATTGTCGAGAAGTTTTAGAAGGTCGACCACCGCCGGAGCAAGTGACATCTGAACAACAAAGGAGCGATTTCGTTTCCGATGCCGAAAGAGGTATTCGATCGTCCACGATTCATTCTACATCTACGACGACAATAACAACCACATCCATAGTGCCTATCAGTAAAGTCGATTGCTTTTTCGAGTGCAGCAACGCGGAAACGAAAGCGAACATCATTCGCCGGTTCAAGCAAGCGGCGATGCATCAAAACAGTCGCCACAACCAGCGGTTTTTGGGCAGCAGCAGGAAAGTCATCGTTGGCGTTCTCGGAGATCGTTTAGAAGATCTACCCGCCATGCGGGCTTCCGACGCCGCTTTTGCCGCCTCGCAATCGTCCACGGATGCTGCCGTTCGCGTTGCTGATTTTGTCGTGTCGAGACCGTCGCTGGCGCACGTCGCTTCTGCAATCGTCGAAGCGAGAGCTGTTTTTGCACGCGCAAAGACTTACGTTTTGTACCGCATCATCTGCACGTGCCACTTGCTCACCGTGTTTGTCCTGTGCGCCTTCTTAGTGTTTCCGAACGAAACTAACGTGGCGTGGCCGAAAACGTTCACTTTACCAGTCATCGCGTTGGCGTTGTTAGCCTCGGTGAACGATTGCGTCGTCTTGTCAATCGCTTATGATTTTGCGAGACCGTCAGCGTCGCCCGAAGCGTGGCGTTTGCCGTGCATCTTGGCATCTGGACTAGCGATGGGCTTTGTTGCCACATTCACGACGTGCTTTGTAGCGCGCGAAATCTTCTCCAGCTCAAATGCAAACTTTGGTTTACTCGAAGCGTTGGACATCGCGCCGGATACGTACGAGCAAGCCAAGTGCATGATTTTCTTGAAAATGGCATTAACGGATGCATTCTCGGTATTATGCGCGCGCTCGGACGGACCCGATCCGTTTTGGACGTTAGCACCGGGTGGGTTCCTATTCCTGGCCACCATGGCGTCTTCTTTTGCCTCCATTTTGCTCACGAGACATTGGCCGTTTCACGAAATGTCGCCGTGTACGTTTGAGCAAACGTTGTTTTGCATATGCGTTGCTCTGTTGAGTTTTCTCTTGCAAGATGCCGCGAAGACAATCTCTTACAGAGCATTAGTCAGAGCAGAGTGGATGCCTGAACGCAGACGTCTATCGTCCGCGGAAACGAAACGAATTTCCGCGGTTGCGGCGAGAGACATCGATTTAGAACGCAGGGAGGCGTTGCGCAAAGCGATCAAAGCGAAAATGTCGAAGGATAACAACGTGGCCACTGGAGCTACTTTCACCCCGAGAAATGCGCCACCAATCTCACCGTTCCTAAAAAAATCCACCGGCGGCTCTCCTATACGATCTGGTCAGCGCACACCGACGGCAGCGAACGATGCGGCGTACTTCAATAGCGCCCAAAAATTCAACGCGTCGCCGCACAGATCGCCTCGGCGATTAGAGACCACTATGGAAGGAGAAGAGGATGAAGAAGATGAAAGTAGAAAAGACGAAGATGAGCGACTGGAACATCATCATCAACAACAGCGAGGAGAAGGCGAACACGTGAATGCGGACGATGACGACGTAGCGGAGGAATTATCCTCCATCGATGAAGACGAGGACGACCACTTTGGTGCTCGCCCGACGTCTCTCTATGACTCGCCCGCGGAAGAACCGGAGACTGTTTTGCAAAATAAACTTCGGGCGGAAAAAGGTGAATTAACCATCGATACCTTCACACGCTTGACGTTTGGATACCGCACAATATTGAACAAGGAGTTGAAACAACTCTCGCTCTCTATAGATTGGTCTCGAGCCTTTCGCGATTTGCGAAGGGCGAAAGCGGATTCACAAGTTGGCGCTTTGCTGGACGCGCACGCGACGTTGAGATGTTTAGACGCCGATTGTGGCGTTGGAGCGTTTTCGATGATGTTAGCCGAAAAGTTAGCCGCGAAGAAGTTGAAGAAGAAAGGAGGAATGAGTGGTGGGAAGATGATGAACAGCGACGATAACGACGGAGAGGAGGAGTACGAACTTTCGTCTTCGGACTCGGAGAATTTGGAGAGGGAAACGGGTTTGTCGAAGGAGGAGAAGAAGAAAGTCATGACTTCCGACGAGAAAGAAGACGAAGAATCCGCCTTGAACGGTCGCGTGGTGGCCGTTGAATTGTTATCGACCTCTTTGGTTTGCTTAAAACACGCTTTAGAAGAGATTAACGAGAACGACATCGACTCCCCGTTCCGCGCAGTGGCGTTGCATCGCGGCACCTTGGACGTGTTCAAAGTGAAACCGATGTCCTACGACGTCGCGTATAATGCGTTTGGCTTTGAACGCATCCAAAAAGGTACAAGCTTAAGAGCTGCGGCGAGAGCGTTTGCTATGTCTGTAAAAACGAACGGTTTAGGTTTCATCGCCGTGCACGCGGCGAAGAGCGCTGACGCTCAATTTCACGCTTTATATCGAAACGCCTTCGTCGCGTCTTCAACGACGACGATGTTACCTTCATCACCAGCTTCGTCTGCATCGATGACTACTGCTGAAGACGTCATTGACGAGCTGCATAGGCTCGGCGTCGCGTACAACGTTACCACAAAGTCCTATCAATTACGAATCGAAAAGATAGGCGAATACAATCGTAGAATTTTGGAGAGTTACTTACACGGCGTCGCGATGGATGATTCGTTAACTTTAGAGGAGATATGTGCGGACGCGAAAGTGGCGCAATTCTTATCCAAGAACGATCGAGGTGATCACTTTTCGTTCACGCAAATCGTAGCGCACGTCACATTGTAATATTATTTTAAGCAAACGTGTTCATTAAAGCGTACAATTCGTTTTTTTATTCGCACTTCCCGATGCATTTCACTTCAATTTTCCCTCCTTGCCCGCTCCCTTCGTACTTCTTGACGAAAGAATCGCACCCCAAACTCATCCTCGTATCCACTCCGGTGTACGGATTCACCCCTTCCGCGGTTTCGCACAAACCTAACACCTGGTACCGATCGATAACTGCCTCGGTAAAATCCGCGTTCTTAATTTTCATCTCGCCCATATCCGACCGAATAAAGTTCGCCCCAACTGCCACCGCGTCTTCAAAGTTCGCGCCTCGCAACAGAACGTAATCGAACAGCACGTTCGAAACGTCCGACCCGTGCACGTCCGCGTTCGGCATTATCGACCTCGTCATCACTGCTCCTCGCATGTCTGACTTTGAGAAATTCGTGTTCCGTAGCTCGGCTTCCACCCAAATCGTCCCTCGTAAATCCAAGTTTGAGAAGTCTTCGTTCGAGTGCTCCGACTTGGAATAAAAATCAACCCCGTCGAGTTGTTTCACCCGTAAATCCGTCACCTCCGATTTTACGCTGTCGTCTAAAAATTCCGCTCGAGCAGAAAAGAAGTCCCCGATTTGGGCTCCAAATCCCATCGAGAACGCCGTGGCTAAGGAGAGAAGGATGGATGTCGTTCTTTTTGTTCTTCTTCTTCTTGAATCGTCGTCGTCGTACGACGTGCTCGGCGTTCTTTCATCATCATCATCATAATTTCTGAGTGACGACGATGATGATGATGATGATGATGAACGAAAGACTACTCCTTTTCTCATCTCAAAACGACGACGTAAACGAGCATCAGCGACAGTCAATCTTCTCGCGGTACTTTTAACAGATGTGCCAAAACGCGTCGTCGTCGTCGCGGTAGGAGCGGTAAGAGTCGTCGTCGTCATCATCAGCGCAGCAAAGTAATTATTTTAGAGTAGTTGAGATACGATTTTATTATGAAGCAAAACGTAGGTAAAAGCAGCAGAGTCGATCGACGATAGAGTACAACCGGACTACTCTACTACGAATACCATTAAAACGACTAAAACTAAAACTCATCCAAAACTCATCACGCGATGGTAATCGAGTTCACCATGACCCCTTTCTTCGGGCAATCGTTCGGGTGCGTCTCCACCGCGGATATTTTCATCACGACGTTCATACCTTCGGTGACTTTACCGAACACCGGGTGCGCGGACGGCGACGATTTGTCGAACCAATCGAGGAAGTCGTTGTGGACGGTGTTGATGAAAAATTGACTCCCGCCGGAGTTTTTGGCGCCGGTATTTGCCATCGACAAAGTCCCGGGCTCGTTCGAGATCTTCGCCGTCAGTTCGTCCGGAATGCAGCCTTCTCTCGCGTCTCGCGTTATTTCTTCCTTCGTGGCGAGATTTGTAAACTTTGAGTTTGGCGGCGGCCCTCCCATTCCTGCGTTCGCGGCGCCGTTCTTTTTCGAGTTTGGGCACCCAAACTGTAACATGAATCCGTCGATGACTCTGTGAAAGTGCAGTCCGTTGTAAAAACCGGTGTTTGCTAAATCGATGAAATTCGACGCGGTTAATGGCATTTGGTCAACGAACAGTTCGGCTTTGAAAGACCCTTCCGTGGTATCGAAAGTGGCGATTGGGTTCGTTGTCGATGATGCCATCGCTTGTATTCGTCTGTTGCTGGCGCTTCTGCGTGTTCTGAGAGAAGAAGAAGAGACGACGTTTTTGATCACCCGCAGGAGTGATGACGTTGAGGACATTTTGTCACGAACGAGACCAAACGAAAAAATGATCAAATTTGAGGTTTTTGCTCTCTTGGTCTTCTTCTCTCTTGTTGTTCGCGCAATATTAAGGAGGGACAATGCATATAACATGTGGTATCATTATGCATTAAAAAGCAGCTATTAATAATAAATCATCACACCGCGTACGAACCGCGTGTGAACTTTGAAGTTTGTATTAATTAATATGTTTGGAATTCTTTTGCTTACTTTTCTTACGGAAATCTACCTCGCGAACGTCTTTTTCTATGGTGCTGCCCCCGGCCCCGGCGAATCCGTTTCCACCGGTCCAAGAGTACCCGGACGAACGCAACGGATTTTTCATCAAATACTCGTTCGTGAATTCCTCTTCGTATTTCTTCTTTTTCTTCTTACCTTTGACTTTTGGCGCGAACTCTCCGACGCCGTTCGCTTCGTCTTCCGCTTGTTGCATACCTTCGGAGATCCAGTCGCGGTTGTCGACAGTTTCTAAAGAAGGCAAGTCTTTGTTCAAAAAGTTATCTAATCGATTTAAAACCGCAGATTCGACGTTTTGTTGGACTCGCATTTGACCGCCATGGCCGTCGGAGCCAAACAAGTGCGCGTGACGAATCTTGGCTTTGTTTTTCGGTCCCGTCCACGTGTGGTCTTTGTAAGACTCCAAGTGCGCGGTGTGCCCCGAGCATACCGGCGCGGCTTGTCTAAACGTCGAGGAGGTGAAACAGTTGCATTTGGCGTCGCACACTGTCGCGCCTTCGCTAAACGCGACGTCGATGTACGGGTCGTTGTGATGCAACGCCATAACTAAATAGGTCATGTCGTCTTTAATCGAATCTAAGTGCTCGTTGTATCGAACGCCGTCAATGCGCATCAAAAACGGACGACCCGACGAGGACGTTTCATCGCGCGGTTTGCCGACAATGAACACTTGAAACGGTAATCCTTTAAACGCTTCCGAGGCTTCTTTCAACTTTTTCGCGCGGAAGAAGACGATGCGAGGGGTGGAGACTGGGCCGCCGATGCGTCCTCCGTGGTTCAACGTCTTTTGGAAACCTTTGATAACTTCATCCACGTGCTCTTCGCCCATGTGTAAAACGATCGTTTTCTCCTCGTGCTTCGTGTTTGCAATCAACGAGTCGCCGGTAATCATCGGGACGGACATCGTTCTGCGGTTCGTCAATCCTTTTCTCGCGTCGTCTTTTGACTTTGAAAGTTCAATTTCGTGCATGCCGTTTTTGTTTCCGATGACTTCTTGCTTGACTCGAACATCGCCGGCACCGGCTTCCTTCGCTTCATGTTCCGTCATTTCAACCACTCGTTCAAAAGATTTCGGCTCACCCTCGTAAATTTCTGTCACCGCGGGCATTTGTAACGTTTTGAACGATCTAGCGATGAGTAAACCAAACGCCGCTTGTTTTTGTCCAATTACGATGGCTTTATACGGTTTCGGTCCAACCATGGCGTTCGGTTCCGCTTGGTTGATGGTCGCTTGATTCGGTGCATTTTGCTCTTTTCCCTCTTTTCCTTTCTTCTTCAAAAGCATTCTGCGGTTGATCGTCGTTTCCTCCTCGGATTCTTCTTGAGATTCTCCTCCTTCTTGTTCTTCTTGTTCAGCCGCTTCTTCGGCTTTTTCCATCATCTCCATGGCGAGCAAATCCGAGTCCGAGGCTCGCGAACTCGGCACTTTCTTATCCGCTTTCTTCCAAAATTGCCATTTCTTTTTCATCTGTGTCTCCTCCCTCTCTTTTTCGTACGCTAATTGCTCCTCCGCTGCGGCAATTTGCTCCTCCGCAGACAGTTCTTGTTGTTGTTCTTCCTCTTCTCCTCCTCCTTCTTCGGCTACCTCTTCTTCTGCTTCCTCAACTATCTCCTCCGGCGGTCCCATCGGCGGCGGAGGCGATTGCGCAATCGCTGCTTCCAACACGTGCTCTTCCGTATCTCTCTGATCGTCGTCCACTTTACCTTCGGAATAGCTCGCCGCGGTTTCCGCCTCGGCTCGAATTTTCAACGCCTCCGCCGCTTTCTTATCCGAAATCCGTTTATGTTCAATGTACGAGAACCCTTCCATGTAACTCGCCAAAGCGATAAACTCCAACTTCACTCTTCCTGGCTTTTCCGAATTATCCGCCGGATTGATCAACTTTGCATCCGCGTCGAAATCGCACCTGTTTTTGAAAAAGTATTGCAAACTCGCTTGCTGTTCGAAATACGCGCACGTATCGCTCGCTCTGTTCGCGTGCGGCACGTCGGACTGTTCGTCTTCCATTTCGTTCGATTCCCGCGCGGATCTTATTTCCTCCATCGCTTGCTCTTCTTCCGTCGGTGCGTTCACTCTGGACGAGATTTCCTCCGTCGACGCTTCCGGGTCTAACTCGTTCGCGTTTTCGTCTTGCGCCGATAACGTCTCTTTTTCTGCCATCAAAGCCGTGACTTCCTCCACGGATTTCCCGTAGTTTGAGTTTGAGACTAAAACCACGGACAAGAAAAATACGGCCGGTACGAGGACCGCGCCGAGCCAGTGTTTCGTCGTCCACGACTGATTATTTTTCATTCCTCCTTTTTGAGAGGAGGAGGAGTCGTCGTCGTTGTTGTTACTTTGTGATGATGATGATGATGTTAAATGATTAGTCGTCTGATGATGATGATGGTGCTGAGAAGACGACGCCGCTAACTTTGCCGCAACTCCCCCGGAAGAAGCAGCAGCAGCAGCAGCAGCAGATTTCGTTGGTGCTTGCGGTTTTCCAGTCACCAACTGATGATCTGATCGCTGTCTAAACCCCGCGCCGCCGTTGTTCCGTTTCATCTTCTTTGTAGTCTTTGATGAATGAATTCTTCTTCTTCTTTGACGAATTCTTCTTCTTCTTTTGTGTTGTTTGTGTGCGGCTCTCGTCGTCGTTTTTTACTTTTTTGCCATGAAAAAGCTCGAAAATTTTTTGGTGAAAAGCAAAAAAAGGACGAATTTTTCTCTTTTTTTTTTTTTTTTTTCTCTCTTGCTTTCTTTTCTCTCTCTCGTTTGGACAAAACAAAAACTTCACTCTCACAAAAGCTTTTCTTCCGTTTTAGATTGACGCGGAAAGAAGAAGACAAACAACGCAAAGAAGACAACGACAAAGACGAACTGAAGAAGAAGAAGAAGAAGAGAGCGAGACGAAAGAAGAAGAAGAAGAAGAAGATATCAACAACAACGTCTCAAAATCAGCATCATAAAAAGAAGAAAAAGTACATACAGTATATATAAATGTCGGATTTACTCAAACAAGCGGAAAATCGCTTGAACAAAAGCGGGTTCATGAATTTATTCTCCTCGTCCTCAAAGTACGAAGACGCGGCGGAGTTATACGAGAAAGCCGCGATACAGTTTAAACTCTCAAAAAACTGGTTGGAAGCAGGAGAGACGTACGAGAAATTGACGGAAATGTATGCTCAAATCGGATCGAATCACGAAGTCGCGATGAACTTTGTGGAAAGCGGTAACTGTTACAAGAAGTGCGATCTGAAGAAATCAATCGAGATGTTCAAGAAAGCGGCGAAGAAATTTAGCGAGATTGGTCGTTTATCGATCGCGGCGAAACATTTGAAAGAAGTCGGCGATATGCTGGAAAAAGAGAAGAAATTAGAGGAGAGTTTGGAGGCGTTTACGGCAGCCGCGGATCTCTATTTAGGAGAGAACACGGAGAGCACGGCGAACCAGTGTAAATTAAGAGTCGCGTCGCTCGCCGGTCAGTTGGAGCGATACGACATGGCCGTCGAAACTTTCGAAGACTGCGCGAAACACGCGGCGGAGAATAACTTGTTGAAATATAGCGCGAAAGGGTACTTGTTAAACGCGGGAATCTGTCGATTGTGCGCGGCAGACCCGGTTGGGGTTTTAAACGCCTGCCAAAGATACAACGACATCGACCCAACCTTTCCAAATTCTCGAGAAGAACAGTTGTTGAAAGATTTGGCCAACGCGAGCGAAGCCGGAGACCAAGACGCGTTCGCCAACGCCTTGGGACAATTCGACGATATCTCTCGCTTAGACAGTTGGAAGACGACGTTGTTGCTGAGAGCGAAGAAAAAAATCACAGCCGGTGGTGGGTTGTTAGGCGACGAGGATGATTTGACTTGATTTCGTTCCTTATCATCTTCTTAAAACAAACATACTTTCAGTCATGCATACTTTTAATAGTACTCTGCTACGCGTTCATTTTGGTAAAACAATGCTTCATTTATTATTCTTCTTTTCACGGCGCAAACTTCATTCAATAGACACACGAACGAACGAACGACGAACGAACGAACGAACGAACGAACGAACGATGTTTACGAAGACTACCACCCTTGCCAGAAAGGAGTGATACTAAAATGACGACGATAAAAACGACGACGGCGCAAAAAGATATTCGTCTGATTGAAAACTTCATCCAATCGGAAGAAGAGGAACGAATTTTACTCTCGAACGTTTTTACCAACGGAGAAGAAGAAGAAGAATCAGAAGAAAAAGGAGGATGTGAAGAGAAACGGAAAAAGGAACAAGGAAAAGAAGGAACTTTATTATCGTCGTGGAAAGTCCTCTCCGGTCGACGGGTGAAAACGTTCGGGGGAACCGTCAACGCGCAAAAAACAATCGGCGAACGACTTCCAAACTTTCTGAAAGACTTGTGCCTGAGGATAGAAAACGACGAACGCGTCAAGGAGACATTTTCACTCTCCTCTTCTTCTTCTTCGTCTTTACAACAACAACAACAACAAGTGTTGAGACTCAATCACGTGCTCGTGAACGAGTACCAACCGAACGAAGGAATTTCAAGCCATCAGGATGGACCTTTGTATGCCAGTTTCGTGTGCGTGGTTTCGCTCGCGCGAGACGAGATTGTTTCGTTCACGCCGCACGAAGATTTCAAAGACGCGTTGAAACCGTTCGACGTTCTCGTCCCGAGACGAAGTTTGCTCGTTTTTTACGGCAAAAGTTACGACTGTTATTTACACGGCATCAGAGGAGGAGGAGGAAGAAGAATTTTAGGAAGTAAAAGAGAGGGAGACGACGACGACGAAAAGAAACGAATATCGTTGACGTTTCGACACGTGAAAAATTCTTTTATTCCGGGCAAAGCGCTCAGCGGAGCCTTGTTCGGTAAAAGAAGATAGTATAATAATAATGAACATGTACAACAACAATAGACCGCTACTAAATAGTGCACCGCGTGTAGAATAATAATTAATACTTCTTGTACGGTAAATACTTCCCGCTCATGGTGATGGAAACTCTATCTTCCCCCAAATCCCCTTTCTTCTTGGATAAGTTCATGTTAAAATCTATCGCGGACATGATGCCGTCTCCAAACTCCTCGTGAATGAGCTCCTTGAACGTCGTCCCGTACACGTTCACTAACTCGTAAAACCTATAAATCAAAGGATCTGTCGGCACAGAGGTTGGTAAACTCCCTTTATACGGAACCGTTTGTAACAGCTTGACTGCGACCGAGGGGAGAGCTAATACTGTGCCCACTTTTTCAGCTTCCTCTTTGCTCATCTGATGTTGTCCAAGCAACGCGCTCGTCGTCCATTCTTTCGATTTATTCACCTTCAAAGCTAATTCGGCCCACGAAATGTTCATTTTCATGCGATTAAAAACGATGAGTTCGGTCACGTCGTGTCTCGAGACGATGTCGTTCTCCCAATCGATATTATTACTTCGGGACGATGATGATGAGACGGCGACGTTTGGTGGTGCATAATTTCTTCTTCTTCGTCTCAAAATAGATTTCGCGCTGCTCGTCGTCATCATCTTCTTCTTCTCGGTACTGCTCTTACTCTCACTACTCCTCTTCGTCGTCGTAAACGTCGTCGTCACTCTCGTCGTCGTTGTTGTCATCGTTGTCGTCGTCGTCTTCTTCGCGTAATCTTATTGTATCAATTGGGGGGAGGGTGCTCAAAAAACTGACGACCAAACGACACAACAGACAACTCTTCTCTTTTTTTTACGAGCGAAAATTTTTGAAAATTTTTGACAAAATTTCTCCTCCTTTTTGCAGAAGATTTTCTCCTCTCTTTCCCTAACAACATTAACAAGCATTAAAACACATTAGAACACACAAAAGACACAGACAAAAAGAAGACGGAAAGAAGGAGAAGAAGACGGGTTTAGGAAGAATACGAGCGCGACGAGACGACCGAGGAGGAGGAGGAGGAGGAGGAGGAGGAGGAGAAGAAGATGACCGTGACTGGTTTAATCTTCTCGAAAAAATCGAGAGAAGCTTTACACGAGGCGAACGTCTCGACCGCTTCTTTGAGTTTGATTGGATGTGTGTTTATTCTTCTAAACGTGCTCGTTTTGGCGCCATCGACGAGACAATCGAGAGCGGCTCGATTGATTTACATGCTCGCCGTGGCGGATTTTGGATATTGCGTCTCGGTGTTATCGTTCGATACGACCAAGTTGGAGGAGTTGATGAGTAGTAGTGGTAGTAATTACTCGACGCCGTTGGGGTGCCGAGCGCAAGGATTTTTTATACAGCTGTTTTCGATGCAAACGGCGATGTGGTCGATATCGATGTCGCATTTCACGTACAGCTTAGTCGTGAAGAAACAAAGCGGACGGGAAACGAGAGACGTGAAGTACTATTTTGTGGTCATTTTCCTCTCGTCCGTGGCGTTGTCCGTCTTGCCGTTGTTTCGAAATTTGTACGGCGACGCGAGAATCGGTAAGTGTCACATCAAAAACGACGGCACTCAGTTGGCGGTGACGGCGAGGTTTATGCTCTTTTATCTTCCAATTTGGGTGATTATGGCTGCAAACACGTACATTTGGGTGAAGATTTTCAAGACGTTGAGAACGTTGAGAACGTTTTTGATGGAGAGCAGGATGAACGCGAACGTTGTGGTAGAAGAAGTAGAAGAAGATGATGATTATAACGAAGACGGAGATTGGGCGAAAGTGGACGTTATGGAGGAGGAAGAGAGGGACGAGAGTTCCACCTCGCGAGTAGCCTCGAAACGCGCGGTGAAGAAAGCGGAGAGTTTAGTGTACGCGTTAGCGGCGTATCCGATTATTCAAATCATTACGAATATCCCGGGAACGTTCATGCGTTTAGAGAACTTGTTCCAATACGAGAAACCCGACGTGAACGTGTATCTAGCCATCACGCACGTGATCTTGAAGAATTTGCAAGGCTTTTTCCACGCGTTGGTGTTTATTTTTGTGCATCCGAACAAAACAGAAGTCGCGGAGACTTTAGGTGCATGTTTTTATTGTTTCGTCGGTAACAGTAGGAGGAGGGCCAGGAGATGGGGAGGAGGAATAGAATTAGCGGAAGAAGAAGGAGAGGGATTAAATACTAATAGAGAGTTGATGCCGTTGGAGTTTGAACGTAGCGATGTCGCGGCTTAGAGAGGTTGTAGAAGTAGTCATTCGTGATAAATATATATGTACACATTTGTAGAATTCAATGAAAACAGCTGCGGCGCACGGCAAATTAAACCAAAACTTCTACGTCTCCTAATCGCGCGACGAGTTTCGCGACGTCCCCTAACACACCACCCGCGGTGACTGCCGCCCCGGCGCCTGGGCCGGAAATCGTTAAACAACACGAATCGGTCGGGTTATACCTCTTCGATTCAATCTCGACGACGTTTTGGCTTCCTTGTAAATTCGCGAACGCGTGAGACATCGGAAACTCCATGAGTTCTACTTTCAGCTCTTTCGTTCGTAAATCCGCGCTTCCGCAAAATCGCAACACGTTTCCCCTCTTCTTCGCGTCCGCGAACTTTTGCGCAATGACGGTGTCGTACAATTTTCCAAACTTGTCATCAAACTCCTCCGAGGAACACGCTCTCAACTCTTCCGGAACCAACGATTCAATCGACGTCTTTTCGATGGACGCGTCCAGCCAGCCGGACTCTCTGGCCGCGATGACCACTTTTCGCGCAACGTCTTGGCCGTTCAAGTCCTCTCGCGCGTCTGGTTCCGTATACCCGAGTTTCTTGGCTGTTTTTACAACCTCAGAAAACGGCGTCGACCCGTCGAAAGTGTTGAACAAATAGGACATCGTGCCGCTAAAAACGCCTTTGATTTGGTACACCTCGTCGCCGCTACTCGTCAGGTTTCTTAAAGTCGATATGATTGGTAAACCAGCGCCAATCGTCGCCTCGTAAAACCAACTCGCCGTGGACCAACTCATAGAACTCAACCCTCTGCACTTCTGATCTCGCGCCGTCGGCCCGGAGTTACACTTCTTGTTCGGAGTTACGATGTGCACGCCCAACGCCAAAAACACGTGATATAACTCCGCGATTTCATCGGACGATGTCATGTCGACGATGCAATACCGTCCTTTTTTCCACGGTTTCGTCGTAATTGTATTACCAGCGCCTAAAGATTCTTTTGTCAAAGCGTCCGAAATGTCCTGATTGTTGCTGTCGTCCGAGAGAGAGGGACTCACGTCGTCTAAAACAATCCTCTGACGTTCCAACAGACTCGAACAAGTCACAATGTCCAACTCGACGTGCAAAACCTCGTATAAATTCTTCGCCCAAATGGCTAAATCGTTCGTGCCATCGAACAACGTTTCCAACAACTCTCTGTTGTGTTCGGACGGAACGAACGGCGTCTTAAATCTGATTTCTTTTCGGGAGTTTGCGATGAACGCGATGGCGATTTTACCTTCCAAAACGTGCGATTCCGTCAGTTGAAACAAAAACTCTTTGCCAATCCCTCCGACGCCGAGAACGCCAAGAGTTAACGCGATTGGTTGTTCAGAAGAAGGAGAAGAAGATTTTGTCGCAGATTGCGGAGTGGTTGGTTGATGGGGTGCCATTGTTGTTGTTGTTATTATTATAACGAAGTAGAGAGAAAAAGTTTGATTTTGATGTTTTGCGCGGGGGCGAACAAAACAAAGTGGTGAACAAAAAATACACGAACGAACGATTTTTTTTTGATCACAAAAAGAAAGAGATATACACATATTTACACCACACACACTTTTCACGCTTTTAACAAATAATAATATGCCGAGCGTGGCATCGTTTGCAGTCAAGAAAGACGACGTCGTGCACGCGCAAGCGAACGATACGATCAAACGATGCGTGGAGATGCTCGTCATGAAAGGTGGTTTGTTACATTAAAAGTTATTTAAAATGTGTTTTGTGTTTTGTATCTTGGACTCAAAAATCTCGTAACTGAACGCGCGCGCAACGCGCACACACCACGACGACTGACTTTTTCAAATCACAACGACAACCTTTTGAAACTGCACAGGGATTGGGTCGCTTGTTGTCATCGATGAGCTCGACGCCGAGAAAGTTCACGGGATTATCACGCACACCGACGGTGAGAGATTTTTTTCTTCTTCTTTCTTCTTGGAACTCACGATAAAAATTTTCAGTATCGCAGTGGTACCTAGAATCCGTGCCTTTGAACGAGGCGGTCAGAAAGGTGATGACTTCGCATCCAATCGCGGTGAACATGCACATGTCTAAAGACGAGGCCGCAGAAACGATGAGAAAACATAAATTGCACCATTTGCTCGTGACAGACGACGAAGGGAAGTTTTACGGCTTAATCTCATCTTTCGACATCGCGCGGGAGACGGCGTTAGACGCCAAAGCATGGTATGTCATAATCAACTTAGCTTCTGTATACGCATGAATTTTGATACCTTAGGCCATGGCCGCGACCCGAGACACATCACGATTTCATACACGTGAGTGGACCTGTCAAGTCAATTGAAAGCGCGGAGAAGATTGAAGAGGCGAAATGAATATGAGATGTTTTCTTTTGGTTCGTTGGAACAAAGGGAAGACGAGTACGAGAGACAAAAAGAATAATTAACAAAAGTTTGCAAATTTTGGTCTGCTATATACTACTTGAATACTTTTTTAAACGTGTTACAACTGCTGCGTACGTGTGTGTGCTCCTTTCTAATTCCTTTTTCTATGCTAATTCTAATCCCTATCCTTTACTCGCGAAGAGTTGCGTGAATAGCTTATCCGCCCATTGCGGCACTTCTTCTTCAATCGAAGAGACGAAGTTTACCAGAGGTTCTTGGACGTGATATCGTAATTTTCTACCTTTCGAAGCTCTGCGATCGACAATCTTCCTTCTTTTCGCGGGCTTCGCCGCACTCCTCGGGGCGTCGCCATCGACGTTACCAGACTCGAGAAACTCTTTGAGTAACTGCTCGTACATGTCGAAATCGTCGTACGATTCGATATCTTTGCGCGATTCTATGGAGGAACCATTCTTGTTCGGGCGCGCTCCGTCTTCATCTCGATCGAAATGCTCATCGTCGGAATCGTCCGAATTTGTAGTATCACCGAGCCGAGATACTTGAACGTTTTCTCCAATTTTTTTTGTGCGCGTCAGCACGGGTCGGGATCTATCGATGGCTTTCTCTGGTGCGAGCATAGCCGCGCGGACTTGCTGAGAGATGTTTTGATTGAACGCCTTTAAATTTCCAGCGTTTCCAGAAGACACTTGCGATTTTCTTTGCCATCGATCGCAACTCGAATCTCGAAACTCCGCAAATTCGTTTTGCATAGCTTCGCACACGTTCCAAAACTGTTCCGTGGAGGTTAAAGGACCGCTGACACCACCGTCGCTCTTCTCCTCTTCTCGTTTCTGTTTGAGATTTTTCAATTTCGCGGCAACCTCGGTCGTGTCTACTTCGCCCGTCTTTTCAAATTGTTTCATCAAATACACCTGCAAGTGCAACATCGAGAGAAGTGTATCTTTTGCAGTAGTCGCGAGCGAGTCGAGCGATTTGTTTGCGCTTTCCGAGAGACGACGCAAACCTTGATTGGCGAGTGGACCTGGCATTTTCATGCCGTTTTCGATGCCTTTTTGCAACTTGATCCGCATCCGGAGCATTTGCTCCCACAGAGCTCTCTGAATGCGCACAGACTTTGATTTTTGTTCCGTTTTCGCTTTTTGCTCCGCCAAGCGTTTCGTTTCTTGTTCTTCGAGCTCAAACTTTTTCAGTTCTTCTTCAAGTCGCGGATCGGCGGCATCCTCGATTTCATCGTCGTCGTCTTCATCGTCTTCTTCTTCTTCTTCTTCGTCTCGTGCGCTCGCTCGTTTCGTACTCGATGGTTTTCTTTTCACGTCATCCTTTTCCATGGCACCTGCGTAATCAAAATCATCGTCGTCGTCCTCAAAATCATCATCATCGTCGTCGTCCTCTTCATCCTCTTCTCTATTGTCTTTCGCTCCACCTCCTTCACCTCCGAGTTCATCTTCTTCTTCGTCGTCATCTTCATCCATTGCATCTGCATCATCATCGTCGTCTTCGTCCTCTTCATCTTCATCTTCGTCGTCAGAAATATTCAATCGTGGCAATTCTGCCTCAAACTTCTTGAACATCTTTGCCGCTTCTTTATCGCTCTTCCTTCTCTTACCTTTTTTCCGCGTGGCTGAATCCAACACCGCGCGCATCTCTTCATCGCCTTCATCGTGGATGTTCCATCCCCCGTCGTCGTCGTCGTCGTCGTCGTCGTCGTCGTCGTCGGAAAAGTTGTCGTATTCGTTCCTTCGTGTGCTGCCTTCTTTCTTGTTCTTGTTCTTTTCTTCCTCTTCTTCGCTCTCGTCGTCCGAATACTCTTCCTCTTCTGCCGATCCTATGCTTTTGTTCTCAAAATCTTCTTCCTCATCGGGGTAATCATCTCCCTCAAAATCGTCTAGGTCTACATCTTCGTCGTAATGCGGATTGTTCTTCCTTAATTCCTCTTCCTCGTCCGCGAACATCTTCGCTCGGCTCGTGCTTTTTCCGGCGTATTCTCCCTCGTTGAGTGCAATATCTGCCCGCATTCGCAGTTTACCCGAACGATCATCCGCCGCGTTGGATAATAGTTTCTCCTCGAAACTAATATCTTTATCATCATCATCGTTACCATCTTCTTCTTTTTCTTCTTCCTTTCCTTTCGATTTCTTCTCTAAGACTTCATTTTTATCATCCGAGTCGGAAGAAAATCCAACGAATCCATCGTCGGCGTCGCCGCCGTTTTTTCCTCCTCGGTCGAAATCTTTCAGAATCTCCGGCACTTTGTTAAAGTCCATCTTCAGTTCTCCTCTCTCGATATCGTCGTCGTCGTCTCTCGATGACGATGGTGGTCTCACCTTCATGTCCTCAAAGTTTTTAAACTTATCGATCAGCGCTTCTTTGCTCAACCGAGTTGAAGGGAGAGGCGGCAGTCGTAATTCCTCTTCTTCCTCTCCTTCTTCTCCTTCTTCTTCTTCTTCTCGTTTTTCATGAGAAGCGTCGCTTTTCCGTTTCTTCATCTTCCTTTCGCGGCTTTTTTCTGCCGACTTTTTCAAGAAAGAGTCTGCCCCCAACCAAAATCATCATCCTCTTTTTTCCGTCCAGAAACACGAGCTGACGTGGAATTTCAAATCTCGTTCGTTTTTCAAAAAAAATTCAAAAATGAATTCAAATCGAAAGAAGGACACTTTTTTCTCTTCTTCATAACAACAGAGAAGAGAGATATAAACAACGCTTTAGCTCGCTTCTTACACACATAGCATTATATTCCTGCGAGAAGACGCGCGACAAAAACGCTGCTCGATTATTACAAGTTACGCATCATCACACATTATTGATTGCGTAATACCATCTTCTTCTTCGTTTACTATTTATTATTTAAAACATCATGATGAAGACGATCGAAACGTCCTCCACGTCCTCCGCCTCCTCTTTTTTCTCAACGGCAGCAAAGAAGAAGAAGACAATGAAGATGAGTTTAGGTCTGAAAAGAAGAACACCGTCATCATCACTCCTTGGTCGACTGGTCGTTCGCGCGGCGGCGACGGATGCTACCGATGAGAATGAATCTTCTTCCTCTTCTTCCTCTTCGTCTTCGTCCGTGGTAAAACAACAACAGAGCAACGAAAACGTCGAGTTTGATTTTTCCGCAATTGGAGGAGGTGAAAAAGAAGCAAAAAATATTAAGAAAGAAGAAGAAGAAGAACAACGACGTAGTCTCGTCGACCCGCTGTCGCCGGAGTTTACGAAAATCGACGACTCGATTCAATCGGTCACCTCGGGTGGGATTTTGAAGAAAGCGTCGTCGTCGTCGTCCTTGCCGTCGTCTTCTGCGAATAGTACTACAGTCGTCGTCGAAGAAGAAGAAGAAGAAGAAGAAGAGAAAGAAGAAGAGAAAGAAGAGAAAGACGTGGCTTCTCCTTCTTCTTCTTCGCCTTCCACCTCGTCCTCGCTGCAACAGCAGGACAAGAAAAACGCGCTCCTTGGCGCGGCATCGATTGGAGCCTTAGCGGCTGGGTTTGGGGCCTCGGCTTTATCGAGCGCCATCGAAGGATTCGCTCCAATGGCGGCGTTTGAACAACTCGTCGGTTTAGGCGCGACGTTGAAGTATGGACCGGAAGTTCTCAAGCCTTTGCTGAGCGAACGCGGGAGGCAAGAGGCGAAAATTTCCGCCGCGGAGAAGATTGAAGAGGTTTTGAAGGACGAATCGATTTTTAACTTTATGAAATCCACTGGAAACAAAGACTTGGACGAACGCTTGAAGAAAGCCATGAGTGGTGGGGATTTGGATTGGGAGAGTCAAGACGCGAAGGTGTTGAGAGCCATCGTGACGGATTTCGTCTCGGATACCGATTTTCAGTTGATGTCGCAAGGAGAACGATTAAAAGCGTTGCAAACGTTGCCAGAAAAATTGGAAAAGGCGCAAGATTTGGTGTATAAAGCGCAAAAAGAAGCAGCGGAGTTTGAATCGCAAGTGAAGAGCGCCAAGTTGGAAGCGCGCATGGCGCTCGATAAACGCACGAAGGAGATTCAAGATTTACAACGCTCGAGCGAGCAAACGGTCTCGGCGTTGACGAATCAAATCTCGTTGTTGTCCGGACAGAACTTGAATAACCGCGAGGCGATTGAAAACTTAAAACAAGAGCTTTTGGACGCGAAGAAAGAGTTGGAGAAATTTGAAAACATGGAACGCGACCAAACACAAGATTTTCTCAACGCCGAGGCGCAAAACACCAAAGTCATCGACGAAATCAGAAACCAGGCGAAATTAGCCGAACGAGCGTTGTTGGAACAAATGGAGTTCGTGAGAAACGAGACGAAGAACGAAATTGAGACGTTTAAAGCGGACATGGAAGTGCAAGAGCAAAAAATGAGAGCGGATATGGCCGAGGAACTCGAAAAGAAGAAACAAACGCTCGAAGTGCAAATGAGCATTCCGTTGGAGAAAGCGAACGCAAGAATCGTCGATTTGGAGCAAAAGTATCACGACATTTCCGTGAAGTTGATTCAAAGAAAACACGAGTTGGCAATCGCGAACGAACTGTTGAAATCGGTCCAAAACGAGTTGTTTACGCGAGAACAAGCGCACGACGAGGAAATCCAATCTATACAAGAAGAACTCACGAAGGCGAAGAACGAGATTTCTTTATTGGAAGCGTCCATCATCGAAGCCACGGAGAATGAGGGCATGCGCGTCGCGAATATTGAGAGACAACTCGCGAATGAAAAGTTTGCGCACGAAAGCGCAAAGCTAGCCTCGTACGAGGCCGAGACGGCGTTGAAAGAAGCCGAACTCGCTTTCGATGCCGAGAAGAAGCAACTTCTCGTAAACTTGGCACAACAGTTGGAGAACGAAAAGAAAGACTACGAGAAGGACGCCGAAATGGCCGTCAAAGAGATTGAAATGATTGAACTCGAAGTCGAAGAGTCGAAGAAGACGAAAATCTCCTTGGAGCAAGAGTTGACGAAGATGCACCAACACTACGAGGAGACGACGTTGCGCGCAAACGAGAGAAACCGTTCGTTACAAAGCGAGTTAGAAAACATGAAGAATAGAGTTCAAGCGTCTGCGGCAAAAGCCGAGGAAATGGAAAAGGCGCAAATGGAAGCTTTGCAGCAAATTCAAATGGAAAGAGCAAACTTTGCCTCGGAGAAAGAGGAGATGCTCCAAGAGAAAGAGGAGATGCGCCAAGAGTTTCAAGCCAACTCGAAGCAATACGAGAGGGAAATTTCCAACTTGCACGAACGCGTAAAGAAGGAGCAATCAAACGCGAAAACCTTCCGCGACGCTTTAATGCACGCCGAAGAGCGTGTTCAAGGGTTCATGCAGAAAATTACGACTTTGCAAACGGAGTTGGACTCTAAAACGGACTTGAGCGAAGACTACAAGGCGCGTTTGGACAAGGCGCAAAATTACGCGATGAAAGTCAAAATGGAGGCAGAGATGAAAGTCAAAGAGCAAATGAAGAAAGTGTGGGAGTTGGAAAGAACTTTGCAAGAGAAAGATTCGGCCGTGGAAAGCTTGAAACAAGAGTTACACGAGGCGTCGCAAGCGGCGTTGAATTTGGTCGAGCCTTCGGAAATCGAAGAAATGCAAAGAAACATGGAATTGTTGAACGCGCAAAAGATGGAAAAAGAGGAAGATGCCTCGAACGCGCGCGCCGATTTGTTGGCGCAACGAATGGTGAACTCTTCTTTAGTCGAGCAAAAACAAGAACTTGAGGACAAAAACCGCGCGTTGCGCCAAGACGTAGTGACGAGACAAAGGTACGAAAACTCCGTTCACCTAAAGAACATCCAAGAGACGGAGCAAAAGTTGAAGGATACGCAGAGAAACTACGAAAGTATGAAGCAAACGTTTCAAAATGCCGCGAAAGAAAACATCGAATTGAAGAGAGAGTTGAGTCAAACGGTTCAAATCGAGAACGCGGCGAAAGATGAGGTGAGAAGATTGACTGCGCTCGCGAATGAGCTCGAAAACAGACTCGCTGAAGCGGATAACCACGCGTTGCGAACGACCGAGACGTTGGCGAAAGTCAAAGAAGAAGCTCAAATCGAAGCGATGAAGATTGTCTCGGAAACCAAAGAACGCGCGAAACAAGCCGAGTCGTTGTTGATGAAAGAACGAACTGAAAGCGCCGTGACCTATTCCGCGCTCGAGTTGCAGTTAGGTTCGTTACAAATGGAGTTGGACAAAGAGAAGAAGCAAACGTCGGTTTTGTTCAGCGAACTCGATTTGAAGAAAGAAAAATTGAGCACCTTCCAGTCTGAATTCGAAGAAAGAGAAGCGCGAGCCGTGGAAAAGGTTCGAGAAGACTTCCATTACCAAATGCGCGCTCTTGAGGAGAAAGTTTTGATTGCCGAAGCCGCCACTCGCGACGCGGAGATGCGCGCGGAGGCTTTACAACAACTCGCGGAGAAAGCCGAAGATGACTCGGCGAGAACGTTTGACGCCGCCGTGAAGGCAGTCACGGAAGCAACGAATAACAGTGCCGCCGCTGCTGCCGCTACTGCTCCCGCTGCTCCCGCTCCCATTACTCCAACTTCTACCGTCATCACCGCGCAATCATCGTCGGTAGATCTCACAACGACGTCGAATAAAACGCCGCTTTCCAAAATGAAAAAAGCAGATCTCGTCGCCGCGTGCGAGGCGATGAACTTGGACGCCGCCGGAACCGTCCCGGTCTTGCGAGCGCGATTACGAGCCGCAGACTACTAAATGATGATCAAAGTAAAAATCCTACTACATCTACAACTCCTATACCTACTGACCCCGCGAGAATGACCCCTCTTTTTCGCGTCATCTATAGATGAAACGTTTTGTAAAAATGAAAGAGAGAGAGAGAGATCTCCTCTTCTGTCTACTTAATATAAATAATTTTGATGAATTTTTTTTCAACTAAAAACGTCAGAAAAGAAAGCACACACACACGATGGCCTTTTTCTTTCTGGTGTTGATTTTCTTCAGCCTTACCACCACCTCAACCATCGCGACGAAGACGAACGACAACCAAAAGCCGAAGGTGGTTCAAAAACACTTCTTAGGCGTCGACCCTCTTTTTCAGCACAAATACTCCTTTGATGACGATGACGATGAAAAAAAATTCGCGTGCAACGACGGGAAAACAATCATCGATTTTACAAAAGTAAACGACAACTTTTGCGACTGCCGCGAAGACGGCTCGGACGAACCGGGCACGAACGCGTGCAGTCACGCGATACACTCGCACGGCTTTTACTGTCAAAATCTCGGCTCGACTGCGAAACTGATCAAAAGCTCCTTCGTGAACGACAACGTTTGCGATTGTTGCGACGGTTCGGATGAAAAATTCAACACGAAAAAACACTGCGAAAATACGTGTTCGAAAGACGGTATGAGGACGATGGAATCGTTGCGAGAAGAGGTTCGAGATTTCGAGATTGGCATTCGAAAGAAGCGAAACGAATACGCGAAGAAGATGGAAAACGCGAAAAAAGAAGCGGAGAAAGAAGTTGTTCGATTGCAAAAAGCCGTCGAACAGTTGCGGGAAGAAAAAGAAAAGAACGAGGCGGAAGAGGAGAAGGCGAACGAAGTCTTTCGAGAAAAGGAGAAGTTGAAAGAAGAGAGAGAAGAAGAGGAGGAGAGAAAGAAGAAACAGGAGGAGGAAAAGGAAAAGGTGGAGGAAGAAGAGAAGAGACATCATCATCCAGACGACGAGAGCAAAGAGGAACGAGAGATGAGAGAGATGGAAGAGGAGATGCGGGAAATCGAGCGAGAGGAAGGCGAGGTGGATCGAGCAGCGGCGAAAGTGGCCGCGAGCGATAACAACGACGAAAAAAAGGGAGAAGAAGATATAAACAGAGAGGAGACGGACGAAGAGAGAGGACGACGGATTGCCGAGCAGTGGGTGCACGGAGACGACAACGATCATCGTGAAGGAGAAAATGAAGAGGAGGAAGATTTCATCGATGGCGATTATGGACATCACGATCCCTACGAAGAAGAGGATGACTACGACGAAGATGGTCACTATCCCCCTCACGACGACGACGACGACGACTTTGACGACGACGACGACGACAACAACATCGGGGAGGAAAGAGATGTGGAAGCATCGAAGAAGGAAAAAGTTGGAATGTTTGGACGCGTGAAACAAATGGTAATGGGCAACAAGAAAGCAAAGAAGAAAGCGAGAGGCGGCGGATCTGACAACGAGGACGACAACAAAATGGGAGAGGAAGAACGCGCGCTCGAAGACGCTCGGAAAGTAAAAAACGAAGCGTCGAGGAAAGCAAACGAGGCGAGGGAAAAGTTCGAGGAATCCAACGCGAAGTTATCGGCATTCAATGCGAAAATAGAACGGCTCTCGTCCGAGACTGACGACGAAACCACGAAGCTGCTCCTCGGCGCGTTGTCCGACCAGTGTTTTTCTACAAAAGCGGATAAATACACGTACGAAATTTGCCTCTTTGGCCAATCAAAGCAAGACAACCACGTGCGATTAGGCGACATGAAAAGCGAGATTACCTTTGACGACTCGTCGGGTAAACGTTTCGCGAAATTCGAAAACGGCGAAAAGTGTTGGAACGGACCGAAAAGGTCCATGACGGTTGAATTAGTTTGCGGAAGTACGGAATCTTTGTTCGACGTTCAAGAACCGAGCCGGTGCGAGTATTCGAGCAAATTATACACCCCAATAGCGTGCGACGAGAAAACATTAGATGAGAAGAAAATAGAGCTGGACAGTTTAGCAGAGCGAGAGAAAAATACCAACGAAGAAGCAGAGGTGGAGTACGTCGTAAACTTTTAAAAGTTGTGAAGTTTTAAAAGCTTGCTATTTCTACGTGTTTATGCAGCGCTCTCTTCTAACAAAATCATCATCAGTGTGTTACTATAAATCACACGTCAAATCCTTCCTTTCGTAAACACACCAAGTGCGCTTCCACTAATTTCTTGCATCTCTCGTCCTCCGCGCCGAATTCTCCCACGCACTGATCTCTCGGTTCTTTCGTCTCTGGACACGCGCAACAGATTTTCTTCTTTTTTGGTTGTTGTTGTTTTTCTTCTTCTTTCTTCTTCCTCCCCCAAAACATCGTGTATTCTTCGTATCACAATCAATCACACGCACAGTTATGACGTTTCGTTTCGTTCTTTCGCAATTTTTTTTTTTCTGTCTCCCCCTCTCGTCGTCCAAAAATTCCATATACGCTCGATGATGATGAAAAAAAGAACAACAAAAACACGGACGAAGAAAGTTCTGCTCTTTCATCACACATCAAAAAATCCAGTCAAAAAAAAATGAGTCAAAAAAAAAATATCTGTCTGTCGTCATCTTTCTTTTCCGATCTCTCTCTTTCCTTTTCGCGTCGTCGTCAAAAGTAATACACTCGTACTGTGTTCTCTGCACTCAACAAAGATATCACAGTAAAAGAGAAAATGATCTGCTGTTATCATCATCAGCGAGTTTTGTCACTCGTCGCGACAACAACAACAACAACAACAACGCACACTTCTTCGTCTGTTCGAAGATTTGGAAGAAGACCAATACTAAGAACAACAACAACAACATCGACAACAACATTTTTAAGAGCAACAAAAAAAGATTCAATCGATTGGGACGAACAGAACGACCGGTTTAAAGCGGAACGTATTTTCGACCAGTGTTTAGGCGCGATCGCGGATGGCGACGAAGAAATGCTCGAATCTTGTTTGTTACAAATCGAGTCCGATAAGAAAGTGCAAAAACTGAGCAAGAAACTCGAACAAGCCGCGCCGGATGTGTTTTGGAAAAAAAAGGTGAAGGAAATCGCAGCTGCGAGAATCGTGGACGATTGCATGTCTGCGATTTTATCCGGAGACGCGAGCGAGATCGACGGGTGCATGGTCGAGTTAGAGAATGAAGATTCCATGGAATATTTGGAAGGTTCTTCAAAGTAATACGAATAATTATATCGTTATTGTCATCACATTTAATACTACAAACATCGTCTTCGTTCTGTTCAGCGTGTTGTTGTTGTTGTTGTTTAAGTCTCCTCTTTCTTCACAAAAAAAAGTGCATCATAATGTCCTCCTCAGAGGTCTTTCTCAAGACGACGACGACGATAAAGACGACGAGAACGACACCGAGAAGACAAAGAAGACAAAGAAGGAAGATTTCATCGTCAACATTTAATAATAATAATAACAACACTAATAACAACAACAACATGGAATCGATCTTGCACGAACACGAGATAACAGATATTTTCCTCGACCAGTTTGGCGTTTTACACGACGGCAAGAACGCATTCCCGGAAGCGATAGAGTGTTTACGAAGAATCCATCACAAATATCCAGACGTGAGAGTGCACGTACTCTCAAACTCGAGCAGACGTCGGACGTCCACGCTGAGAAAATTGAAACGGATGGGATTTGAAGACGAGTGGTTCCAATCGGCGATGACGAGTGGTGAAGTCTGTCACATGTTCATCGAAAAGGATATTTTAAATACCGATACGAATTCGTCGTCGTCGTCGTCGTCGTCGTTTACTTTCTTGCACTTGAACTGGGGGGAAAGAGGCGCGGTTTCTTTGCCGTCTAGATGCGTCTTACCGCAAAGTAAAGAAGAAGCGATTGAAAAGACCACGCACATAGTCGCCTCTGGATGCGAGAGTATGTCCGTTCCGGGGACGACGCTGGGGAGTTACGACAGACAAGTGCAAAATATTCAACGTCTGACGCACGAGGAGATTAAAGAGGTGTTGACTGGGATCGCGAAAAGGTGCGAAGAAAACGGTGACTTGCCGCCGAAGATGTTGTTGGCGAATCCGGATTTTGTCACCGTCAACGGCGACGCGTTAGAAGTCATGCCGGGAACGATTAGCCTCTGGTATCGAGACATTTTGAACGAGGTCTTTCAAAAAAAAGGAGAAGTAAGCGGCGGCGGCGCGTTCAACGCGGACGAATACGTCGTCAAGCTCGGTAAACCGGCGCCAATAATATACACTACGCTTTGCGAAGAGATTAGTGGTAGAAGTAGAAGTAGGAATAATGAACACAGCGACGACGAAAAGGAGGAAAAAAATGCACAAACGTTTTTCTCTAAATGTTTGTGCGTCGGGGATTCTTTAGAACACGACATAAAAGGCGCGCAATCTGTCAACGCGAAGAGTTGTTTCATCGTCGAAACGGGCATCCACGCGGAGGAGCTTGATTTTTCTTCTTCGTCCGCGTCGGGAGGCGACGGAGACGAGTCCGAGTTCGAAGCCGCTCTCGAAGCGATGTGCGAGAAATATAAAGTTGCATCTCCTACGTGTACAATCGCAAAGTTCTCGTGGAACTAGACGAAGAGGTTGGAGAACATGTTTGATGATGATCATTACTCTGTACCAGTATTGTTTATAAAACGCTTTCTACTAGTTTATTATAGTATAGGATTATTGAAAGACGCCTTTGTGGATCTGAGAGTTATCTTCAATTATTATAAGTATTCGTTTTTGTCCCGTATTTTATGAACCCTCTTCAAACATCCGCCGCCGTCTTTGTATGTTTGTGTTCGTTTTATTATATTTCACCACCGAACGCCACTTTTTATAGCTGATCCGTGTATTTTATTCCTTCTTCGCCAAACTTACTCCTTCCTCTTCTTTCGTCGACTTTCTTACATTTCCGTCGGCATTGGAGCGACCAACTCCATGTTGTACGCCGAACCACCGTGCTTGGACTCATCCAAACCCAACTGTTCTTCTTCCGGAGACGTTCTCAACATGTTCATTTTCTTCAACGCCAAGAAGAAGAGACCGAGCAAACCGCCGACCCAGAGGAAAATGCAGATGACGCCGACGACTTGGGCGCCGAGCAAACTGCCGTCGCCGCCATAAAAGACACCCGCGCACTTCTCGGCGCCGCTGTAGACTTCGGCGACGTATTCTTTCTTTGCCATGAGACCGACCCAGAAGACGCCAAAGGCGCCGCACGCGCCGTGCATCGGCGCCGCTTCCAAAGGATCGTCAATCTTAAGCTTCAAGAGCAATTTACCAGCGCCGTGGATGACCCACGCGGAGATAAAGCCGCAAACGATAGCAGTCCACGGTTCGGTGACGGAGCAACCGGCGGTGATGCCGACTAAACCAGCCAAAACACCGTTGCACACGGCAATCAAGTCCCAAACGTGATATAATCCATAGTTGATGGCCATGGCAGTCACGCCGCCGGCGGCGGCGGATAAAGTAGTCGAGACGGCGGTTCTAGCGACGACGGCTTCCGAACCAATGATTGCCAACTGTGACCCCGGGTTAAAACCGTACCATCCGACCCAAAGAATAAACGTACCCAAGACAACTAACGAGGCGTTGTGTCCCGGCATAGCGACGACGCGACCATCCGGGCCGAATCTGCCAGTTCTCGGGCCTACGATCATAGCACCCATCAAACCGGCGACGCCACCAGTCATGTGAACGACACCAGAGCCGGCGAAGTCATACATACCACAGTCAAAGAGTTTATCGTTGTCTTTGAACGCTGTGAGCCATCCATTTCCATCCCAGACCCAGTGAACGACGACTGGGTAGACGAACGCGGTGAGAAAGAAAGAGTAGCCCAAATAGGCTTGGAATGCCGTTCTTTCCGCGACGGAACCGGAAACAATCGTCGCCGCTGCCGCAGAGAACGCCCATTGAAACAAGAAACCAGCCCAATCGGTGAAATCTTGCAAGCCAAAGTTCCAGTTTCCGATAAATTCATTCGTTGATTTGCCTTCTTTCGTCCCGTATGCGAAGCCGAAGCCAAAGATGAAGAACGCAATCGCCCCGACGCACGCGTCCAAGACGTTCTTGATCAAAATGTTCTTGGTATTTTTAGATCTCACCGAACCGGCGCATAACATCGCGAATCCGGCTTGCATAAAGAACACGAGGTACGCGGACGACAACAAAAATTGGTTGTCCGAGGAGCCCGTGATGGTAGCATCAGCCGCGGTGAGACCGGATAACACTTTGCAGAGATCCTCTGTTTATATTAATAGAGTAAAAAGAGAGAGGAGAGAGAGAAGACAAAAACTCGTTGGTCAGTATTATTATTATTTTGTGATATTTTTTTTCCTCCAATCCTCCAAAAAATAATTAAAATGTCTTTTCCGAGAGAGGAACTTTTTTTTTGTCTTTTTTGGTTCAACAAAACGGGGGCGACTTTTCAAAAGTACGGAAATTCTTCGGGGAATTCTCTCTTTCTCTCTCTCTCTCTCTCTCTCTCTCTCTCTCTCTCTCTCTCTCTGGTTTTTGTTGTCGCTTTTCATCAAACTCATCTCATCCCGGTAAAAGACAGAGAGACAGACAGACAGAAAAACAGAGAGACAGAGAGACAGAGAGACAGACGTATGTCTCTGTCTCTCTCTCTGTCTCGTTCGTTTGGTATCTCAAGACGAGAATTTGTTGACTCCTTTTTCCTGAGAGAGAATTGAGACCCCCCTCCAATTATTATCCAATAATTGGCGGCGAAGACCGGAAAAACAGACAGACAGACGTATGTCCTCTCTATCTCTCTCTCTGTCTGTCTGTCTCGTTCGTTCGGTATCTCAAGAAGAGAATTTGATGTCGCCTTTTTCCAAGAGAGAATTGAGACCCCCCCCCCAATTATTATCCAATAATTATTTGCGGCGAAGAAGACCGGGAAATCTCATCACTCATTGAGACGACGAGAGAGAAAAAGAAAACGACGACGGAGAAGAAAAATCAGACGATATAGATGATTTCGAAATTGCTCACCTTGCGAGTTGGTACCATCGACCATGAAGGCGAGATCGCCGACGCAATAAGTAGCCATTATTATAGTATGTCTTCTTTTGTGATGAAAGAGTATTATTTGGGCTTATTATGACGAGTCAAGAGGCGAGAAAATTTTTTAAATTCCTGTCCAACAGATGTCAGTTATACATTTTAACAGGCAGGGGAAAGGGCACAGAAAGAGTTGTTGTTTTGCATTTATACATTAATAAATACAAAACGCCTTTTCCGATACTCGGAACTAATATTTTACTATTATTATTCGTCTTCCTTCACCTCTTCTTTTTCTTCTACTTCTTCTACTTTTAGTCCTTTCGTCGTAGCAATATCAGCGTTAACAGCAACTTCGTCTTCGTCTTTGTCTTCTTTCGCCCCGTCTTCTTTGTCCTCGACGTAGTCGTCCATAAATACGCGGCTCTTCATGCCGGAAGCGTTGAGCTTTTTCAAGAGGGACCCGTCCGAAACGCCGGCGCGGACGACTTGCTGCGCTTTCAAAGTGTCCGCTTCGGAAGTCGCCGAGGCGCACACTAAAGTCACGCGCAAATGCTCAGCTTTGGTGCCAGTCTTTTTCGTTCGCTCTTGCACGTACGTTTCCATATCGTCTACATTCGCGCACGAGTCTGGAGCTTGCTCTCGTAAGTAGGCGAAGAACACCTCTTTAAACGCTTTTTGTTCCGGCTCACCAAACGCGATCCGAGTTATGCTCGGAAAGCCTAAAGAGGCGACGACTCCAGTCCTGGGGATGTTTTTAACTTCCTGGTCGTCCAAAGTAATCAAAGAAGACGGATCCGAGGCGTTCTCGTCGTCGGCGGCGTTTTGCGCTCGCGTCGTTTCGGCGTCGGTATCGCCTCGCTCCGCCTCTTCCTCTTTTTCTTCTTTCGCTTCTTCGCTTTCTTCAGTGGAAGATTTCTCGTCGATGTTGGCGTCGCTTTTCCTCTCATCATCGTTTGAAGAAGAAGTCGTTGGTGACGGGGTCGTCTCTCCGAAGTATGCGGCGAGATTCTTCTCCGCTTCCGCATCCGTGAGGGCGGCAGAATTTTCAACCGAAGATCGGACGTCTTCCGCAGTGGAAACTTCAGAGTTGTTTTCACTCGATTCGCCGTTCTTTCCCGCGTTAGCTAAAATAGAATCGACATCATCCGTCATTGGTTCCAAGATTGCATCGTCCTCTACTGTCGCTCCTTCCACTGTATCATCCGCGTCGTTGGAAACGTCGTCCGGAATTTCTGCGCCGCCGCCGCCGCCCAAGAGCTTCTTCACTTTCTCCGCCGCCGCTTCTTCGTCGCTCATTGCATCGTTGTCGTCGTCGTCGTCGTCGTTTTCACTTTTCTTGTCGCTGCTCGTTTTCTTCTTCTTGCTAGACGATGAGGAAGATTTAGACTTCTTTCCACCAGAGTCAGAAGAGAAGTCTTCGGCTTCGGCTTTGCGCAACAATTTATCCAACTTGTCAAACTTGCCCTCTCCGTCGTTTTTTATATACTCTTTAACCGAATCCACCGTCTCTTCTTGACGTCTCTTGTACTTTTGCGCTTTCTTCGACATTTCCTTCATACCATCTAAACTCATTTTGGCCGTATCGACGGCTTGTTTAGCCTCTTCTATCGCTTGCTGACGATCGCTCAAAGCGAGATCCCTTTCCTTTTGCGCTTGCGAGTTGGCAGAGTTCAACCTCATCAACGCTTCCTCGGCAGATTTTTGAACCTCTTTCGCGGCTTGCGAGATTTCATCCTTCTCAGCATGCAATCGCTCAGCCAAAGCTTTCTTATCCTCGCTCATTTTTGAGTTTGACCTTTTGGCAAACTCGCCGATTCTTCTCCTCGCTATCGCTTCTCTCTTCGCCTGTTCCAAATACTCGTTCGCTTGTTGCGTCGCCAACGCGGCAGTGCGGCGAGCCTCCAAGATCTTGTCTTTGGCGTGCTCAATTAAACGACCTTGAGCTTCGGATGCTTTCGTGGCAATTTCGATCTTCTTTTGTTCGTAATCGCGGGCCAAATTTTCCTTCTCGATGTCAGCTTTGCGTCGCAACGCGGTTTCTTCCACCAGAGCCTTTTTAAATTCAGAGACTAAAGCGTTCAAATTCTGTAACTTTTCTTGTTGCTGCGCCGCGTTTTCTTCCGAAATGGCCTTTTTCGCGGCAGTTGCTTCTAAGCGTTCAAGATTCTTTTGTGCTTCTTGTCTCCAGTGCATAGCAGTTTCGTGCTCCGATCTCGCCAACTCAGCCGCGTCCCGATTTTGGTTGGAGATGTCATACAGTTCCAAAGCGTTTCTGTTCGCCGTATCGTGTTCGAGCTTTGCCATAGCGACAGCATCTAGATTCTCCGACGTCAACTTAAAATTATTTCCCACGTTTGCGTTCGAGTTCGCGTTGTTGTTGTTGTTATTAGTGCCAGCCGCCGCAGCATTCATCATCATCTGATTGTTCATGGCGGCAATATTTTGTTGGTACAACATTTGCGCCGTCTGGGTCGGATCGATTGCGGCAGGTTGAACTACAGCGGGTTGAGCAACTGGCGCGTTTGGCGGAGGAGGCGATGGAGATGGCGGAGGTGGTGAGATAGCCGGAGGTGGGGATTGAACTTCTTTGTCAGTCACGTCGCTCGACGACGACGACGACGAACCTTGCTCCTCCGAGAGCGAGCGCAAGACTTTCGAGGTTTCCTCGTTTCTTTTTTGCAAACCGGCGTCGGAATCCTTCGAGTTGACGTCATCTTCGTCGGCAAACGCAAAAGTACCATCCTCTTGAACGATGAGCTTTTGACCTGGTTTAAACTTCATCTGGTGAGCTTCCCCAGCCGAGTTCCACGATTTTGTCGCCGCGCCGCCTTCTTTCACTTCCTTCAATTTCTTGGCAGCCTTCATGCGAGCGGCGAACGTGTCCACGGGCTCTGTGTTGTCGTCCTTGTTGTTGGATTTCGAAGATTGCTTCGTCGACGCATTTTCAAAGCTCGAGCTTTTCTTTGTCTTCTCGTCCGTGGCAATACTCGCCGTCGTCGCCGCTGACCCTCTCTTTTCCTGCTGCCTTCTCTCTTTCGACGTTGTCGTCCCAGTCGTCGAGGCAGAGGGCGACGATGAAGAAGATGATGATCCCTTCTTCTTGCTGTTGATGTTGCCACTTCTTCTCCCGTTTCTGGAAGATCTTTGTTGCGCGCGCTGAGCTTGTTTCGTCTCTTCTTCCATTTCTTCTTCTTGGATATCTTCGCTCGCCTCTTCTAGAAACTCTTCTCCCGGGTCTGCGTATCCAAAGGCCCTTCGTACGGTATCTGAAATTCGATCCGTAAGTCCGCGCGATTTCTTCACTCGCGACGACCTCACCAATTCTTCTTTTTCTTCATCTTCTTCTACGAGCTGTTCGTCTTCTGATTGCTCTTCTGCTTCTGCGTCCGCGACTTCATCGTCGTCGAAAACTTCTTCTCCTTCGTTGACTCGCTCTTCCTCTCCTTCTTCGATGCCACCGTGCGCTTCATCCACAAGCTCTTGCGCTCTTCTCTCTATATCTGCTTCAGAAATACGTCCGCCCGGTGTTGAAGGAGTGATAGAAGAAGGCGTAATTTGCCGCCGTTGTTGTTGTTGTTGTTGCTCGCTATTTTCCATCGCGTCATAAAATGGACCTACACGACGGCTTCGCCGGTTCGAAAGTCCTTTCGCGAACGAGGTTGCACGAACGGGGGATTCAACGACTTTTTCATCCACTAACCCGAATCGCTCTTTTTCCTTTTGTAGTCGTTGACGTTCGTGAAGAGAAGCTACGTTTTTCCTGCGTTCATTCTTGACATCGCGCTCCTCTTCCATGTCGAGTTCATCGTCGAATTTACTGTGCGCCCCCCAGGGATCGCCGCCGTACCCGGCACCTAATTCAGCGCTCGCGTCCAAATTTGTAGCCGCCCCGAGTTGTGCCATTCTCTTAGGTTGTTTTACGCCACCGAAAAGACTCGATAACCACGAAGATCGCGTCGGTGCAGCACCAAGTTCAGCTCTTTGTCGGACTGGTTCCGATTGCGCCGAAGCCGGGATAAACTTCTCCTCGATTTCGTTCAAAGCATTTTCAAGCTTGGGCAAAGACGTCGACGCGAGCTCTTCGACTTTTATGGCTTCAGCCTCGAGCTTCTTTCTTCGCAAAGACTTGTTACCGTCGCCGGCTTTCTCCATTTTCGCTCTGCGTGTCAACTCCTTCACTTTCGCGGTGGCGTCCACGTCCGTAGTCGTGTGCCACTTACGGACACTTTTGATCGAATTGACAACATCGTCGTGCGGCAACCTGTTCGAATCATCACTCGTTGCGTCTAAAATAGCCGAAAGTTTCAACAGTCGAGCTTGAAACATCGTCGCGTCGTTTTTAATTTGCACTCTCCACGTTTCGCACGTCGTGAGCAGATCGTCGTCGGATAACTGCACGTCTCTCTTCTCTTCGTCATCAAAATCTCCCGAGGTTGACGCGAGATCCCTCTCAAACGCGTCGGCATCGAATTTTTCGAGTAAGGTTTCGCCGTTTGCCAAAGCGATGGCAGCGTTGCTCGAGTCTCCTTCAAAAAGTTTGTCGTCCTCGTTATCGTCCGCGTTCTTCGTCACCGCGCCGAGAAAGTTCGTGGCGTATTCGTTCGACCATCCTGATATTCCTCCTCGTCCATCACCTCCTCCTCCTCCTCCTCTGGATGATGCAGATTTTCGTTTAGACCCGGACGCGACGCCGCCTCGATTGTTCGAAGCGTTGATGTTAAAGTCGTCTTTCGCGCTTGAAGACGAAAGGAGCAAGTGTCCAAGCACTGAGTCCGAAGATGCCGTACAGACCATGGCAACGGAACCGGCGATCAAACACCCACCAACCAATCGTGAATACGATGTTGACGAAGTCATTGTCGCAGATGTGTTCAATCCGTCGTGTTGATACTGATGATACTCGCTGTTGCTCCCGTACGAAGGCGTGGTTGCGCTTCTCCCTCGGGGAAATCCAGCATTGAATTCCGCGGCCTCATTTTGCGCTCCTCCTCCTCCGTGTCGATGGTGGTGCCGCCTGCTCTTTCTCTCTCCCGAGTGAGATTCTTCTTTCTGCATATCTCTCAGAAGCTGTTCGGCGACTTTCTCTCTCCCTCTCCTCGCTTTTTGCGAATAGTGTGGATCGTCTCGTTCGTCTTTGACGTAGCCTTGCGCGGAGAGCACATTTGTTGACGCGCGCTCACCACTTTTGTTTTTGCTCAAAAGGTGATGATTTCTTTTGGTTGTGTTACTGATAGTACTACTCTCGGCGGGGTCTCCTCCACCAAACAACCAGTTTGGCGCCATTTCTGTCTGTCTGTGTGTATGTGTTGTTTACTCTAGAAGTCGCTCTAAATCTACACACACACACACACACACGAACACCCTCGAGCGCGCGCTTTGTTGTTCTTTCTTGTTGTGAAGATGCTGTTGAAGGCAAAGTTTTGTGTGGACCTTTTTTTTTTTTGTACGAGAGAACCCTAAACGAGAATTTTTCCTCAATTTTTTTTCCTGTTGAGATTCCATCATCATTCTTGGCAAAAACTTCTTCTTCTTCTTCTTCTTCTTCTTCGTCTTCTGATGACAAAAAAAAGTTGTTCCACCATCTCCTCAAATTTTTCTTCAAAAAAACGAAGAGAGAGAGACACATTTCCTCCACAACTCTCTCTAAGTCACTCTCTTCAAACACACACAGACGTTCACCGTCAGTCGTCATAATATTACTTTACGCTTCTTCTGCATATATATAATCTCTTTTACTCCCTTCTTCTTACAGCGTTTAAAATAATACTGAGTATTATAGTAGTAGTATTAAATATGACGACTGATGAAGAACAGAGTGGTAAAGGTGGAAATGATGGTAAAGAAGTGAAAAACGAAGAAGGAAACGTGCCGTTTATGATTTCAGAAATGCAACGAGAAATGAACGCGCGGTGCACTCAACTGCAACTGAACTTCAAACGAGAACACGAGGAGAACGTGAAAGAGAAAGAGAAGATGAGAGATTCAATCGAGCGTTTAACGAAAATTAAGGACGATTTGATGAAAAGTTTAACGTTGATGACGAAAGAAAGAGACTCGTTTCGAGAGAAGGCGATGGGAGAGAAGTTGTTACGTTTTCCTTCTTTAAAAAACATCAAAGAAGAAAAGAGAGACGAAAGAGACGATTTTTACGATACTAACACTGAAATTGACGACGACGACGACGAATTTAAAGAAGAAGAAGAAGAGGATTCTTTTGACGACGACGGTGGTAAAAACAACGAGGATACTCAAACTCTCGTATCGCGAGCGCGATTTCAAAAATTACAAGCCGAGTTGATGATTTATCGCGAAGCGGCGGCAAAGTATCGAAAGGAGAAAGAGGTGGCGCTTTCAAAATTAGAAAAGTACGAAAGAAAACAACAACAGCAGCAGCAACAACGACAACAAAAGCGAGGAGGAGGAAAAGAAGAGAATACTGCGAAGAGAAAGCGGCCGCACTCTCCGGCTTCGAAGTACGCCGTGTTCGCCGGCGAAGTTTACACGACCAAAGACGAAGAGCTCGAAGAGATTGGAAACAGACGACGAGGGAAAGACGACGAGGAAGAGAGAGAAAAACGACAACGACGACGACGGGAACAACAACACTCTCTTCGACACCGGGACGAGATGAACGATGTCGACGACGAGTATAGCGCTAGAAAGAAGAACGATAAGAAAACCGACGACGACGAAAAATCTTTTTCGTTCAACAGAACGGAAGACTTTTGGGCGTTTGATAAGAAGAACGAAACGACGATAAAATCTAACGCATTCGTAAATCCGCAGCGACAACAACAAGAACAACAACAACGACAACATCATCAAACAGATAAACCAAAGCCGAAGAAGCACGTCGACGCGTCGAAGATGATGATAATGTCGAAGAGAGCAAGTTTAGAAGGGGCGAGTAAAAAAGGCACCGCGGCGGCTTCAACAGCAGCAAAGAAAGGCGTTTCGAAGAAAGTTCGGGGTTTGTGGAACGATGCCATGAAGAAGAAAACGACGACGATTAGCGATACGAAGACACCACCGCCACCGCGATCGGGCGCTATGTTCGAAACGCCTAAAACGAACGAAGCGCAAATCAACGAGAACACGCCGGGAGAAGAGGAAGTTTTGGTCATCAAGAACACCCAAGAAGAAGAAGAGAAAGAAGAGAAAGAAGTGAAACGCACGAAGCAAGAACTCCGCGAAGATCATCAGCAAAAATCGAATAAATGTTTACCTGTTGACAAACCACTGCGAGAGGTGAAGTACCAAGAAGTTGTTCGTGGGAAAGAGGCGCGAAAAGAGCTCATCGGGTACGCGTGCCAAGAATGCGAAAGGTTTTACGCCGTCGCCGGTCAACTCGATCGAAGGGCGTGCGAACACGGAAGTAACGCTTTGAATAATAACACGAATAACGGGGCACCGCCAAGAAACCTGGAAAATTCCCGTCATCGCGCGAAGTACGTTCCTCCGAAAGATCCGGCTGGATATTGGGATCTCGGAGGCTTCACGCAAACGCAACCGGATCCAAAGAAGAGGAAAGCGACAAAGTTCGACGAGACTCCTCCGTCGCAGGAAAATTTGTAAACTGAACGCGCAGAGAAAAGAGAGTTTATGAAAGATGTTGCGAAACATCTGAAAGAACATTGATTCCCACATACTACTACTACCACTATAGAAATATAATAATAATATAATAAACGAGGCGCGAGGTACAAGAGTACTGGTAAATACTTTTTTGTATGACTAACTACTTCTGTTTTTTCAAATTGTTTTATACATCTACTCTCCTTTGTCTTTGGCATCTGGCGGTGGTGGCGGCGGAAACATAGAGTACACGTTCAACATGCTCAAAACGACCCCTAAGGCTCCTACGTTCCTCTTCTTCATCGGAATTTTCTCCAAAAGCGCCAACGCTAACAACGCTTGCAAGGTGTTGGTCGTGATGGCGGTAAACACTGGCTTGGCAACCTTTGCGATTTCTTGTTTTCTATCCTCGTCGTCGTCCGCTTCCGCGACATCTCTCACACATTTTCCTAACTCGTTCGCGCTTTGGTACAACCCAGCTACTGACCCGACGAACCACCCGTAATATGAGAGCTTTTGACACAGTTCGGTTATTTGCTTGTTCGTGACTAAACCGGTCGCGCCTAAGAATACGATGTGATCGAAAGCCATGTACGCCGACATTCCAATCGCTTTTGAGTACGCAACTAACACTTTCGCTTGATTCCCAACCGGTGGATTTTCAATCACCGGGAGTAAAAACTCCACCTCTTTGAAAATCCGAAACGGTTTCCTCGCGCTCCCAAACGATTTTTGCAAATTCAACGCGTTCCCGGGCGTTCCGTTGGACGTAAACATGGCTAAATACTGCAACAACGCCAAGGTTTTATCCTTCCCGTCTGATTTCGCGAGCAAACCTTTCATTCTGTTTGAGAATATAATCACCGAGTTCTTTTCTGGAAGTAAATCTTTTAACGAAGAGAGAAGCAGAGAAGAAGAAGAAGGCTGATGGTTGGTGGTGTTGTCCATAATTTTCCGCTCCGTCGTTTTTGACGATGATGAAGATGATGATGATGAGATTGGAGATCTCAATATACTCACGAACCGAAGCAAGACTTCTCCTTAACACGAAGAACGATTCTTTCTCGCTCCTTTAGGTCCGTTCAACACACGCGCAACAGATGAAAGGAGAAGAAGACTTTTACGAAGACGACGACGAAGAGAGTGTTTGTCTGGATGATACTATCACTTTTGCTCTTTTTGTTTGAGGAATTCAAACTTGTGCTGTTAAAGGTGTTTTTTATTTGATGTGATTTCGTTGCGAATGAAGAAGAAGAGGACGTATTTTGGGTACCACTGGAAAACTGGTACAAAATAAATAATGTAATAATTATACATTCATTCGCGCAATCTACCGTATGTAACTCTCTGTGCGAGTGCTATTGTCTACCCCTCGTCATCTCGTCATCGTCGGGGTCGACGCTTTTTCATATGCCAAAATGTCTTCGTCTTCATCGGTGCCGACAAAGGCATTCTCCCAAGCGAGCGCTTCGACCGCACTCGGTCTTTTACTCGGATCGACGCTTAAACACTTCGCGATGAGTTTACAAAACGCCACGGGTTGACGACCAGATAAATCTTCGATGATCTTCTCCGTAAGCGTCGTCGATTGGATGATTTCGTTTTGATTCTTCACCAAGTCGCCGTAGCGTTCTCGCATATTTTTTTCTTGCGAAGGCGCGAGACGAAAGTCAGGATAAGTGAGCATCTGTGTGAGAATTTTCGCATCGAGTTCGAGCTCGGTTTGGTTCAAGCGATTTAATTCGGTTTCGGACATCGCCATCGCTTTCTGCTTCGATTTTGTCGTCATGTTCTCTCCGGCATCTAAAGAGTCCGCGAAGATTTCTTTTCCCGTGCACAGAAAGTACATCGCAATGGCAAATGCAAAGATGTCAATTTTCGCATACGTTTCCATCGATACCTGTTCGCCGTCGTTGTCGTTGATTCTTTCGCCTTCGGACGAGGTCGCAGGTAATTCGTATTTCCCGAGCAAAACTTCTGGAGCTTGATACCCAGGCGTTCCGCTGCTTGGATCGTACTCGATAGAACAGACCATATTTTTTTTCCCGCCGCTTTGAAATGAACCCCCGTCCTCTTCTTCGTTCGTTGTGGGAACGATTTCCGAAAAGTACAACTCACACGCCGTTTGTGAATGCGCGACACCGAAATCTATGATGGTTGCTTTTCGATTGAAATCCTCTGCGCCTTCTCTACCTCTGATGAGAATGTTGCCAGACTTGATGTCGCGATGAATTACGTTACGTTCGTGACAATGTTTCAACGCGTGCAAAATACGACGGGCCATCGCGCGGCACTCTCTCGGCGTCAATCGTCCTAATTTTCTCGCCTCATGCGCATTTTCTCCGTGATCTTTCAACAACAAGTACGATTCGTTCCTATCGGATTCGAGAAAGGCCGCAATAACTTCAACAATCGCTGGATGTTTCGGTAGCGTAGCTAACACGGCCGTTTCGACTTTCCCAAACCCGTACCCGTCTCCTTGAGGAGCATCGAAAGCGTCTCGGCCCGGAAAAGGCGCAGAACACTTCAAAACAGATTCACCCTGCGTAAAGAAGTCCGTTTTACTCAACGTGAGCGATGATAAATTGCTTGCGGCATCTTTCTGTGCTGAAAATACGTCCGAAAATGTACCTTCGCCAACAATTGTGGTTGGAGACTTCTCGTAAAAGAGCTTTCCCAAGGCGGTACCGTACAACGCCATCGCTTCTTTTTTACTTTCTTTTGCAAAAAATGTACCCTCAGTATCAAATACAGGGGTGCTTGATGCTAAGCGTTCTCTAACTTTCTCTTCGAGAGCGAGTTGTTCTATCGTCGTCGGCGCGTACCGTTTTGAAGATATGGCGGCGAAGTAGCTATTTCGACGTCGTCGCGCAACTTCTCTGACTTTCGTTTCCTTTTCTCGTTTCTCCGATTCGGGGTTCAGTGCATCACTGCTACTGCTACTGCTACTATTATTGGTGCTTTCTTCCTCTACAGTGGATGATGATGATAACGGTGTAGCAATCGCATCGTACCTCTTGTTGTCTAACGCTCGATCCCACGGGTGTAACTCATCGTCGTAACTTAACGCCCACTGATTGAACTCTTTCTTTAATTCGTCCACTTTTTTTCCATCAAAAACTGCAGCCGCTGTCGAAGATGTTTCTCTCGTTTGCATCGCTTCGACTTGTTTAGGCACCACATAGCCTGTCGAAGAAGAAGGACGGGGTGATGATGATTTCCCAGACGACGGTTCAGTTTCGAACAACCGCTGAGGTGGAGGTGATGATGATGGTCGCGGAATGATGTTACTTTTAATCTGCTGAGAAGAGAACGCGACGTTTGAATCTTCCATCTGTTTCAAAAACGGGTTGACTTCTTCCTCTTCTCTCCGTCGTAAAATTTCTTGTTGTTCCCGCTGGTGCTGGTCTTCGCTCCGTCTAGGAGGTCTTGGCGATTTATTTCTAACCGCCGCGGTTTGCGGGGTATCGAATGCAAACGTGATCGGTTGGAGAGATGCATCATCGCCGTTCTCTTCTCGTTTACCCCTTTCTCCTCTTTTCTTTGCGAATGTGGAGAAGAACGCTCCCGCGGCGACTGTGGTGACCACCGTCGCGCCGAACGCGCAATACGAAAGCCAAATAGAAGAGGGAGTTGGTGGTGGTGATTGATCGCGAGAAGAAGATACGGATATGACTGCTTTCGCATCCTTCTGCTTCGTATTCGTCGTCGTATTCTTCTTCTTCGTCTCTTTCTTCTCCTTCTTCTTCTTCTTCCTTTCTTCTTCTCGTCGTTCTCCGGTGAACCGCTTGAGAATATCAATATCGATTATTTTCACCTTGACTTTCATCGCTTCTCGAAACGAAGGCACGAACTCGTTCTTCTTCGACGATAAAGACGGCGACGACGACGACGATTTCGTATCCGCTTTCTTCTTCTTCTTCGCGCTTCTTCCGCTTCCATCGGTTGTTCTGCTTCCGACGGGTAAACTCCAAACACTTCGAATTTGCATTTTCATTTTGAAATAAAATTTAAAGCGTATCTATCTGTGAATGCTTTGTGGACGAATAAAACGATCGATCGATATGTATCGATCTATCTCTTATCTTCCGATCTTCTGAGAAAGAAGATCGCAGACGCAAAGAAGATCAGAGACGTTCTTCGTCTCTTCACTCGTTGTCGTTCGTCGCGTTTTCACTTTTGATGCGAATTGTGTTATTTGAGGAGGAGAGAAGAAAGAGATATATTTTTTTAAGTCGTCTTTTACGTAAAACCAAAAAGAGTCGAATTTTTGTTTTGTCTGTGTTTTTTTTTACGAACTGAGACTCTCTTTCCGATCATCACAATCATCACACACACAATGAGCAGTCGAAACGTTTTACGACGAGGTTTGAAAACCTCCTCCTCTTTCGCGCAGTCGTTGCCGGCTTTGAAAGAGCGATCGGCGGCGGCAGCAACGACGAAACCGTCCATTTTCTCCCAAATCTTCGGTGGATCGGCGACGAAGCAACCGCCGATGGACGAACCTATGCCGAATGTTATCATTCCCGAAAGCCCGATCTACCCGAAAGAAGCGCCAAAAACTTTGGTCACGACGCTTTCAAACGGGGCCACGATTGCCTCAGAAAACACTCCCGGGGCGACCATGGCCGTCGGTTTATACTTGGAAAGTGGAAGTAAGTACGAGCAGCCGTACATGTCAGGCGCTTCGCACATGCTCGAAAGAATGGCTTTCAAAGCGACGACGAACAGAACGAACTTTCGAATTACGAAAGAGGCGGAAGTGATGAGCGCGAGTTTATTAGCCGCGGCGTCGAGAGAACAAATGTCTTACACCGTGGATGCGTTAAAAACGCATTTACCAGAGGCAGTGGAGTTGCTTTGCGATTCGGCTTTGAATCCGAAGCTCGCTAACCACGAAGTCGCGAAGATGGCGAAAGACTTGAAGAAAGAAATCGAAGAGCTCAAAACGAATCCACAAGCTATGTTGATGGAGGCTGTGCACTCGACGGCGTACGACGGAGGATTAGGAAACGCACTTTTAGCCTCGCAAGAATCTATAGACGCGATTGACGGCGACGCTTTGCGCGAATTCATCGCCGAAAATTACGTCGCACCGAGAATGGTCTTGGCGGCTTCGGGCGCGGATCACCAAGAGTTGGTGTCCATCGCGAGTCCAATGTTGGAGACTGTCAGTAAAGGTTCGGCGACGACGACGGGCAAAGAAATTCCGTCGAAATATATGGGCGGTGACTTTCGAGTGAAGAATGAATCTCCACTCACGAGTTTAATTTTAGGTTTTGAATTCCAAGGAGGATGGAGAGACGCGAAGCGATCCACGGCGGTGACTGTTTTATCCATGCTGCTTGGAGGTGGTGGATCCTTCTCCGCGGGTGGTCCGGGAAAAGGAATGTACTCTAGATTGTACACGCGCGTGCTCAATAGATACGGATGGGCTCAAAACTGCACGGCATTTCACTCGATTTACAACGACACCGGCATCGTAGGGATTTCCGCCATGACGGATGGACAACACGTCAACGATATGATCGCCGTTATGGCCGAGGAGTTATCCGCGGTTGCAAACGCGAGCCAAATCACGGACGAAGAAGTCGAGAGAGCGAAGAACGCGACGATTTCTTCAATTTTGATGAACTTGGAATCCAAAGCTGTCGTCGCCGAAGACATTGGAAGACAAATGTTGACGTATAACCACAGAAAATCGCCGGAAGAGTTCATCGCCGAAGTGAGCAAGTTGACGAAGCAAGATTTGTCAGAAGTAGCCGCGCAAATGTTAAAATCAAATCCGACGCTGTGCTTGTCCGGCGATATCGCCGGCGCTGCGCGATTCGAAACCGTCAGAGCCATGTTCTAATTTTCGATTTGATACGTATAATATATAATATAAAAGTACCTCTTCTTCAAACGCGGAATTTCGTAAAAGTGTGTGCTTTCAACGCGTTTTATTGTCGTTTGGTTGTACCGTTTGTTGTACTTTTGTTTCAATTAAAATTCTACTATTTTAAGCTCGTGCTTATGCGATCATAAACACTACCAGTTGTTTAATCTATTTTCTCTCCAGCCTCCTCACATCTTCTCTCTCCTTTCTCTCTCTCTCTCTCTTCTCGAACACCCACCAATTTTTATTAGTTATCTTATTAGTTTTTTATTCCTCGGCAGCGGCGGCTTCCGGCTTCGCTTCCTCAGCTCTCGGAATTTGTTGACCAACCTCCTCGCCAGAGTAATCGCCGTGAACTTCCATCAACTTCGTTACGTCGAACTTCGGCGTCTTCAACATTTTCACCTTTCTCAAATAGACGTTTTGCAACGGGTAGATACCCGAGCACGACTTTTCAATCTCTTTACCGATAACTTCCGGGATAAATTTCAAAACCAACTCCTTCAAGTCACACGATTCGCACTCTCTCTTGATAATTTCAACCATCTTCGCGCGAATCTTACGGATTTGCGCGGATTGAGCGTAACAAGTTCTCTTCGTTTGGTCTACGCGACGCTTGGTGAAACCGATGCAAAACACGCGCATCGTGTACCCATCCGTCGTCTTCACGTCGACGAAGCACTCAATCAAAGAAAACCATTTTCTGACTAAGGAGCGGATTTTATCCGTGGTGAAGTCCATACCGTAGAAGTTCGTCAAAACGTTCTTACCCTGAACGTCCTCGCACTTCAAGAACATTTTGCGGAACGCTTGATCCTCGTCTTGGTTCAAGTCCGCCAACGAGCACTCAAAGATTCTCCCCTTCAAACCATCCGAGGCAATCTTCGTACCTTGCGTTCTCGTTTGCGGCGTCTTACCGACGTTGCGAACGGTAAACATGGACGGAGCCTTGATGTCATACCAATCCTTCTTGGAGAACGGATCGACGCTGTTTATTGTTCAAATACGCGAAAATAAGAAGAGAGAAGAAGAGCGAAATATGCGGTTAGTAAATTGGAAAGAAAAGAGAGCAGAGGAAGAAAAAAGGGCTAAAAACTGATGAGAACGCGCGCGTAAATTTCTCTGAGAGAGAGAAAAGAAACCGCGATGATGCGAAGGTAACGCGTGACTGCAAACGCTCGAAAGGCATCGGGCAACACACGATGAATAGAATTCACCCGTTTCGAAAACCATCCGTTCGTCTGTACTCTACGCGCGCGCGCGACGACGACGACGAAAAGAGAATTTTTTGTTCCTTTTCTCTCTCCTCCCGTGTGTTTCGCGCAGTTAACAAGCCCTCTCGTCTTGAAAAACGTAAATGCACGCGCTCACAGACATCGTGCGAAGAACCCCATCGGGTAAAAACGCGCGCAACACGCGAGTAATTACTCAGTGCAGACGCACATCTCAACCAGATTCTTCGCGGATGCGCGCATCCTCGTCGTTCGAGCGCGTTTTTCACGCTTTCCTCCCAAAGAGCACCCCATCGCGCACCAACGCGCACAGAAAAAAAAACGAACGCGTAAACCCGCTTTCGAAGAAAAAGGGCAACTCGCGATATTTCTATCCGAGACAACACGAGCTAATGGTAACTTACGCTTTCTTCTTCGAGCCTTTCTTCCCTTTCGAGAGTCTTTTATTCTTTCCGACGGCCATAATGTACGTTCGCGTCAAAACTATGATGCAGGCAGGAGGAGGTGTGCAAAGCAGTTTTTTTTTTCACTTTTTTTCGAGAGAGGACGCGCCGGGCACAGGTGGCCCAACCACAAACCTCCTCTTCTTTCGCTTTTTATTTAATTCAGATAGAATTCTCTCCATACTTTTGTTTGGTGCTTGAACGACGACGCACGCGTGAATAGCATTGAAAAGAAGAAACAGAAACGAATTAAACAACATCACATCATGTCGTCGTCCTCTATTGCGATGATGCCGAGCGCATCCTGCTCGTTTCGTCATCAACAGAAGAAGAAGCAGCCGCCAACGAAAAAACAATTCCACCAACAAAAAGAAGGAGATAAAAAGCGCGCGACGAAAACAAAAGTGCACGCTTTACCTCCACCGCAACCGCCGAGAGGTCCAAACAGAAGTCCGGGAGGGCCACCTGGTCGACCACAATCACCACCGTCGTCGGCATCCTCTGGTCCTGGAAAGAAACCAGGAGGCGGTTTAATCATCCCCGGCATGGAAGATTTCCCCACGGATGTGATACCAGGAATGTCTGCGCCCGGAGGGTACGCCGGAGGCGGGGGCAAACAAGGCCAAGTCATATCCATGCCTGGAAGTCAACCAGGACAGCAACAGTTTGGCAGATCACCGCCTGCCGGTGGTAACGAATACGACGCAGAAACCGGTGCTTTGAACCCAGACACGCCGATGGGAGGCGTCAAGTTTGGTACGAACGACAGCGGAGGCGGCGGCTCGAAACCAACATATTTAGCTCCCGGGCAAGAAATGGCGGGTTCTTACGAGCAGCAGTATAAACCGCCACCGACGTTTGAAGAGCAAAAAGTAACCGATGAGTTGGATACGAATCAGATGATCATGATGCTTCGTCAACGCGCTGGACATTGGTTCCAGTTGGCAAAGTATATTCCAGCGTTGCAAAAAGCGGGATACATCCCAGACCAAATTTTTGACGAAACTGGCATTGAAAACAAAGAACAAGTGCTGTGGCAAACGTGGCTGTCAACGTATGCGTCTTTGAAAGCATCTAAAGATTTTCCGAGCGAATTGCTTCCGTACTTTGAAACGGAATATTCAGGCTCTCCGTGCTTGAGTCAGATCAACTTTTTACCGAGCGGTAAAAGAGACGCGGCTGCCGAGTTCATCGCCAGGAGAGAGTTCACAGAAGAACAGTCGCGAGAATTGGTAAGAGCGTACGAAATTCGCGACGGTATGGCTGCAATCGCGAAAGATTTCGGAAAATCACCCGGGGAGTGCTTGGCGTTCAAAATTTGGAGAGATATTCAAGAGTTGCAAAGATACGAAGGCGTGGACAAAGCGGAATCGATGCGCGACCGCGGTTTGCAATACGCAGAGACGGATAAATCGAAAGGAAGATTGGAATCCGCGACAGAAATGTTCAGAATGGAAGCTACTGGTGAAGTTAGTAATCTCGCGGCGGCGAAAGCTGCGAATGCGGAAAGCCGATTAATGGCGGTGCAACCGGTGTCCTCCGTGCGATTGGACTTTGAAGAGGTCGAGTTTAGACCAGTTGCAGTCGTGGGTGCGTACAGTAAGTTGACGACAAAAGCAATCAAGCTCGCGCAAGTGGTGGAAAAAGTCGGGACGAACGATCCCAGTAACATATTTAAAACGTTTAGACCGCAAGGAACTTCAGACTGGATGGCAGTGCCGAACTGGGAGGCGTTGGAGAACTCGAAGGAACCGATCGCCACATTCGTTGGGAACACCGCGAAAGAGTTGCCAAACATCGATGGTTTAAGTAACAAGTCGGAAGCTGCTATGCTCATTATCGATCGAGGGAGCACTTCGGCTTCGCCTGCGCATTATTATTTACTCGCGAAGAAATCCTCTGTCGTTTTGAGCGGTGCGGGCGAATCGGAAACCGTCGCCATTCAATCCGGGGCGGAAGTATTACAGATGGAAAAGAGTGGCGCGTCTTTGACGGTTTTGGGGAGAGTTGTCGTTGCAATCAGAGCTCCATCGGCAGGGGGCGATGGAATGACGACAGATGCGCCAATCGGATGAATATATACATATGTATATAAAAAATATAAATAAATACAGAAGAGGAAAAGTAAACAAGGTTGACCATATCATAGGTTTTAGCTGTGTTTCAAAACACAACGTGTAAGGAATGAACAAATGAACAAACAATAAGCATTTAAAACAATAAAACAAGCAATCAAAACCATGAAGAAAAATAAACGCTCGTCGAAAGTGAGCGGGAAGCCTCTCGCTCTCACTTGGTTGTGTCTCTCTCCACCGACGGACTCTAAAACGTACTTTTCAAATACTCGTATTCGTATTCTTATTACTTCTCACTTGCTTTATTATTTACTTCTTCTTTCTCGGCTTTGCCGGCGGTTTCAGCGGCTGCGCGATTAATTCGACTAATTCCGCATCTTGGAGTGATTTTTCGCTCGAAACGTCTTGTTGCATCATTTCAACCGCTTTCGTAATTCTGTCGTTCCCTTTACCCATGACTAAGATGGTCGTTTTGACGTGCGCCACGTATTCACCAGTCTTTTCGTACAACACCGGGTACGGAACCAACAAATCGTGTTTCAAGCACTCGGGTAAACCAGCCTTGGCGCTCAAACCTTCGAGGTATCTCGCCGCAAAAGGAAAAGAAGGAAATCTGTTGCAAATATCGGAGAACACGCCGCGAGACGCTTTCATTTTAAGAGAGTACGACTTCTCCAACGCTCTCTTGTATACCTGCGTCTCTTTTTCATCCTTTTGGCTGAGTTTACCTTCACCCGTAGTCATCACAATATCGAGGCCGAAAACGTCATACAAAGCAATCTCGTGATCGTCTGCTTTCGTTTCTGGAGTTTTCTTCAGCAACACAACCTTGTTGCCGTCGATGGCGAAGCGCTTCATGTTGTGCGAAAGCACGCCTTCGACCAAGTGAACTCCAAAATCTTCGGCTACTTTCGTAATCGCGTTCGAAACATCCGTTGTCGTCTTACCCGGTCTCAAAACTCTCCCCGCAACTTCTTGAGCAACAATGCACGCTTTAATGACGTCCGCTTGTTTCCCGGTGATTTTTTCGTTGCCGCCTTCTTTCTGGCACACGATGGTAACCGCTTGGTGCGCGACGTAGCCGTCGATGTGCGCTCCCACATCGATTTTGACAGCCTGTCCTTCCTCGAGGACGTCTTTATTCTCCACCTCTGGGCAGTTGTACGACACTTGTTCATTTACAGAAACGCACGTCGGTATCGCGACGCCTTTCTCCACTTTAGCACCTTCGACTTTCTTGTTGTAATATTTCGCGCACTCCGTTTCCAAGTGCTTATCACCGGCGACGCAAATGTCCACGATTTTCTTACCCGGAACGATCATCTTTATCACTTCCGTGAGTGCAGCTGTTTGTTTTTTCATTAATGATACAGCGTGCATGCGTTGTCAGTCAAGAGTTTTACGCAGAGTATTGTTTTCTCTCTTCGTCTGAAAAGGGCGGCTGAAAAGTATTTCGAATCGGTCCTCCTCACGAAACAAAGACGAGAAGAAAAAAGAAGAGTTTAATAAAAACGTACCATTCACGCAATCGGCAGCAATCTTGTACTTGGTGACAACATCTGACTGTGTGTTTCAAATTGTTTTTCATGAGAAGTAGAAGCGTTAGTGATGAAGATGATGATGATGATGATGCTCTGGTTCGTTGTTGTCTAAAGAAAAATATCAACACACACAACAAGAACAAAATCGAGAATTTACGCGCGATACGATAACATTGAATAAAACGCACGTTTGCGCAGGTGAATAAATCGTCGTTGAAGTCGACATCAGCAGCGGCACCGCCACCTTCGTTGTCCGACATGTTGTTGTTGTTGTTGTGTTGTTGATGGAATGTGTGTGGGTATTATATTTTGTATCCACCACTACACGGACGGCGGATGGACTTGAGGGGTTTTCGCGAAATTTATTTGAAATCTGGATGAAAAAAGGGAGTTTGTTCGCTCGGAAAGAAAAAAGAAATCAGCAGCAGCCATAATCTGGCAGCGAGAATAAACTTTAAACCAGCGAACGACAAACCAACAACAACACCACGCGCGAGCAAAAAAAATGGAGTCGAAGTCTGACGCCGTATCCACTAGGCCACACAGCCATTAATATTTGACTGACTGAGGAGGGGATCGAACCCTCGATCTTCAGATTTTCTTCGGATAATTCTTTTTGGCCATAAGCAACTCTTAGGGTTTAGGAGTAAAACTATTAACAGTTTTTGTTTAGTGTTTTTAATTTGGACTCTTTTCTTCTACATGCAAAAAAAGCATGCAAACACATCAAATCGCCAAAAGTAGATAGAGATAGAAAACGCAAACGCTCGAAAACAAAACGTATTCGACGACGACAGCCAATTATTATTACGCATCCACTCTAAATTCATTTACTACTATTCCTAAAAGAACACAAAGAACATGTTTGCTGTTTCCACGAGCAACGTTTCCACGCAGTTTGGCACTCAAACGAAGAAGATTTCTTCCTCCGTCCGATCGAGAAAGAGTTGCCATCAACAAAAGAAAATCGTCACCATCACCAAGGCGGCTTTTAAGACTGACAACTCACAGAGGATCTTCAAGGAGGCGCAAGACTTGTTGCCGGGAGGTGTAAACTCCCCCGTCAGAGCGTTCAAGTCCGTCGGCGGTCAACCGATCGTTTTTGATAGAGTTAAAGGACCATGTGCGTTGTTTCGTTTTTCCTCTTCCGCGCAAGTCGCCTCCCGATTGGATAAAACTCTTTTCTCTCTTTGGGCTTTTTGCGAGAGAGGAAAAGATCTCTCTTTTTTTCTGTTCCTTCTTCTAAAATTCTTTCGAGAAAACTCCTTCCTCTCTAAAAAAAAATACTGACAACAACAACAACAACAACACTTTTTATTATACATATAATACTAATAATAAAGATGCGTTCGATGTCGATGGGAACAAGTACGTCGACTACGTCGGCTCATGGGGTCCGGCCATTTGCGGTCACGCCAATGACCAAGTCAACGCGGCGTTGATCAAGCAACTCGAAAAAGGTACCTCCTTCGGCGCACCGTGCGAGTTAGAAAACACTTTGGCGAAGATGGTCATCGACAGAGTTCCGTCCGTGGAAATGGTTAGATTTTGCAACTCTGGCACCGAAGCGTGCTTGTCCGTGTTGAGAGTCATGCGTGCGCACACCGGTCGCGAGAAGATTATCAAGTTTGAGGGGTGCTACCACGGTCACGCGGATCCGTTTTTGGTCCAAGCCGGTTCCGGCGTCATGACTTTGGGTTTACCGGATTCCCCGGGTGTCCCGAAAGGTGCTACTGGCACGACTTTGTGCGCGTCTTACAACGACATCGAGTCCGTCAAGAAGATCTTTGCGGAAAACAAGGATGAAATTGCGGGCGTCATTCTTGAGCCAGTCGTCGGTAACTCTGGCTTCATCGTCCCGGACAAGAGCTTTCTCGAAGGCTTGAGAACTGAATGCGACGCCAACGGCGCGTTGTTGTGCTTCGACGAAGTCATGACTGGATTCCGTGTCGATAAAGGATGCGCGCAAGCGTACTTTGGTGTCACTCCGGATTTGACCACGATGGGTAAGGTTATCGGTGGCGGTTTACCAGTTGGCGCCTACGGCGGTAAGAGAGAAATCATGGAAATCGTCGCTCCTGCTGGTCCGATGTACCAAGCGGGTACCTTGTCTGGTAACCCGTTGGCGATGACTGCGGGTATCGAAACTTTGAACATCTTATCTCAACCGGGTGCGTACGAAGAGATGGACAGAAAGACGAAGACTTTGATTGAAGGCATCTTGAAAGCCGGTAAGGACAACGGCCACGCCGTCTGCGGGGGCAACATCAGAGGCATGTTCGGCTTCTTCTTCTGCGAAGGACCGGTGAAGAGCTTCCAAGACGCGACCAAGTCGGACTTGGACAAGTTTGGTAGATGGCACAGAGGTATGTTAGAGAGAGGCGTGTACTTGGCTCCGTCTCAATACGAGGCTGGTTTCACCGGTATGCAACACTCGGACGAAGACATCGCGTACACCATCAAAATGGCGAACGAAGTCATGGCTACGCTCTAAATAATATACAATGATAAAACTGCATTTATCGCGTCGTTTATATTATTATTCTTTTCCATATAAATTCACTACGTGCACTAGTCATAACAATTACACGCATGGTATACAAACTTTCCTTCTTTCTACTATCAACGCGAGTACTACTTCTACAACTACTTTTATTTAAACTACGCGAACTACTACTACTAGTGTAAACCAATACTCGGTATTTTTTCTACTTTTGGTCGTTGGAAACAGAAGAGATGTGTTCAAGAATGTTCATCGCCATCGGCCGCGCTTCGTAATTCTTCCCGTAGAACGCGACAAAATCACCTCTTTTATCGATCAAATACATGATGATCGAATGGTCGACGAGATAATCTTTGGATGACTCGTTCGTCTTGTGATAATACACGCGATACGCTCTCGCCGCTTTCGCGCATTGCTCTTTCGATCCGGTTAAACCGATAAGTTTCGGATGAAACTCTTTCACGTATTCCTTGACAACTTTGGTCGTGTCTCTCTCTGGATCTATGGAAATGAACACCGGCACGAGCGGTGGTATTTTATTTGCAGACGACGGGGTATTACTACTGTTATCTTTTTTCTCCGTTTCCTTCTCGACGATATCAATCACCTCGGACATTTTTTCCAGCTCGTCTGGACATATGTCTGGACACGTCGTGAACCCAAAGTAAATCAAACAAAAGTTTCCGAGTAAATCTTTATCCGTGAACTTTTTGTTCGTCGCCGCGTTGATGAGTTCAAACGGCCCACCCACCGCCGCTTTCCCGACGCCTTTTTGGTTTTCTGCGATGGATTTCATCCGTCGTTTCTTTTCGTTTTCAAAGAAAAACAAAACTCCCGAACCCGTCAAGACGAGCAAAAGCAACGACTTCCAACCGACTGGACTGTTGTTATTGTTACTACCACTACCACTAGTCGTTGAATACATCATTCTGCGAAGATACTGATCATGTTGTTGTTTGTGAGAATGGTGACGACGACGAAGGAAAAAGGAAGGAGGAGGAGACGTGAAAGATTTGTGTGTCGTCGTCGACGTGCTCGCGCATCTTCTCTCCAACGAAGCCGCGAAAAGTCTTCTCATGGACATCACCATCGTGGTTTCATCGTTGGTAGTATGCATAGCACTCATCCACGCTTTCGCATTTCGCGAAGCCACGCGCCGTAAAGCGAGCGAGGAAGAAAAAAACATTCTTGATTGTCTCCTCGTTTACGTCTGGTCGAATGAAAAGAGTGTAGCTCTTTTTGAGGAAGAAATTTCGACTTGTCGAGGAAACAAAAGCGAGGAGAATTTTTTTCACAACAACAAACAAAAAGCAAAACAAAAAACTCTTTCCCACAAAAAAAACCAGAGAGGAAAAAAAACACGTCCACTAACTTTCTTTTTACTGACATTTAAACGCGACCGAAAGCAACAAGATGCCGCGCGACATGACTGGTACGCGCGCGAAAGAGGAGACCGATCATTTTATGTCATCGCTCATAACCGACTCCTTTCTTTAAACCTTTTTTTTTATTGTCCTCCCTCCCCGCATGATCGAACAAATCACATTTTGATTTGTTTTGATTTGATTTGAAGAAGAAGCGTTACGAAGAAAAAAAAACACACCTCGAGGACGCCATGGTTTATACGCGCGGATAATGCGCGCACGCATTCTGAAACCTCATTAAGGACTTAAACGCATTGTCCACTGACATTTATATTCTTCTTCTTGCGAACAAATCATCATCAACAACACAACAGGAGCCGGGAGGTATCCTCCACAGCCAAAGTTTCAACCCTTTGCGTTTTATTCGTGTTTCCGTCTCGGAGATCCCGAACAAGCCGAATTGATTATGGAGACCGATCCGTATTTTTGGACCCAAGATAACGGTGCGGGAGGACCAATTCACTTCGCCACGACGTACAAACAGCTCGACATGGTGCACCACATCGTGAGAAACGTTCCGTCATGCGTCAATCAAAGGGACGGTAAGGGGTACACTCCGTTACATCGAGCGGCGTATCTCGCGCAATACGACGGGTACCTCGAACTTTTTGAGTATTTACTCTCGGAAGGCGCCGATCCTACGATCACCACCAACGACTACGACCCGTATTTGGACCCTGGTTTGAAAACTCCGCTTCAAGTCGCGATTCAAGACGACGACGTGAGAGATCGTTTGCAGTTTCTCATCGACAAGTACGCCGACGTCCCGAAAAAGCCAAGATGCCATCCGGATCTTGGCTGCTGGTGGACGCTTTACGATTACGGCTTGGACGTCGTGCAAACTTGGGCGCACGACTACAAACCGGACTATCCCGAAAGCCGCAGACGTCAAAAAGCGTTGGAAGAAAAGCGCCTGTTCAAAGAGCAACGTCGCAAGAAGCGTCAAGAGCTGGAGGCGCAAATCGAGCTCGAAATCGCCGAGGCGAAAGGCGAACTCAAAAACATCACGATAAAAGACGGGAAGACGGACGATTCCGTCATCGATCCATCGACGATGAACAACTCTCCGATTGCGTTTCTTTTCCCCGGTCAAGGCTCGCAAAGCGTTGGCATGTTGAAAAGTTGCCAAGACATCCCGAAGGTGAAGGAGATGTGCGAAAAAGCGAAAGAAATTCTCGGATACGACATCTTGGACGTTTGCATCAACGGGCCGAAAGAAAAGCTCGACGAAACCGTGTACGCGCAGCCGGCGTTGTATCTCTCGGGACTCGCCGCGGTGGAAAAGTTAAAACTCGACGATCCTTCGTTCGATGAGTCGAAAGTGAGCGCCGTCGCCGGTTTATCCTTGGGCGAGTATTGCGCTTTGGTCTTCGCGAAAGCGATTTCTTTCGAAGACGGTTTAAAAGTCGTCAAAGTTCGCGCCGAGTCTATGGCCGCCGCCGCGAAAGTGGGTGATCACGGCATGCTTACCGTTGTCGGCTTGAAAGACGAGCAGTTGGAGGAGATTGTCAAAAACGTCAAGAGCGAAGGAAAGAAAGACGAAGTCCTCGAAATCGCAAACTACCTCTTCCCGCAAGGAAGAGTCGTCTCTGGCGACAAATCCGCGCTCGCGAGAGTAGAAAAGAAGGCGCAAGACGAGGGTGCGTTGAAAGTTGCGTATCTGGCCGTTTCGGGTGCGTTTCATACCTCGCGCATGGACTCCGCCGCCGAAAATCTCAAAAACGTCCTGGAGACGATTGAGATTTCGAAACCAGAGATTCCCATTTTCATGAACGTTCTGGGCACTCGTCTCGCGTTATCGGAAATGAACAAGGAATCCATCGTTCGCATGCTCACGAAACAACTCGTCTCGCCGGTTTTGTGGGAAGCGACGTTGAAGAACTTAGTAAGCGAGGGCAAAACGAAGTTGTACGAGCTCGGACCAAACTCGCAAATCAAGTCCATGACCAAACGCGTATCTTTAGACGTCTGGAAAGAGTTTACGAACATCGATGTCGCCAAATAAATGGAGGAGAAGGATTTTTTCTTTTTGAATGCGGTTAAGTCTGGGACGCCTTACCGCGGCGTTCGGTACCGTACAATGCATGTGTTATACTTTGCTTTTTTTGTTGACGTGTAATACAACAATGCTACTTTGTTTATATTGGTGTCGCTATCGAGCACAATTACGGCGCTCGCGCTAACTCTTTTTGTTTACTTTTTCTCTCCGCCTTTCTTTTGGGACAACTTCATGTCGTTCACCAAGTTTGTCATTTCCTCTGAATCTAAAAAGGACAGACTCAACTGATTCTCGAGACTGCGCGCCGACGGTAACGTACTATCGTTCACTGCGCCCAATTCTTGAGCAATTCTGTCGCTCGAGAGACCACTATTTGTTCTCTCCAAGATGCTCGAAAGGAACGCCTGTTGGTCTTTACCAACTTCCTCCTCTTTCGACATGCCTTCAACCATTTGTCGCAAGCTCTCAGTGGACGTATCCGATGGAGTATTTGCTTCCATGATCTCTTGCCACGTAAACTGCGCCAAACCAGTGTCCTTGTCCGGTGTCGGGACGAGCGCGAAGTTGCCGTTCGGGAACATCTTGGGACTCGGTTCTCTCTCTTGTTCGTCTATAATTTCTTGCAAACGCAAGTGATTCGCGTGATTCGTGCTCGTTTCGAGGAGCATTTGCGATTCATGGTCGCTGTTTCCATTATTATTGTTATAGTTGCCATTAATCGTGTTTCCCTCGTTCCTCTCACCTCCTCCTAACAACGGAATGGATTGTCGACGTTTTCGCGGAGCAAATCTCGAAACGTTGTTCAATTGCTCTCCAAACTCCATAGCGAGCTTTGGATTCTGCTGAAGCGTTTCCAGAAGCGAACGCATTTGCGCGCTAAATTGTTCATTTTGTTGTACTCTTTGCTCCATCATGCGCATCTGCGTTGCCGTGTCGTCTTGTTCTAATCGCAAACGCATGACTTCTTTCAACAAAACCATTCGATCGCGTTTAAGCTGATCGACTTCCTCGGTCAAATTTCCAAACGCGCCGAGTTCAAGAGCCGTGTGACCACCACTTGGGGCGCCCTTCTCTCTTCCACTACCTCTTCTTCCGGTCGTTGTCGTTGTTCGTTCTTCTCCTCCAGCTTCATTCGAATCTGGTAGCGCTCGTCCTTGTCGTGGCGACGTCGTCGGTGTCGCTTTCATGATCGATGTTTTCGATTCTTTCTTTTTTGTATCTTTCGCGAACTCTGTTTTCGATTTCATTCGCGGCGCTTCGTTTCTTTTTAGCGTCGTCAACAGCTCCGGCTTATTCTTCTCAAACCCAGTGACGCCAAATTCGAATCTATCCGAGTGACACTTGCGAAAACCATAGTTGTTCAGCTGTCGAACAAAACTTGCAAAATTTGAGTGCTTGAACGTTTCCGGCAAATATTTCTCCTCTAACAAATCTGGTTTCCACACCGTAAACGTTCTTCCGTTCGCCGTCCACGAGATGACGTCGTCGTTTGCAGGGTTCGACACCAAGTTCCACGTTTTCCTGTTGATTTTATTATTGATGATGATATTGATGAGAAGAGAAATATTCATTCATTAGTATCGAGCGCGCGCGCAGTTTTTGTTAAAAGAGAGAATTTAGGAGGAGGGAAAAGAAGGAGAAAAGGCACCCCCACGATGAAGATGAAAAGTCACACGCAAGACGAGTGCGACGAAAACGAGAAGAATAAGAATAAGACGTAAGAAAACCTACCATAAGAACGGCGAGACGTTGATTGTGGCGAACGCGCCTCCTCCAGCAGCGGCGGACATTGGTGGAAGCGACCCAGGTTGCGCCGAGACCTTTTCATCCGTGTCCATCTTTGTTTTTACTCTCCTCCACAAGTCTCTCTATGGATGACGGAAGCAATGCTTCTTCTCCTGCGCGCGCTCGATGACTGCTGCTTCTCGTACCACCACCACTACTGAGTATGATTATCGCGCGATGCACGATACGTAGTGGTATCGATTTAAAGTGGTACGTGTGCAAGTTCCAAATGAGGAGTGCGCGCGCACGAAGTGTTCTTTCTGTATCTCTCTCACTCTCTCTCGTGTTGTTATTTTCTTGTGGTGTTTGTTTTTTCCAAATTTTTGATCTTTTTTCTCTTTTTTGTGTCACTTTCCTTTTGTGACTGATTAAAAATTAAAGAAGAGTCAATCAAATCAATCAAAGTCGTCACTTCTCACCACCACCACCACCACCACCACCACCACTACCACAACAACAACGCACGATGGCTGCTGCTGGTACATCCACTCGTGCGGCGCGTTCGTCGAGTCGTAGCAGAACGGGAGCGGGGAAAAAGTCGTCGAGGAAGTCTCCGTCCCCGACGCCGAAGAGCCGAAAGAATAAAGGAATAAAAAAGCCATCGACGACGACGACGACGACGAAAAAGAAGAAGAAGAAGAACGCGCAAGAGCAAGAGCAACATTGGGGCTCTGGCGGCGATGCCGACAAGTACGGCGCCTTCATCAACGCAGCCGGTATCATCTTGTTAATCGCAACGACGCCGTTCTTAGCGGTGATGATTTGGGACGTGTTCGTCAACAGAAACGGAAGCGTTTCAAACCTCGTTTCGAGTATATCGAGGAAAACATTCAAAGGATACTTAAAAGACATGCTTCCGTGGCCGACAAAAGACGCAATCGTGCATTTACTTTCCTACGCCACGTTCGAAGCGTTATTGCAGTTGTATTTACCTGGGAAAAAGCATTTCGGTCCAGTTACTGCAAACGGGAACATTCCCGAATACAAAGCGAACGGCGTGTTGTCTTTGATTACGACTTACGCGGGATTCTTCGCCGCTTGGCATTTCGGATTAACCTCGCCAAAGATTGTGTACGATTTGTTCGGAGAAATGTTATTCGCGATGTCCATGTTTGCCATATTTTTCTGTCTCTTCCTCACCTTTAAAGGTTTGTATTTCCCGACGGACTCTGACTCGGGAAGCAACGGTTCGTTTCTGTACGACTTCTATTGGGGCACGGAATTATATCCAAAGTTCGGTCCTCTCAACGTCAAGCAATTCACGAACTGCAGATTTGGTATGATGGCCTGGGCTCTTTTACCCGTCGTGTTTGCGTGCTATCAATACGAACGCGACGGATTCCTCGCCGACTCGGTGTTGGCTTGCGTCATTCTCATGTGCTCGTACAACGCGAAATTCTTCTACTGGGAAACTGGATACTTCAATTCCATGGATATCATGCACGACAGAGCAGGGTATTACATTTGCTGGGGTTGTTTGGTGTGGGTGCCTTCTTTGTATGTATCTCCGGCGTTGTATATTTCTTCAATCAAACCGGCGGTACAGCTCGGAACGACGAAATTTTGCGCCATCGTCGTCGCGGGCTTGTTATCCATTTGGATTAATTACGATTCCGATCGTCAGCGACAAGAAGCGAGACGAACCAAAGGTAACATGCTCGTTTGGGGCAAAAAACCACGAATGATCAAGGCGAAGTACGAAACTATCGAAGGCGAATCGAAAACGTCTTTGTATTAGCTTCCGGGTGGTGGTCAATTTCGAGGCACTTCCACTACTTGCCGGAGATAGCGGCATCGTTCTTTTGGACTTTGCCGGCTGGATTCGATAAAGTCGTGCCGTACTCCTACGTCATCTTTTTGACGATACTATTGTTTGATCGATCCGTTCGCGACGACCGAAGGTGCGCTGCGAAGTACGGAACGTACTGGAAACAATATTGCTCTATAGTGCCGTATAAAGTCATCCCGGGTATTTTTTGAAGAAGAAGAAGAAGAATGCTCAGGTTTTGTTTGAATTGTTGTTTTGGTTTAGAATGATAATTAGATAAATGGTAGACCATCGTTTCATTAATATGAATTAATTTTGTACATATCGCGTCAAGAAATCTTGGACAACTTGCGTAAACTTTTCTGGTTCATCCTCCTGAATCGCATGCCCGCTGTTTGGAAACACAACCATCTGGAATTTGCCTTGCATCTGCGCTATCGTTAAAGGCGTATCCAATCGGTCGGTCCCTGCCAGAAGGAGCGCTTTCGAAGTTTTCGCGCTCAAAAATCTTTCACTCATACCCAAATACCATTCCTTCCAATACGGCTCCGTCTTCACAACGTCGCATCGAAAAGTAAACGGAGACGACGCATCCTCTCGTTCGCTATTGCTATCACTAAAACTACTGCTGTTGCCGTTGCTTTTCTGGTGCAACTGCGAAGGGAACGATATCCGGGCTGATTCTACGCTCTTCGTGCTCCCTCCAAATCCCAAACACCAACGGAATGCGTCTCTCATCGTTCGGAAGGAAGTGGGCCGATTCAATAGCTGTAAAGACATCATCGGCAAAGCCTTTAGTGCCGACCCTTCGACGACATCGACGACGATCAGACCAGCTAACGATATTTCATTTTTATCATTTACGTTTTTCGTCCACATGTCTTCTCGTAGCGCGAGAGAGCTCGCTACAGAAGCACCCATCGAGTGGCCGATGAGAACACACTTTCGATCTATTTCTGTTTGCGAAAATAAGTGCTTTAAAATCATCGCGACATCTTCTACCATTCTTCCTAAACTAAAGTCGCTCCCGCCGTCGCGCATCGATATCGATTCTCCGTGATGTCTCAAATCGATGGCGTATATCTCAACCTTTGTTTGCGTTTTACATTTGTTTCTGAACTCTTTCACGAACGGCGCCCACGAAAGCGAGGAGTACGGGCACCCGTGTAAACACACCAACGTTGTTGTTGTTACTGTTTTTCCATCACCATCAGGTATAATCCCAATATCTGCAGCGCGATAGACGCAAAATGCTTCTTCTCGTTCGTTTTCAACTGTAATTTTCTCGTCGAAATACCCGTCGTCGTTCCAAACCTCTGGCGTAATTATAGCGCGCGCGGGAGGTGGTGGCATATCTGCGCTAGCATTTCTTGGCGGTTTTCCTCCATTGATAGCATTCGTGATGGTTGGTATATCTGATAAAGTCGAGGTAGGGGTTAACGTTGAATCTTCTTCTCTCAAGGTCCCTAAGCGCGATGTTTTTGTTGCTGACGTTTTCGGTTGATGCAATCCACCGAAACGCGTCCAGTTTGGATTGGGCGTTTTCGCCGTACTCGACGCATATACGTGAGAATCTTCTCTTCGCTCCTCGTCCTCCATCATCTCCATGATACATTAAAGATCTTGGTGCGCCTCGTGTGCAAGCTGAGTTTTCCTTTCCTCTTTCTTTCAAAAAAATGAAGATGAGTAATTAGGTAAAATTGAAAAAAGAAACGCTTAACGCTAGGGTGCCTATTAGTTCTTAATCAGGAGGGCTAAACGATATAACGTCCCTACAATCCTAAAACTACACTCGATACGAAGTTCGCGCGAGACTCTGCTTCTTTACTCGTCGTGCTTCCCATGCTGATTTGTTTCTCTAATTCTACGTGCGCTGCGACGAGCTTTTGCTTTTTCCTCGAATCGTCATTGTTTTCGAGAAGGACTTTCGAACTCGAAGAGACGAGGTTGACGAGGTTGAAGAGTTTATCTTTTACAGCACCCCTCGTTTCTTTGTAATTCTCACACAGTAACGTCCCCAATTCATCCACTAGCTCGACTTTATCGTCCTTCGAAAACGCCGGGAACTTATCTCGCGCGATATTTGTTCCGATCCTCGACGTATCCACTTTTTCCATCATACATCGTCGAAACATCTCTAACTTTACTTCATCGCTTCCAAGGGAACGCAGATAATTTGCCGCAAACTTGTAGCCGCCATATTTATTCTTGTTGGCTTCAACTAGAACAACGTCCTTGATCGCGTCAAATACATTGTCTTCCATCCTATCGAACACACTCTTGCGCGCAGTTACGGACGCACCAAGCGGCGATAAAGACGCGCTCGATTCGCGTTGTTGCGATAATGCAAATTTTGACAATGCAATATTTGCCTCCTTCAAATCCCATACCGATGATAACAGCGTATTCATGATGGAAGCAGCAGATTTAGAAAGCTCTTTTGTCGAGGCGTCGATGCGTTTGAAGCGTGCCAACTCCTCCGGCGTCGTTTTCTTCGCTCCTCCTCCGATTAATTTTTCTAAACTATCCTCGTCTTCGACGCATCCACGCATCACAGCATGCGCGAGCTTTCTTAAAACGTCAGTCTGATCTGCTTCTATGCTGAATAATCTGTATACCAAAGAGTGCTTGAAAATATCAAAAACGTTTTCGAGCGCTTTTCTTGTATTCTTTTTACGTTCCGTAATCGCGTACGCCTTTCGCACGGTCAAATCGTATTCCAGCACATACGCCACGTGCCCCAACAAAAGCGTCGATCCAAAGCACTGATCGTACGAACACGTCGTTTTCGCCTCTTCTTCTTCTTCTTCTTTTTCGTTCTGTTCTTTGTCTTTTTCTTTTTCATCTCCTCTCCTGGATTTTCGCAAAGCAGTCGCCGCGCGGGAAGAACGATTCATCTTCTCAATTTGCTCTGGCGTGTACATGCTCTCTTCTATGAGCGAAACGAAGGACTTCCAATCCTCTCTCGGACCGGTATTTCGATGATGCGTGGAAACGAAGAAAGTCGCGTTCTTCAGCGTTTCTCGCTCTTCGGTATCTCGGAAACCGCCGATGCCGCGAGAAGCACCAACGGAACCACCCAAGTTGAACGTTTTATCTCTTGGAGACATCAACGATGCATTCATGCTATCATTCGCTCGTCTTTCTTCGCTATCTAAAGGCGTCCACGCGTGAATATTCGTCGTCAGCTCTTTCTTCCGTGAGTTCCAGATGATGTTAGGCGCAACATCGAACAAATCTCTCATTATGTTCACCGCTTGCCGTATGCAATTCATATCGTCTAGCGGCTGTTCGCTCCCCGAACGATCGCGTCTGATGATATCCAAAAGCCACACGTAGAACTTGTGCTGCGGCACTTCGCGCATTTTGTGTCTTCTCGCGACATGGGAGAAAGAGAAGAGGAAATTTAATTCCGCTTTTAACTTCTCGCTCGAACTCTTTTGCTCGAAAGAGTGCACGTTCCAAGACGCGTTTGAAAGAAAGTTCGCAACGTACGATGAGTAGACGTTCACATCCTCAGATTCTTTGGTTACGCTAGCTGCGGTGGCGAAACCCATAGCGTCTCCGTAAAATATCGTTTGAGGAGGTTTGAGTTGTGGTGTAAGTTGAGGAGAATATTCAAATTTTCTGCAAAAAAGCTTTGCTTTTCTTTTTTTCGAATTTGCTCCAAACAAATAAAGAAGAGATGAAGAACAACAACAACAACAACAACAACAACGACGACAAGGAGGAGGACGAGGAACATCCGAGCATGAAACTCACGGACGCTCAAGCGGAGATGTACGATCGTCAATTGAGAGTTTGGGGAGTGTCTACGCAGTTGAAGATTGCCAAAGCACGCGTGCTCATACTTGGAGCAGAATCGCCAACGCTTTTAGAATGTGCTAAAAATATCGTGCTCGCGGGCGTATCTAAAGTTATTTTGTGCCGAGGAAAGGCAAAAGAAGAAGAAGAAGAGACACTAAGCTTCCTAGTTTCCGTGGAAGATAGAGCGAAAAAGATATCCGTCGCAGAAGCAGCGGCGAAATCGTTGCAAGAGATGAATCCTTTCGGTGAAGTTTCTGCTGCTGATTTCAAATTTGAAGACTTAGAAGAAGACAAAGACGCAGCCAGCGCAATCTTAGGAGAGAACTACGACGTCGTCATTTGCTGTGGACGAAGAGTGCACGCAAATACCGTTAAACATTTGAACGAGGTATGCCGTGAACGAAAAATAGCCTTCTTCTTGACGGAAAGTAGTTCGAACCATGGATATTTCTTTAGTGACCTCGGTGACGCGTTCGAGTTCATCGAACGGAAAAAACACGACAGCGATAACAACGAGGATGGAAAAGAATCAGCTCTTTTGACGAAACCTTTCGAATCGTTCGGCAGCGCGATTCAGAAGACGTCATTTGCAAACTTCAAACCAAAAAGGAGTTGTAAATTCACACCCATTTTTTGCGCGTTGAAACAGCTGGAGTTGATGAATCTCAAGCCGACCCTCGAGGAAGTACGCGAGCACATCTCAAAGCTTCCAGATGGAGATAAAGTCGTTGATGGTGTATCTTTGGAAGACTTAGCGCTCTTTTTAGATAATAGGATAGAAATGCCCGCTATAGCGGCTATCGTTGGCGGATTACTCGCCAATGAAGTCATCAAATCAATTTCGCACGCCGAAGAGCCGGTGTGCAACTTTTTTTGCTTCGATGTCCTTTCCGGGAAAGGTGCTGTCGAAAAACTCGGTTGAAATTGAATGTCAAATAATCACATACCCAAAGTACCTAGGTACTGTGTAGCACAGTACAGGCGGAGAGAAAAAGTAAACAAAAAGAGTTAGCGCGAGCGCCGTAATTGTGCTCGATAGCGACACCAATATAAACAAAGTAGCATTGTTGTATTACACGTCAACAAAAAAAGCAAAGTATAACACATGCATTGTACGGTACCGAACGCCGCGGTAAGGCGTCCCAGACTTAACCGCATTCAAAAAGAAAAAATCCTTCTCCTCCATTTATTTGGCGACATCGATGTTCGTAAACTCTTTCCAGACGTCTAAAGTAGTTTTGCAACCAAAAACTCGGTTTATCTCGGACGGTTTAGGGTGAAAAACGCTACGGTTAGGGCCGGAAAACGGGTACACTACGGTTTACGGCTGTAAACGCGACTGTTTGGGGTTGGAAACGCGACTTTTTGGGGTTGGAAACGCGACTTTATGGGGTTTTGTAATATCATATTTGAGGTAGTATTTTTGCTTTTTGCTTTTTGAGTTTGTACTTTTGAGGGTAGTTTTTGCACCTGTCTCAGTTTATTTTTGCAACTGTTTCAGTGTAGTTTTGCAGGGTTTAGGGTTTAGGGTTTAGGGTTTAGGGTTTAGGGTTTAGGGTTTAGGGTTTAGGGTTTAGGGTTTTGGGTTTAGGGTTTAGGGTTTAGGGTTTAGGGTTTAGGGTTTAGGGTTTAGGGTTTAGGGTTTAGGGTTTAGGGTTTAGGGTTTAGGGTTTAGGGTTTAGGGTTTAGGGTTTAGGGTTTAGGGTTTAGGGTTTAGGGTTTAGGGTTTAGGGTTTAGGGTTTAGGGTTTAGGGTTTAGGGTTTAGGGTTTAGGGTTTAGTGTTTAGGGTTTAGGGTTTCTTTCTTGATTCGAGTCGGGTTA